TTGTTTTATTTTTTTTTTTTACCTTTCTGTGGCTGCAATCTTGCCAGGATCCTTTTAGATCATTTTGTTAAACGGCGTCTCAGGGGCTATGTTGTAATCATTGAACGCTTTACATATATTGTCTCTTGACTATGACGATTGATTGATCGACCCGGCCCACTTGGCAGCTCCAGACTTTCCTTACTTTCAGGCTTCTTTAATTTTGCTAGCCCTCGATGGCCAATCCCCGTTTCTGGGCCTAACCTGGATTCCGGGAGACCCAGCGGTTTGGAACAGATCAGCCCCCTTCTTCGTTTCTTTGGATTTAATGATGCGCCACTTCCCGTCATGCTCAGATGTGAAAGCCACTACAAGCATTAGGTCCTTCTAGTTCCCTCGTGAGTTGAACGTGGCAAGACTGCAGAATCTGCTGTTGGGATTTGGGACCATAAGAAAATTTAGGCCAGGTAAAGAAAAAATTAAATAAAATAAATAAATAAATAAATAAAAAATACCAACAAAAAGGGACAAGGAAGAAACCGCAGGCGAATACTCCGAACTGGTGCAATAAAAGGCCAAGTGCCCGGACCCTCATTTCCCACTACAGTCTATCTGTTCCAGATATCCCCTCGTTATCTACCTGAGAGGATTCAGTCAGCCTGCAGGGGCTCTCTTTGACTCTTGACCCGCTTCTAGACATTTTCCATTTCAACTATCACCATACCTATATTATAGTCTTGCTGTCTTCCTGTTCCATATCACGCCGGATTGTGCTCCAGTTGGTTCAACATATACTCGTACGCCTTCAGTATCCGCTCAATCGTCTAGGTCTCACTTGGGTGGCGGAAACAGGCGCCTCGTTTCGGAAGTCGCTTAGCTGTTTGTACGCCGTGACGGCCCAACTAAAGTAATTAAAGCACGGATAAGAAGGTATAGACACTAGCTGCCCAATAGTCGGTCCACTGTGGGAACTGTCGTTTGTCATTTTGCTGAGATGTCTATCCCTAATCAGGATACAGTGGTAGGCTTCCATCAGTCACCACCTGAGGCCTTCTTTTCGTTGCCAGAGACTGGTTGCATGACGGGGGTTCCACGCCTTCGTGCGATGGATGAGTCGATGAGTGTGATGTCGATGTCGGCACAGTCGAGCTACCCATCCCTGTTCCAGTCAAGTGCGGAGGTACCTCCGTTCTTCGTGACATACCGATGGTGGGAGGATGAAGCAACCACCGTGCTGTGGGCCTTTGACGTTGAGGATATCAAACGAGTGATCCAGTATGGTCTGTATCGAGATGAGAACCTGCCTCGTTCCTCCCTGCAGAGTCGAAATGCTTCTGCCGTAGACAGTTTCCTGCTCACACTAGTCCAACCGAAGGAGAGTGCTTATATCGCCAACCTGTCATTTATCCAAAAGGTCGAGGAGATCATTCGCCGGTGCAAAACAAACACCCCATCACTCGTCGCTTGGAGTTGGTTCCCGCCCCAAGTGACCCGGGACCTGGATTCCGCTGCCATTGCGGATGCGATTGATGCTGAGAGCCACTTGCATTTCACTCGCATTCCCTTCGAAGAGCTGGTCCGCTACTCCTTGGGTTACCCTGCGATCGCTGTCGAATGGTTTTTACAGCAGCATACCGCACTGTACATCCATCTGCTGAATTACTTCAATACCTTCCCTGAGGAGATAGTGAGGTACACCAAAGTCGAACAAGTAAGTGGCCCGTTTCCCTTGTGCTTGATATTCGCAACAGATAGCTAACATGTCGGTGAAGTATCTTCGAAATCGAAGCCCATTTGCTCACCGCGCCTTGCTTCATTGCCTGCTCACAGTGCAATCGGGAGGAAACTATGAGATGCCGAGCGCCACACCTGGCTTCGAATTCATAGCAGATCCGATTCAGAGTCTGTTCAAAGAGCTCCCGCCCAGCTTGACGTCAATTTTGAAAGTACTTTCTGTCCTGAGAGTTCGCTTTGAACGACAATATGTGCACGCCCGGACGATGGATTGGATCCAACCCTTTGATATCGACTTCTCCCTCTACGAAGACTTGACAGGATCGACATCCGCTGCAGATTTCGCTCGCACCTTAACGAACGCCGACGAGCGCAGCTTCTCCGCACTGACGCCGCAGCAAGTCATAGCAGAAGATCCAGTGGTAACGAAACTACTGAGCAAGTGGGAGTCCCTCAGCATCGAAGTCTGGGAATGCTGCACTGCACTGCCGGACATGATCCCATATATTCAAGACTGTGTACAAGTACGAAGGCGGACTTCCCTTACCTGGGCCCCCCCCCCAAACCGGCATCAATTTGTGGCTAACTGAGCTGTTTCCCAGGCCCTCCTTGTCATTCGAAACTATCACTCATTTTCCGCCATCATCAACGGACTGCGGAAATATAGCATCACCGATTCTGTCTTCAGCAATAATGGTGCTGCTGGCGCAATGGCTCTGAACCCGATCGTTCCTCCCGATTTGCTCTTCCTCATCGTGCCTTATCAGAACTACGCTGCCTATCGGCAACAGTTCCAGTCGTCGCCCGGCATCCCCTGTCTCATCCCACATATTAGAGAGTACCAACAGCAAGGGCAGCCGGCCTTGCTCCAGATGTTCCAGAGAATGCGCAACGCTATGCGCTAGTTGAACCCACCTGTGCCGGACACACACACACACACACACAGCATCTATCTCTTCCATATAATCGAGAAGCTCGAGGATATGAATCGTATACGTCACGATTTTTTTGCATTGAGCATGTTTGGGTTTACGGGATTTTGTAATAAATTGGCGCTGGATTTCAACTTTCACGGTTTAAGTAAGGGTTAGTTCCGCATATTTGGTTCGTATTGCAACCACTTTCCTTGCTCAGCGAGTTATCTGTTAGTTTGTGAAGCATCTCTTTTGCTCTGGATATGTATTTCATGCATACGTTAAATATTCGTTAATTGAAGAAATGTACCCATGCCAGAGAATATGTAACAAGCCCGGATCTTCTTTTCTCGTTATCATTATCCCAGCAACCAGTGCTGAGATTCGCAAAGGACAAAGCCTTCGATCTATGATATCCAAAAATCAACTGAACTCACCCGCCGCGTCTAGTCAACAAATACAAGGCAACAACAGACACGCACCTCGCCGTATTAACAATCGCATATTCTGCAACCACATGATCTAACCCAAACATCAGCAATAACCAAGTCAGCCCCTCCTTCACCAACATATAGACCACCCAAGAAAGGCCCAACCCCCACCCAACACACGAGACAATAACCAAGCCGAGCAAAAGTGCAGCGTTAATCTCCGCACCCCAGCGATTCCTCACCCACACGGCCGGATTGTGTCGTCCTCGTCGGCTGTGCTGCGCCGGCTCAGCTCCTCTTCCGATGGGTCTCAGACGTCTTGGCATTTCCGAAGACCCCAAGGAGGAACAGGATACGGTTCACGAGCATAAATACCGTCATGCCAATGTTGCCCCAGGTGAGGAGGTTCTGCCACGCCCAGGGGTCGACGAAGGTGTCCCAACCCACGCCGCGGTAGGTGGCGTAGAGATGGTTGATGTCGCTGAAGACGTAGGCGAGGATGTAGTTGCGGAAGACTTTGGGGTCGTTGGTGTTGTGGTGGATGAGGAAGCTTAGGAGGCCGAGGACTGCGTAGATGTTTCCTAGTTGGCCGGCTAGGACGACGCTGCTTGGATGGATGGTCTCTGGCGGTGGGATGTTTGGTGTTGAGTCCACGATGAACTTGTTAAGGTCTAGGAGAGGGAATATATAGCCGCCGAAACTGTGAATATGGTTATTTGGAGGTCTTTGTTTCAAATCGATAGCTGTAAAACGCTTTTAGTTTGCTGTGCGTACCAGGATAAAGGCTCAAAGACCCTGAAAAGAAAGTGCGGCCAGGCGGGAACGTCGACACCCATGGTGACGGTATTGATGTGGGTTTTCTTTCTGATGTGTATATATATATATATATATGTATATATAAAAGTGAATATATGTTTGTTATTTATATCAGTGTTTTCAGCGTAAGTGTATTAAGAAGGGAACGGTTGCTTGTTTTGAAAGGAAGGTGATATGGTGAGGGTATTTATACAGAGGAAGAACAAAGAATAGGTTGGGTTGGCACAGCTGGGGGCCGATATGAACATGGGGCCCAATGGTATGGGAAAGCTTAAGCAGACTAGTTCCCTGACTAAACTGCAGCTGCACAATTTCCAAGAGAAAAGGTGGAAGTAAATTCCCAGGGATTGACATGGGTTGTTTTCCGCAACCATTGCCGGAGAGGTTGGCAAATTAAACTTCCTGTTTAGGAAATCCCGGCTCCATCAGGCGTGGGGGCCAATGATCAGTCAGCCGTGCACGTGCCATCTAGAATTGGTTCTGGTTCGGAATACGGGGCGATAAGTCAAATCTCAATTAATACACTACACACGCCATCGTCATCATCACCTTAACCCCATTTTTTTTATCTCCTCATATCTATCAACAACAACTTCAAACCCCAGCTCGGCATGTACCAAGTTACTGAGACAAAATGGCCTGTGTAATCAACTCGAGCAATTCGATAGGGCTGACTAATACTGAATGATATCTTGACCACTAACTTCCGATGGTGTGAGTGCGAACAATGGACTCCAACGGCAACTTTGCCCGGTCTTTCGATGAATCCCTTACCCGTGAATTACCCCAACTGCAAAGCCTCCGCATTGCACCTCTCCGCCAACCAGTCTCCCGCATCCTCAGCATCCCCTCGCCGCTTGAACCCAATGCAAGTGGAGTTCGAGAGCCAAATTCCATCCCTAAAAGCAACAATTCAACTGGAGTGCTGCCTGGCCGGAACGACTCCGGTGGGCTCACAGAGAGCGTCAACGCGGCACGCGCAAAGAAAAATGACCATACAGTAGATGCGGTCTCAAGCTTACAACCTCCTCCTAAGCCTATTCTCCCGGAATTTGTCAACCTCCGTGCTCTGGAGCGATTCCCTTATTCTTCATTCGACGATGACTCTCATGCTCGCAAGCGCCGACGGTTGGAGATCCAGGCGGATTCCTTTGGAGAACATCTGCAGCTGCCAATTCCGCAGGCGCACAAGGAACCACGACCGCCGCCATTCGGACCTTTTGCTATTCTTAATGGCCTGAACGAACCTCCGCCCAATGCCGCTCTTCTCCCTCCGATCGAAGCCGGTTCCATCACGCAGCTGCTGACCAAACCCTCACGAGGTACTTCCTTTGTGGAACCCGCGCTGTTGACTGCCAATACAATTGTTGAGAGCCAAAGTGTGGAGAGGATAGAGGGCAGGATCCATGAGATTCTGGATTCCCCTGTGGATGAGAACACCGTGGATGACGAGCAGACCAATATAGAAAGTGGTCTCTTCGATGATGCTAGCGTTGATCAGATAGGACACGAGAAAGGCAATTTGCAAATTGACAAAGAGGCCCAACCCCGTGCGGAAGAAAAGGAGCCGCTGTCCCCGAGGACAAGAGGGCGCTCCCGCAAGAATCTTCGTAAATGGACCGAGGAGGAAACAACTGCTCTGTTGCGTGGCGTGGTTAAGTGTGGCATTGGCAACTGGACTGCGATATTGGCACAACCAGAGCTTAAGTTCAACAAGCGGAGTGCTTCAAACCTAAAGGATAGGTACGGCACCAGCCGTGACCCTACTGAGAAAATGTGGGCTGACAGGAGACTAGATTTCGCGTCTGCTGTCCTTGGGCTTATCGGTAGGTTATTGTTGTTACTGTATTCCCTGGCTTTGCCTTCTAATCCTTTGAAGTGCTGCCGACCCCAATGAGGCTACGAAGAAACTTCGTGATACCCTGGCCGATGCACTCTCACGGGCCGAAACAGAGGGTACCGATGGCGCCCCGGGGAAGATTCGCCTTCCACACCCATGGCCTGCCTCAGAGACGCCGCCGGGAGGTATCTCAGCCGGCAGCTCTCAAGAGTCGTTGCCTTCTAGCAGTACCCCGGCCGAGGAGTCCGAGTCTAAAAGCTCGACTTCTCAAGCTAAACAAGCCTCGTCGAAAACAGGGCCTACTCTTTCTAGCAAATCCAAGTCTACCTTAGCATCTCTTGGCATCCCGGAGCCACATTTCACCATGAAGTCCCGCCGTCGGTCTCGGCGTCCATTCACTGTCGCAGAAGATGAAGCTCTGCTGAAAGGCTATGCGGTACACGGTTTTCAGTGGACACTAATTCAACAGGACAAGCGACTGAACCTCGGTCATCGTAGAGCAACCGATCTGCGAGACCGGTTTAGGACCAAATTTCCCCACGCGTACCGTGACGGCGGGTCTGTCAGCGGTAACTCGTTCAATCAATCCGAGGTATCCGGTCTCAAAGATGGAAAAGACCGGGCGTCCAGTAGCAAGCGGAACTTGCAACCTACCAAACCACCTCCCAGCAGTCAAAATGGCAAGTCAGATAACTCTGAGCAGTCCGCATTAGGACCCATTGATCCTGCACTCTCCCCTCCTGCTCCACCGCCGGGCCTTCCTCTCGAAAGCATGGCAGGTGCTCCTTCGACAGCCGTGTTTTCCTTCCCGTTGGATGAAAATGCTGCCAATCCATCAGGCGTGGACCCATCTTGGGCAGATAACACTCTTGCCCCAATGGTTTGGGATGAATTGGCATGATTGCAACGCAACTTGAAACTTTCTCATACATTCCCCTTTGCTAACATGATCTCAGCTATGGGGCAGGCACATCCCAGGATTTCCTTAATGTCTTTTATGTAAATTCTTTCGAATATTTTACTTTGCGGCATGATGCCCATTTTCTACAAACCCACTTCCGGCAACAGGTTTCTTACATGCTATACCATATATGGCTCAGTAATGTGTTCTACCGGTGGTAATGGTACACGCACAAGCGAGATAAACACCAAACGAACCCACGCTTTTTGACCTTCAACACCCGGCCCTGTTTCTTATTTCAGGTATATGCTTTTGACTACTCACATACAATTGATATCATGTACACAATCGCAAAAATAACCCGGCAAGTCACCAACAATGATCTTTGTCTAAACCGTCAACACCTACAGAATCGAAAGTGGGAACTGAACTAGATATTAAATGCCATGTTTCGCCTTTAGAAAACAAGAAGAATCGAGCATCAACATGAACGCTATTTTGCGTGGGAATTCCGCCAAGACAGACAGACAAGGTAACCTTAAGAGATGCACCAAAGACAAGAAGGGGAGGAAGGGAGGAAGGAAAATCGCAGTACGGGCGTAATCGCAGACCACCGGTCATAGATTAACACACCCGCCTTGAATTGAAGAAGGCAAGGTAAAAAAGAAGAATGAAAACAGCATAGCTAAAGCAAGACCCTCATTTTCAATGACGATCCACCCCACAACCCAACTCTACCAAGCATTGCGGTCCCAGTTCGGATCTGCACCACACACATCAGTTAGCAAAATCCGCATTACAATCAACACCCGTAGAAACAAAACCAAAAGAAAACAGAAAAGGAGAAAGAGAAAGAGGGGGGGGGAAGTAAACAAACCCTGTATAAAGCTCGCCAAAACCTTACTCCCCGTCTGCAAGAGCGGATGGCCGGCAACAATCTGCAAGAAGCGCTGCAACCCCTCCCTGCGGTGTTCGATGACATCGTCACTGAACCGATTTGTGAACACCTTCCCAGGCAGCGGCGGGATAGTCACCCTCGTGCTTTCGCGCTCCAGGATATCGCGGAAGTATTCGAAATCGGAGTAGCGACGGCGCACGACGGAGTGCTTGAGCTTAAATGCGGGGATGTTGGTGCGACAGACGATTTCGTACGAGGTGTACATGTTCCGGGATGTGCCATGGGTTTGGGGGTTTCGGACCTAGTGAAATTTGGGTTAATTGGTTTTGAGGATGTTGGCAGGGGGGTGTAGGGGGGTGTTCTATGTATGACATTGGGGTAGGGTGGGGGGGGGAAGTTGTATGTCGCGCGACCAAGGCCGAATTGAATTTAATTGATACAACATGTATTTTCTTCCCGGGTTTTAACTAGCGATAGTGATAAACATACCTCAATCTCGAGGAAATTCTCTGGAGGACCGTAGATTTCCTCAAAGGTCTGCTGTCGCGACTCGGGGACGGCTTGCATTGTGACGGGGATACAACCTGTTGCGAAACAAGATGTTGAGTAAAGGTGGGGAGAGGAGAGAGAGACCGCGGGGAAGCTTCAGCCGCCGGACGACCAGGGGGGAAGTGGAATGCTCGGTTTTCTTTCCTTGAAGTTCGGCTTTTGGGAGGTTTGGCGGTAGATATAATATGGGTAGTGATGGGCTCGTTCGGAGGCCGCGGAGCGAAAAGACGCAGAGGATGGTTGGTGGATTTCTGTCAAAAGAGGGAATTTTAGTATGACGACGACAGGCGAACTGATAACTGATTTCAATGTTCTCTTAGCGTCGTATTCCTGGCGTATGGTTACGTTCCGTGATTGGGGGCGCATCGTTGTTCCGTTCCGCTGTCATGTTGGGTCATGTGATTGCTCTATACTTCAAGTTTTATCCCACATAGTAATTGATTCCTACCCCTAGGTTATATCCGGCCAGTGGCTTAAACCCGCGTATCTTCCGTTCCTGATTAGTTTTGGTAGATGGGTAATTAAACGGTCACTGGTCGGGTTAAAAAAAAAAAAAAAAAACAAAGAAAAGGAAAGAAAAGGTTCCATATAACTTTTCAGTTTGGGATTCTTTACTCTTGTCAATGAAGTGATAATGTATGTACTTTTCTGTTTTCAAATGGCTACATAGTAAAATGACAATTGTGATAGTGTTTCATTCATTGGCTTTCCCTTTCAGCCCCGCACTGCTGCTTCTGGGTGTTGGCCCCAATTTAACTTTATTACTTTCAGATTAATGTCCGTATACTAGTAGTCGGATATCATCCGTTCCAGCTGAACATGTGGAGTTAAACCCCCCCCGTCATGAAGCGTCTGACTGCCGGTACCATTGGCAAGCACTATGTCGATCCTTCAGCTGTGTGGGGCTTATATCAGCCGTCTGTTCAGCCCATCCAGCTGGGACTGCCGCCATAAATTAGCTATTTATTTAGCATCCAGCCCTAGTACTCATTTACCTCCGATCCATAATACCACTATACTTTCCCCCATCCTCACTCACATATTCCTCACTATCAGGGAAAACCTATTATACTTTATCGTATCTTATCAGAAACCAAACAATGTCTGACAACGAAGTACGTACACACAGTATGAAGCTCTTGCATCCACTTTATTAAGCACTAAAACATAGGATCTCGATTCTAATGATGTCGAACAAACGACTTGTCCAATGACCAGTTCTGATCTGAGGAAGGGTGGCTATGTTGTGATAAAGTGTCGGCCCTGCAAGATTGTTGAGATGTCCATGTCTAAGACCGGTAAGCATGGACATACCAAGGTTCATTTTGTTGGCATTGATATCTTCACGGGTAAGAAACTAGAGGATATTTGCCCGAGCACTCATACTATGGACGTTCCGGTTGTTCATAGACAAGAATATCAGTTGGTATGCTTTGACTCCTTGATACGAGCTTTCATAGCAAGTACGTGTGCTGATGGGATTTTCTAGGATGGAATCGATGATGATGATGATGATGATGATGACGGATGCCTTTTATTGACCGACATGAATGGCAATACTAAAAACGATGTTCCTGTACCTCAAGGAGTACTTGGTCTCGCCATTAGGGATAGTCTGGACAGCGGCGATTCCAGCAGTGAGTTAAGGAAACCTTTGGTCAACTATTATGCTAACGGATTCCTAGTCGTTACGGTTATCAATGCTTTGGGTGAGGAGGCATGTATAAGCATTAAAGATGCGGAATAACGTGAACTCGAGACTTGACCATCTCAAGTTCTATGATTATGTTTCGAGACGGTATCAAAATTTAGGCCATATATGATATATCTCATAAGAGACCTCTTCTAGTTCCTAGTCCATATTCTTGATAATTATAACATCCAATTTCCACTATTTTAATTTCTATTCTAACGTCGGGGATGTTGTTTCCTGGTGTCAATTTCATTATTTGAATAAGCGAAGTTATGTTTGCCTTACTTCGGGGCCCCTGTCCGAATGGGTTGGTTGCACTTCCGCCCCCCTTCAGGCGCTTTTGAATGACATCAAACAATAACCGGCACGGTTTCTATCATGAAACGCTGCTCCAGAATAGCTGCACCGGTTCATTTTAGGTTTTCATCACCTATGCTCCCTCGGCTGTCAATCTTACCGTCAAGCTCGCCGCCCTTAAGTTGTCGTCTATAAAACTTAACTTGAGGTTCACACGGCTGACCCCTCACCTCTCCTTGTTCGTCCACAGCAACGTTGCATGTTGAAGATGCAGGGAACCGACATTTCGAGAACAATTGGATTGACGGCGCAGAGTCCCTTGAAAAATACAAGCCCCGGGGGTTTATCATCCTGTTATGATTGGAGATGTGCTTCCACGGACGATACCGCATTGTGGACAAACTAGGCTTTTGGGGGTTATTCGACTGTTTGGCTTGCTCGCGATACTCGCCTTGGAACATTATGTTGCTGTTAAAGTCTGTATAGCAGACTCAAAGTCGCGCGAGGCCAACATTCTCCGAGCCCTTTCTCCACCATCACCACATCTAGGGTATATAGTTTTATTCCTCTACTATTGGACGAATTCGAGCTGAATGGCCCCAACAGAACCCCATTTTTGCTACACAATGACTCCTGCACGGTGTAATCTCAAGGAAGTGTCTTTTAGTCACTTATTCCCTTCTAGAAGTAGCGCGGGCTCTAGTAGGTGGTCTCACACTAGCTATTGCCTATATACATTCACGAGGTTATGTCCATGGAGGTTTGTTCCAAATACACTGGAATTACTTAATGGTCCAGATATGCCTCCGGCTAATATCAATATTGTCCTTTTTATCTAGATATCTATCTTCGCGATATATTAGTCAATCTTCCATCAAGTTTTCGATCGCCTTTCAGTCGAGCAGCTATACGAAGACTATGGAGAGCCGGGAAACAAGTTCCTATTACGCAACGCGATGGGCAACCGCTTACACCAAACATCCCAGCAAAAGCAGTATTGCCGCTATATCTGGGGAAAGATGCAGAGGAATTTTCACTTTCGAGACATTCAAACCTGACTTGGAAATTCGTCAGGGGAAAGATTGCCATACACCGCCAGCAGGACGTCCTCCAGAAGCTTGGTTTGGAACCGCAGACTTCTTCTCTCTCATATTCAGCAAATGTTTGGAGCTTGGCTGTGGCAATTTGGGAGATCCTTGGGATGAAGGCTATTTTCAGCAGTGAATATGCTACAGTAGATGAGATGATCGCTCATCAAATTGATGTGTTGGGACCTCTACCTCTCAAGTGGTTTGAGGGTTGGGAAAAGCGAAATCAATATTTCGATAACGATGGTTATCCCAAGGATGGCAGGTATGTGTGGCCGTCGATCGACGAAGGTTTGGAATGGGCGAGTTTGACAGAGAGGAAACAGCCGCGATTCTAGACCTGATGCGTCGAATGTTAACATTCCGACCAGAAGAAAGGCCAACAGCTCGAGGGGTCCTACAGTCGAGGTGGATGGTCCAATGGGTACTACCAGATTTCGAGCGGAGTTCACAGATGGGGTAGACAAGCCCCTGTCACTGTACTTGGAAGTAGTTCTAGAATTGTAAAACCAGGAGGGTTGCCGTCATTCAATCTATACTATAAGACCCTTTATTGTATCGCCTAAGAAACACGATACCGGGGATGCTCGTCGGAGGTTATTATTTTGCTCTACCATCCATGAAAGCTCATAGAATGTCATGTAGAATAGACAGGGTCTGTTTGAGAGGTGGGTGTCTTACCGGACAGCCTACTACTATACGAGGTCCGAGTCAGTTAATATCAGAAGAACGCAGGTCAACAACCCCGTCTAAACAATACCAACGTTAAGCGCACGACGGTTTGGCATCATCATCCGTACTCACCCTGAAGGGGCATCCATCGACCTATTGACCGCGCGGAAGCTACACGCCGGCCGGGTAGTAGTTGGGTGGGTGATCGGCAGTGAAACGCGGCTGTTGTATGTTTTTTATGTTTTCTTTTTCTTTTCTATAGGCATCACAGAGGTCTTTTTAGAATGAGGTCCGGGTAGAGCAGGGGCGGGTTGAAGAGGGCGTGTGTGGTTATGGGTTTTGTTTCCTGGAATCGGGTGGTGGTGTAGATTTCATATCTAGATAAGTGGATTTTCGTTTCTCTTGGTGTTTTGTTTGGGGGTTTACTTTTTCCTTTTTTCCCTTTCGCTTTTGTGGTGTTTGGTATAGGGGAGAGGAGGCTATATTGAGGTATGGCCACTATGATGTATCCGTAAGTACATACATGTCATATGTTTTCATTGTAGTAAAAATCGTCAATTAAATCTGAACAGTAGAAGATATTCAAAGCAACAAAACGTCAATAGTCATACAGTTGTCAACCTGAGTAGCAAGAGGTAGTAAAATGAAGCAGTTCATAGTAAACCAGCTCAAAATGCGCAACAAAGAACATTCGATTTGTCTAATACACCATAAGAAGAGCTGAAAACCCGCGTGAAAGTAACAGACCAATTTCCCGTTAAACCGTTAGAAGAACAAGCAATATGAAAACGAACCCAAGGCGGATCAATGATGGGAACTTAGATGGTAAAACATGTGGTACAGAAAAATAACAATTCCTCAATGTCCAGATATCGCCAGGGACAAACCATAAATTATGCAAGTGGATCAAGAGAATATTCTACTCTTGTCGGCTGCGCTTTGCGCCATGGGGGTTCCATGATCCGTCACCTCCAACCCCTTGGTTAGGAGGGAAGAAGTTTTGATTGAAAGCCGGATTAGGGCCTTGGAAACCGCCTTTACCTAGCAGAACAGCCGTGGTCAGAACATGTCTACATGGCTGGGTGGAGATTATATCACTCGCAGCGAGACATACCTTGCATAGCCATGTTTCCTCCCATGCCGCCCATCATCGGGTTCATACCACCAGACATCGGGTTCATGCCCATACCACCCATCGGGTTCATATTCGGCATACCCATCATGTTGGGACCTCCCATGCCGCCGCCTCCACGGCCGCCGCGCATGCCCCCGGGTCCACCTCGCATGCCGCCCATCATACCTCCGCGGTTATTGAAGCCGCCATAGTTTTGCATGCCGCCCATCGGGTTCCCGCCGAAACCTCCAGCCATCGGGTTTTGGAAGCCCATTGGATTCTGGAAGTTCCGGTTGTTGAAACCTCCCATGTTATTATTCATGCCGCCCCGGGAGTTGAAACCGCCGCGGCCACCACGGAAGCCGCCACCGCCACCACCACCACCACCACCACCCATGTTGTTCATTCCGAAGTTCATGTTCTGCGCAGGTGAGTTGAAGCCTCCAGACATCGACCGAGCCTGGTTGTCCTTTCGCATAGGTGCATCCTTCGGGAGTGTGCGGAAAGGGTTTGGTTGGGGGTTGGTATAGTTAACAGAGTACTTCCGTCCTGACGATCCTGTTGTACTATAAGATTCGAGCTTATGTTTGGTGGCAGTCGCGGCCTGAAGCGTAGTAAATTCAACAAAAGCTTGCCTGGTTGCGCAAATTATTTAGCACGCTACACCCCAACAGCTCAGTCATAATTGCTTACCCTTTGCTCTTGCCATTCACCTTGTGTTCGCTGAACGTTACATCCTTAAGTTCATCCTCGCAGTCGGCCTCACGGACCCAACCACGGATATCATCATCAGTGGTCCACCAGTATAAATCGGAGATAAGCAGGGCAGGTGTGGCATCCGGGTCTGATGGGCGGTCGTCATGCTCTTTGCGCTTTACACCCTGCGGAGGAGCTGGCGTCTCTGTTGCCGCTTGCTGCTGCGGGTTTGACTGTGTTACATGTTCCCCATTGGGCGCTGTACCTTCAGCATGCCCCTGCTGCGCGTTGGTGTCTGCAGCGCCATCGCCATGGGCAGGACCGCCATTCTGGGGCTGCTCTGGGGCGTCTAGGATAAGCTCGGTGTCATCATGCTTGATATCATCCTCTCCGCCTTGTTCATTGGCGTTATATCCACCACCATCACCATAGATGTCAATATCGAAGTTATCATCTTCAGTAGCCATGGCGTTAAGATATGGATCGGAAGCTCAAGGCAAATTTTTGATTGCTTGGATAGTGAAATATACAGTCCTTTGTTTCTTTTCTCAGATTCGTTGAATCAATGGAAGTACATGTCTGCAGACATAGACCGTCAATTAGCACGGAAGTTGCCATCGCTTGAGAGTGAAAGGTCGCTGCACGAGTCTCCCAAGCAGTAAGGGAGTAACACTGGGTCATGTTTGTAGCAAATGCCAAATTCCACTTTGCAACTTCTTAAAGCAACAGGGGCGAGTGCAGTATAGACAGACAAAAGGATGAAAAAAAGGCTCGAAAATACGTACAATCCGAAGCGACAACAGCTTCAAAAATGAACAAAGTCTTCACCAGTCCGTAAATCTGATAGCTCTGAAACGGAGATACAGAGCGGAACTTTTGTCTCAGGATTTCAAATACAGGTAAGATAAGTATGGCAAGATTTTCTTCAGTGAAAATAGGAGAGGGAAAGAGATGAAGATGGAAGTAATTCCACAGGAGATGCGGCGCCGAGTGTCAAGTTCTGCTGCCACAGTTCAAGCAGCGAGCGTACTTTTTGCTAGAGAACAAAACTGATATAACTTTCCCAGCGGGAGTACACAGAGAGCAAAGGAAAATTAGCAGAAGAGCGCTGTCAGGTTGAGGTCAGTTTAGCCAGTTCCGCAGAACACTGATGCGAACGGGAAGTACAGAGGGACTTGCGCCCAGTTTGTATCCCCTGAGTCGTAAGCCGTCAGCGCACGGGTTGTGAGGAAAGAGAAAGTGGCGAAAGAGGTGAAAGAGAGATGGGGAGGGGAATGTTTTGAGGTTGAAGAGAAATCGTTGGTAGGCGAACAATCCCTTGAATCAATAAGACGTGTCCGAAGAAGGACGTGCCGAGTGGAGCGCGCAAGAAGAGAAGGGAAGGCGAGAGCTTGCCTTTGGATCTCGAAGGAGCTGCGGTTGTGGAGCTGGACCCGGAACGCGGCTCAACTGTACTTCCGAACCCCGGAAGGCCAACTCTCCTGTTGCGCGCGTGTGGATGATCTGTCGATTGTCTCTTGTCCAGATCGCCTCTTTTCGATTCTTCAATTCTCTCTCTTTTCTCTAGACCATCTTGACTCACTCATACTACTTTTTTTTTTTCCATTCTCACTCCTTTTCTTCTCTTCTGATCAATTCTCCGTCACAATGTCTGAAACTCTCCAAGAGCTCGCCGACATCCCCAAGGACTTCCTCCGTGAGGGTACCCTCTTCGTCCGCAGATGCACCAAGCGTACGCCACACCACAGTCGCTTTGATATTATTTGACCCTAAACTGACTCAATGGTATACAGCCGATAAGCGCGAATTCATCAAGATCAGCCAGGCCGTCGGCATGGGCTTCCTTATCATGGTACGAAACCCTCGAATCTATGCATAAACTCATTGTCCGTGAATAATGGTTCTAATTACAATACAGGGCGCCATTGGTTACTTCATTAAATTAAGTAAGTCGGTCGCATGTGCAGTTAATCCTCAGGAGGAACACTCAGAACCCTGGAGATATGACTGCAGGTGACAACCGATCGATAACTAACATCGCTTCCTTAGTACACATTCCCGTCAACAATATCCTTGTCGGTGGCGCATAAACTATGAGCGACATTAATCAACACTCGATAACCTACTACCTTAACTTGATGTGGGGATGGGATTCTGCATAACGAAAAAGGGGGGGGAGAATCCGTCCATGCTTGTATCCGATACCCGTTACTCTTGCTGCGTTAAAACGAAATATATGGATGGGAAATGGAGGTGTTTGACTCATCTTTCACTTGATGACATGCCGTCAGTGCGTGATGGAGGTGGATTTTGCTGCATGAAACATTGTAGCGATGTCTTTGATTCTGTATAAATAGCGTTTCCTGACCCTGTGAAGCATTCGGAGAGGATAACTTGAGAGATTTATCTAATTTTTCGATATGGCTGTTGAATGGGAGTCTAATTTCAATCTCATAAATCCCGACTTGAGCTTGGTATACAAAAAAAGGCTGCGCTCGCATTCATTTTCGGCTCCAAAAGCAGACCATGCTAATTAAACAGGAACACTATTTCGTAGATCACCATATTTCGCCCGCGTACTCGTCATCTAGCGTCCGCCGATATACGGGTCGACTTCGGAGGTGATGGACGGTTTCCTTGAACTGGTCATATTCGCGCACGGATTTCAGCCGGCAATCGTAATTTTTGGAGACCGGTGGAGTCCCCTCGTCCTCGGCAGCGCCGCCATTCCAGGAATGTACTGTGCAGGTGCCAGTTGAAAGGCCCCAGCCATTCCATGACGTCGCTACAAATCATCATTAGAATGCATGCATCTCCGCGGTTTCACCGGGGCCAGACTTACCAGCTAGTACAGGTGCACTAGGATGCCAGCTTGCGTCTCGGACACACGTTTGCCAGGCTAAGTCGCCAGAGCGGCTGCTGAAATCATACGCACTGTTGGTCATGTCGGGGTCTTGCGGTCGAGTGTCCACTGTTGCTTGACCGACGTCGATTGTTCCGGCAAGGGTTGCATCCAAGTTGTACACATAAACTTTGCCGTCTGCACTTCCAGTGTACACATATCTAGAGTTCGTGCTGTCTGGAGGCGAGAAATGGCATCGTATCAGAGTTTTGAGGACCCGATGACCTCGGAATGTGACTACGGAGCAATCGTGTGGGTGCGCCTCGTAGTAGTTCTCGGGGTATGGCTCGAATCTGTAGTCGAAGCCGCTAGTGTAGTCCTGAGCGTCGATTGTATCGAACTTCGCTGAGGTCATCATTTTTCTCAGGTCCCAGAGTTTCATGTTCTGGTCCTTGCCATTAGAAAGCACATATCGACCATCACCCTTGCTATCGACGTATGTCAGTCCTTCCGTATGTCCGATGAACACGCCGGCTTCACGTCCGTCGCCCATTGAGCGCCTGTCCCACACTCGTAGCGTGCTATCATCGGACCCGGAGTAGAGAATGTGGGGAGAAGACTTGTCACCAAAGCAGACAGCATTCACGTCATCCTCGTGGTTGCGTAGGCGTAGGATTGACTGTCGGGTTTCGAGGTCGTAGACAATAACCGAGTTATCCGATGTGCCTGCTACGATTTCACGGCCGTCACCTGAAAACCGAACCGACCAGATCTATTATATTCACGTTAGAACAGCAAGGGAACATGGGACGTGTGAGAAACATACACCAAACTGTCTTCCATTAGAGGATGACAGGTCCAATACCGAGGGCTCAGAGAAATCAAGCGGATCTGTAGGAGCAAGACAAACAAGGTTCCGTATGGAAGTATACGCCAAGAATTTGTTGTCTGGACTCAGGGTGGCATCGGTGATAGTCCACTGGCCAAAAGGGTAGTTCACAGTTTTGTAGTACTTCCATTCATACGGGTTAGACGTATCGTACATCCTAACCCTGAAGTCCTGGGAACAGGAGAAGAAAAAGTTACCATCATCGGAGAACTGCCCCGAGTAGCATCTTGAGTCGAAGTGAATGATCTTGTCGGCAACTGAACCAGGTATAAGACCCTATACAGGCAGAACGTCAACATCAACCGCATTTGATGTTACACGGCCAAACACTCACTTGAGTTATCGACTGTACCTCCTGCCTCGGACCAGACAGATCAATACCTAGTTCTCGCCACATTGTCCTCGTTGCAAGACTTTTCCTCCTCTTTTTCAACTCATCGGTGTAATAGGAATTGCTTCCAAAGTCGCCAGAAGCCATTAATTTTGCTCCTTCTTCACTAGGTACTAGGGGTGCCGGATCACCCCCACCTCGCCGTGTTCGTCTCCTGAATCCAAAGAAGCCAGCAAGCTCATCATCTTCATCTTCATCTTCTTCGTCCATTTGGCCACCAGCCCTACTGTAATGGAGAATATGTCGCAAGCCGTTTGACGCCAGTAAATTCAACAACCGGGCGGCGGAAACTGCTAGCAATCGGTAGTGAGAAAACGTAAGCCGTACTCAATGAGGATATGGAAAGATGGGCATGGTCGAAATACCTCGGGAGTGTCTGCCACCGGCCTGACCCGCCGCTTCTCCAGACTGTTCCGAATTTCCTTCGTCCATGGAGAATTCAATATGTATATTACCTAGATGTAGTTCAGGGTCTGCATGAAATTGATCGTCGACAAAAGTATTAGCATCGGGGGTGCAACTGGACATGGCGGAACAACAATACCGAGATAATTTAGATGAACGCCGTAGAAGCCGTCCTCGTCGTCCTCGTCGATGAAATTATCCTCATCCGGATGGGGTATTTCCTCTGAGTGTTCAGAAATTTCAGTCTCAGGTTCATAGTCCATATCATCTTCCTCATCCTCTTCAAGCCATTCTCTGGCTGGATGCCATATAGCGGGTGAACCTCTCGACGCTGGACGGTCGCCACTAGCGGGATGGGGGTCGGGGGAACTCATAATTGGGGGAGACTAGGAGGGGTTAGGGATGGGCTATGGGTGGCAGGATTGGCCGCAAGGGTCATATCAAACACTTGATCAGCTTCCAATAGTATGTACGAGGATAGACAACGGGCGTCAATTGACCGGCAGTTTGGCTCCGAATGGGATTGTCTTATCGATACGGTTATGTCATCCCGCGGCAGTCTCCGCTTTTCCTTAACTCCTATCCCCGAGAGGCTTATCTACGTCTATCCATGTTCGGCGGACAAGAAGGTTCACAAATCGTATAAAGCTACCAAAGAAAACCTGAATATTGAAACATGGTATCGTGACTTTCGTAAACATAACCCTTTCCATAATCCATCGGACTCCCACAGCTCTAATCCCATTACATCACTGCATCGTGTCGTTGATATCCATCGATTTGAGTATATACCCGAAATTTTGTACATCACATCAAGAAAATGTCGAAGAAAGGACAGTCACTACCTATACAAGGCAAAGACCATAGCCATCAAGAGTAACCAGGTCACCACATTCTGTGGCTAGTCAGTATACACTCCTTCGGACGAGTTAAAGTAACTTACCTGAGTTTCCTATATTCAGCAATATGCTGTTCGATCACTGTCGGGCTAACGGGAGTTTCCAGGTAGCTCGCCATAGATCCTACAAACGTCTTGACCTTGGGCCAAATCTCTTCTTCGGCTTTGTACATCGGTGTTGCAAGCATCGTAGACTCAACATTGTCTATCAGTCCTGCAGAAAATGTGGAAATAGTTTCCCGGAGCCACTGAGGCAGGAAATTGGGATCGGACGAGTCAAGGTCGCTACCGACCTCAACGAGGTCAGTGTCTGCAGACTCTGTAATAGGATTCCTTGGGTTCCTATCTTCCAACTGCTTCGAGACTGGGAGCGTATGGGCGACAGATGCTTGTAATACAAGGATCTCAATGATCACCTGAAGCTTTTTTCGCAATCTAGAGTGCCTCCTGCGCGTCAGCTGGACTTTGGCTGAACTAGGTGCTATCAAAAAATTCGAATGTTGAGAAGACTGTCTGTCTTTAACGACACAGGATGTACGATATATAGTAGATCCTCTGCTAATTTTCAGAGTTGTAGGTTCAACTGCCACGTCTATAAGGTACTGTTAGTACTTATATCGCAATATTTGAAGTGGTAGGGGATGCATATGCGTACATACCATATAGAGACAAAGCCCCACTCTCATACGGCCCGACTGACAAAGACCTAATTTGATGGTTGTTGAAAGACATGATTTTTGATTGAATTTTACAAAGGCTTTCGGAAGCCGTCGAAAGGCGTGGGATGGCATGCTCAGCAGCAAATGCTGGCGCTGCTGCCTTCTGTGGACCAGTATTATACGCAACACTTGTATCTCCAATAATATTCCGTGTGTCGCATAGAACTTCAGAAAGTTCTATATGAATGCCTTTCAGCGAGCCTGAATGCCCAAACTTGTTGTACATCTGCGGTGAACACAGAGCTAGAGTCATCGTTATGAAACGAGATCGGATAGCATGGGACTCCCAGGTACTTGAGAGAGCCTTTGTTGGGTTGCTGGAGCCCATGGCTTTGAAGGTAGACTGCTCGGAAGCCTGAAGCGCATACGCCATGTCGATAGCTTTCATAACTGAGACCCACTGACACGACCCATCGGACAAAGCATCTGTGGCTGCACGGCTGATTCCAGTTATACATGGACCATCTTTCGGCTTAAAAGCCTGGGACACTTGTTCTAAGGCCCAAGCAATCTTTGACGCTGAGCGGTTCCGGTCTGACATGCCATTGCAGGCAAAATCATAATATTGGTCATACTCCTCCAGAACCCTGAGCGCTCCGTGCTGCTGGCTGGCTTTACCAGTGCATAGATGGCACCTATCCCCAGTACCCTTCTGAAGCTTGCATTCAACGCAACCCTTCATTATATGGCCACATGACTTGCATTTCTTTGGGGGCAAATTCTGAGGCTCGGATGCAGGGCGTTCTTGAGACTCCTTGGGAGACAGATCTTTGAACGATGTCCTCAGGGGTGGGCTCCTGTCGTTGAAAGACGTTGTTTCAGAAAGGCCCCTCGGATTCTGTGGCTTTCTCCCGCTGTGGTATCCCGAATGATCCTTAGGCGGAATAGCCTGTGAGTTCCTTTGTATGGTGGAATCAAGAAGCTGGTGGTGACTCGAAAGACTATTTGGTTTCAGATGGCTTATCCCGCTGGCTTTCCTTCCTGGATGATGAGAAAATAATGCAGGGTCTGGGGAAGCATCGTCTCTATCTGGGACCGAGCTAAGGGGATGTGATAGTCTCTGCTCAACCATTTGTGCACAATTGCTCTCCCTGGAGTAGCCGTTTCCATTGAAATAGGGTCCATATCCAGAGAAGTAATTGTCTCCGTTATTTGGATTGTTCCCACCTCCATTTGGAAACTGGGTCTGAGGTCCATGTCCATTAAACGAGTTTCCGGGAGCGAAATGGCCATTGAATCCATCGCCACCACTCCCACTGTCCCCACTGTTTCTTCTGCTTTGAACTCCACTCGTTGCCGGGGAGCTGCCGTTTTGTATGCGGCAATGCTCGGAGACACAGTTGAAGTAAGCCTCCCAGGACTGCACGGACTTCTTGCATAGCGGACAATCTCTCGGCGGTCTGAGCTTGGTACGCTTGATATCGTTCGGTCTGAGCTTGGCTGGTGGTGGGTGTCTAAGCCTAAAATGCTCCCAGACCTTGTCCCTCCTGCGAGTATCCCAGTCACAAAGAGGGCAAAAATATCTATACCGAGGACGGTGATCAGTAGATACATGTCGGCGGAATGACCCCCTCGTGGCGTACGTCTTCCTTTTGTAAGGTTCGCACAGCTGACAGACATACCTGTCTCTGTTGCTATTGGTGCTGTTAGTACTGTTGGGGGAGTGTATCTCGCAGTCAATCTCGTCTTGGATCATAGTCTCAAGGCCATTGTAGGTGTCTCTCACAAGAGACTTCATTTCGAACAGTTGAGAGTGTGAAACATTTCTGACGCTACTTTGGACGGTCGATTGGATCCGGTTCAGATCAGCTCTAACGTCGTCGAGCGGGTCTGGAGAAGATACGCTCTGTGGACAATGAAGATGAGGGATCTGTGGAACACTTGTGCTGAAAAGCCTTTCTGTGGAAGGCACATGTCCAGCGTCCATGGGCAATGTCGGCGATAAGTCGTTGGTCGGGTTATCGTACAGGTAGAAATCAGTGTCAATTTCGGGCAGAGCTGTGCCTCCGGCAAGGAAATCTGCACTGGTGCAGCTATATGATGACACCGGTGACGTGGCCGATGACTGACAGTTGGACTTGGAGCCGATGTCAGTACATTGGCATGGAGATGGAGTATTTATAAGAGAGAACGTACTGAGTTGGGATCCATAAGAGGGTTCGGCATGAGATGGCCATTTTCCGATGTGGCATAGTAGCCTGGTTGACCATAACCAACAAATGAGAGAGGGTCATGGTATCCATTGGAATACGAGTTGTCCATCTTGACGTAGGCTGGTCAAGACAACGATATAAGAGGGCCAGCAGCTTAAATCTTACTCGACACTATACAAGGGAAAGCGAAGGTATGGGAGGGAGGGAAAGAAACAAGAGAACAAACAAAAATAAGAGGGTAAAAATAAGACTAGAGATAATCAAGAAAGAAAACAAAAGGAAGGGAAGGGAAGGGGAGTCTTTTGAACGAAAAGCAATATCAGTAGTTGGCTGATGCCAACGGTAATAAAGTACCGTCTGACAGGAGTTACGAGATTTGGCGCGGAGAGTTGGAAACCAATGGAACTTTTCACACTGACTCGAATCCAGTAGTCGGAAAGAGAAGGGTAAAAAAGTTGTAAAGAAATAGACAGGCGACTAGGCAATTGTGGAATTTATAGTCGAGGTAAGCAAGGTACTAGTCCGGTGCCCCAGGGCAAAATCAGGTTGCAATGTAATTGTCTATAGTCCTTTCATGGAGCCAACCACGTCGCCGTATCGGTTTGTAACAAACTTCAGGTAAAGCTACCAGGGAGGAAGGTATCTCGATGATGAATATTCGAGAGAAGTCAAGGACTCGGTAATTGGGTATCAATGCCCTGTGAGACGGTTACCGACAGCTTCTAGTAGTTTGGGAGGTCCGGACAGGTAAGTAAACAGCTCCGTATTCGTCTGAGCCATGTTATACAAAACTGTATAGAACGATACCTGGAATCTCCCCATGCACGTGGCTTAGCACTGACTTGACTCACTAGTACTTTAACTGATCCTTCCATTGCTCGAGATCTAGATGTGGCGGAGAATAAACCAACTTCCGTCGTCCATCTTGACCCCTCTTACCCTTCTAGTTTTCTGTTGAAAGAACTTTGATTGGAATTGTTTCTATACCCTACCGCTGTAACAATGGATATACGTATACTCGTACTGAATTCAACAGCATTAGTGTATGAGGGCAGAAAGAAAAAGAAAAAAAAAAGAAAAAAAATATTACAGAATAAACATTTGCAACACTGAGAAATGATAGTTTGGAAAGTTTAATGTGAACAATCATTGCATTGAGTGGATCCCCGGGGGGTCCATCGCCCGCTTTTTTTTCCCGTTGCCGCAACCCATTGATGGGGTGGGGAAGGGTAATTTAGTCTATTATGCGTACCCGTCTCCTACCTTCAAGCTTTGAGTACAGCACATCGCCAGTGTTCGGAAGGAATGGAATCCAGACACATCTGTGTGCGTGTGTATGTCCATGTACAGGGGATGTCTTGCACTTGATGCGGCTCTGTCACATTAGTCACGCTTGCATTTTGACTTTTCAATACCCTTGTCAGGATGCACCTTCACCTTTCACGAGACCACCATTGATCTAGATGAAACAGATTCAACTGATGAGGTCTACTAGAGACGCACCACGTTCAATTGTCCAGGGTCACTTGAGTGTTGTAGCCACGCCCTCGTTTCAACCGTCTTATAAGTCAGCAAATTGAAAGGGAGAGAAAAGAAGAGATAAATCAGTGATGAGGCCAGCACGGGGCCATTCCCGGAGGCGGTCAACCTCTTCTTGGCAATCCAATCTGCTATACTCCTCTGTACGGAGTATTCCATACAACCATCGCTATACACTGACCTAATGTATCCGTGCACCGTTCACCAAAACAAAAAAAAAAGAAAAAGAAAAAGAAAAAGAAGAAGAGGGGAGGAGATGACGACGTTTACTCCTTTTTCTTGATTATTAAATTTTTTCTTTTTTTTTTTTTCTTTTTTGGCTTCTTTGCAACAGGACCGGTCAATGCATGGCTACATAGCCTCGGAAAAATGACTATCTGTCACGTTCACACTCAGTATCGGCGCGCAGAAGTGAGGCGGAAGGTCAAAGTAAAGTGACCTTGAATGTTGTGGATATCCCTAGTAACCATAATCCAACTTAGAGAGAGCGAGTGGGGGTAGAGAAGAAAATTAATTTCCATCTTCTAAGCTCGAAATCTCGAACCCTCCAGGATTCCAGGATTTGCAGACCGACCTTTGGGAACCGTTGTCATTGTACTATACATTTGACACTCAGACCCCCTTTCTTGGTGGGTGGCAAATTCATTCCTCGAAGTGTGGCGGTGTACGTCAACTGTGGCTGATGACGTGGCTGGGTGAAGCTACGGGTAAACCAACCAACATGCACCTCTCTCCAACAGGAAGTAGATCCCAGAGGTACAAGTTGGAGGTTCGTGAGGTGCTGTGGTAAGTTCATGGTATACTAGCAACCTCTGGCTAGGCACAGGGTCCGAGACCCTTTGATGAAACAATCCATCCTGTCGTCCGGCCAATGGACCGTCAGACTTTGGCCGGCGTTATTCAACCCTTGTCGTTCGATGGTAACAATTCCAACAGATCATGAACAGATTTGGTGTTTATGATTGGCTACCATGACATTCTTTTCTTTTTTACAGAGTCACGGAGTCGGCCGTAGTAGAAGACACAATTCCTAGCTGCGATCACCGCCACAATACTAGTACTCTGACGTACTGTTACGGATACATCATACAGTGAACAAGCTTCCATCATGGGTGCATACACAGCACCTCAGTCGTGATAAGCTCCCCTTGTGTGCCTTGGGCGTTGATATTTTTGCATAGCCCCATCCTAACACCAAAAACTTTTGATGCCCCGAGAACTACTCCAAAGAATATAGTACTCTCGGAAGGTGAAGATCCCCTTTTTGATTATCTTTCCCTCCATTTGGATCGATGAAGAAAAACAATATTCCTCTATCAAAAGTTCGGCTACTTGATATCGTATTACACACCTTTTCTCGACCATACCGTAATTTTTCTTTTTTATCATTATTGTTGTTGTTTTTTCTTTTTTTCTTGTTTTTTTTCCTTTTCTTTACCTTCCCTGCAAAATTATGTTACTCCCAACACACACGAAGTAGACGTACATACCGTCCTCCGAGTCCAGACCTCACCATAGACCAAATCTACACCACCAAGTATCGAACCCATCAAAAGAAACCTAAAGCCCATCGCACTACTATCCACAACCATCCGCGTCTGATTTCCGATCATAATCCCTAACCCCAGGTGCTCTGGGCCTTTTATTTCACGATCTAGACACGTCGACGACCTGGGAAAAGTGGGTCTTGCTGGTCGGGTGCATATCTTTGGGAGTTCTAGATAGTCGGTTTTTCTTTTCTTTTGGTTATAGGTAGGCATTTAAATTAAAATATGATATAATTGTTGGGGGTGAAGTGTGTTCTAGATCTTGGTGCATGGCTCCTGCTCTATGCGTTCTTTAACAAGGGGGTTCTTGTGGTGATATCCTGCTGTGGCTGTAGATATATATCTCGGGATAGTTGCTTTTGTTGGGTATGTTTGGGCATTGTCCACATGTTGTAACCTGCTTGATAGACTTGACAACGGTCTAGATTATACTAACGGAAATGATGCGTTTCTATTTGTTGCTAATATACATTCATCCAGATTAATATAGTTTCGGATCGCTGAGCAGAAAAGAATGACAGATGGGCCAGACACCGGCCACAAACAGAACAGATAAATGCCAAGTCAACCAAAGAACTGTACGCCGTGCACATGCAGTTTAACCCTTCTAAGCAGAAAAAATATACCCGAAAGAATAACAGACAATTGTGATAATATACAGGGCTTCGAAGAAGAGTGGCGTGAAAGGTACGTTAGAAACTGCGTGAGAGGAGATCTAAGATGTTGTTCCGAAGAGGCGGAGGATCACCTCGTACCTGTTGATAGTTAGAGATAATGGCCGAAACCGTGCGATCGAGAGCAACTTACATTCCGAACATGATGGCAGCGGACGGAACGACACGCAGCAAGTGCGGTGTCAAGCCGCCATACAACCCAACCATACCCTCCTCCTTCCAGACGGTCTTGAAGCACTGCACAAGACCGGTGTACTTCATCACCACCTTGCCGTCTCCAATAGACACAGTCGGCGCTTGCCTCAATCGCGTCCGGACAACCTCATGAGGGTAGGTGGCAGCCGCGGCGACCAGCTTGGCCAATCCTGCGGAACAGATTCGTCCACCCCATAGTTCTACATCGTCCCAGGTGCCGTAGGTATAGTTGGGATCGGCACGCTTGGCCGACTCCCTGCGTGCAAGGAACATCTTCATCTGCTCGTACATCACCCATTGCAGTGTCGACTCTGTCACGCCGAGGTACGATGCCGAAAGTCCTTTATACAAGCCGCGGACGCCCTCGTGGCGCACCGTCTGCTTGATACAGTCCCAGCTGTTCTTATATTGTCGTCCCTGGCCATTATGGTGTTCGGCGTTGGACTTGTCTAACTGTAGACGTGTCTTCACAAGCCAGATCGGGTTGGTGGCAGTTCCAGTGGCGATTCCGGCGACGGCGGCGGCGGTCAGATGGATTCCGACGGGTGTTTCTTGGGAGTTTGTATAGTTGAAATGATCACTCAAGATCCGTTTCCCGTTCCCGTATACGTAGAAGTTGATGGCACGAGCAGGCACCACCCCGATCAAATTGGGTCCCAGACCCTTGAACAGAGCACGCCAACCTTCATGCACGTGGATCGAACGCAGGATTTGGAACGTTTCGTTGAAGTGCATAAGAGCACTCCGAGGAAGGGATGACAGCGACGATGGCGGCAAGGGATGAGCGGCGCGGAGCGATCGCAGCTGCGCTTGGTAAAAGTCGGATTGCAAACGGGTTTTTAGGACATCAAGTGGAGAGGTAAGAGTCGCAGCGGTCATGCCACCAAGTCTGTACGGAACAAGATGTCAGCCCATGCTACACAAGGTCGTATGGAAGGACGGGGTCATGTTGTAGAGTAGTATATGCTTACCCACCAGCGACAAAATGGGCAAAAGGCTTTGCCTGGTCTTTTTTGTCGGTGCTTCCAGCAGAGGGATGTGGGGGTTGCGGGACAACATCGCCGGTTTCCCTGGACTGGATGATTAGATCCTTGCCGATGTCCTTTTGGGCGTCGTCAACTGCCAGATGCGCCTGCGCAGAGCTGGTATGGGGAGTAGCGGAGAATGGCATAGCAGCCGCGAAGGCTAATCGGAACCGTAGATCAAGAACTATAATGTACAAAATAACAAAAATTAAAACATTTGTTGTGGATGTATCTAGGAATGAGAAGAGAATAAGAGAACGAGGTCGTGCGAAGCTGGCCAGACAATTGTCTAGAGATTACTTACTACCCAGGTACTAGATTGACTGCGAGTGTCTTTTTGTGTTTTTTTTTTTTTTTTTTTTTTTGCCATTGGCGGAGTTCGGGCGGATGTCTGGGCGGCCCCCCGGTTGGAAATTTCTACGCTACTGATCATACTAGTAACTACGCCACATATATAAAGGCTATTACTTGCAACAAAGCAGAAAGGATGTAGAATACGTGATAGAGCCTAGTACTCGAAATGGCCAGGATTTAACATGCTACGTTCCGCATACGTTTGGGTGAAGGCTTCGGTCATTCGCTGAGGAACTGACAGCAAAACTGATCTTCAGGCCACAAGAGATTGGTTGTACTTTGCCAGGCAGATGTATTGTCATTGAAATAGCGCTATTTGGTGTCGTAAGTGCCCTGACTACAAGCGTAACTCGTGGAACACCACCACCACCATACCTCAGATCAGATTCCCACGCGCAAGGTAAGATTCCAGTATTTGAGGACATGGCGGGCGCAAGGCGTCCAATACTTGTCAAATTTAAGGTTCCGGAGCTGCGCGGATAAAGCCAAAGGAAGACAGGCGAATGCCCCAGCTGAGTCTGCTGAACAGGGAATCGAAATTTTGTTTTTTGTTTCATTCAGGGGAATCTATGCACAGGCTGAGTTGTGCTAGTACATCCGAGTACCCTTTTTCGCTTCGTCTCAATGCAAAATCCACCCTTAGATGGCAAAACCCAGAAACACCAAACAACCGCATCGACCTGACCATTCTATTCGTTTAGATGTGGGTGTCGTAGGGGATAGGAGTGATGGTCTCGGGGGCGGCGGCCTCGACGACGTGAGCCTCACGGGGACCGACGGGCTGGCGCTTAAGGTGGAGGTGGACACCCTGCTCCTTGGCCTGCTTCTTCTTCTCGGCGTTCTCCTTGACACGCTTGATGAAGTCCTCACGGGAACGGGAGTGCTTGACGTGCTCGATGCGGATGTTGACGCGCTTCTCGAGGTAGCGGTTGCGGACAACCTTGTAGAGGAGGACACCGACGGAGGACTTGGTGACGTTGTAGACAACACCGGTCTTACCGTTGTAGACCTTGTAGGGCATACTATTCCAGTCTCAGCAAACGATCCCACGCAATTTCAAAGGCAAATCGCAAATCCGCTTCAACACGGACTTGTCGCTTTTCAATGGGCGGAATAAACTGACCCCTTCTGAACGGCACCGTTGACCTTGATGTCCACGATGTCGCCAACCCTATAAACATATCAGATCCTGCACATTATACACAATCACTTCCAATCTTCGCGATAGGTTTCGGCGTACCGGTAGGTCTTCAGGTAGGTCGACAGGCGGATCTGGCCGTGCTCCTTGAAGTTACGGCTGAAGGCATACTATCACATCAAATTGTCGTCAGCGCACCCTTTCCCATCGAGCGGTACAATCGTTGATTTCTTCATTCGCAAACATACCCGAGTGCCGGATCTCAAACCGTGAGAGTGACCCATGTCGGCGGTGTTGGTGGTGCTGGAATTGGGAACTTGTCGACAACGAAGTGCTTCACTCTGCCGCCCTTCCCGATGGTGTAGACTTCTTCGGATGCTTAGTGCGCCGTCCCGCTTATGGCAGGGCTGTAGCCCTAGGCCCTATTGCCTCTTCTAGTTGAGGGTGGTAGGACTAGTCTTAGTCAGGGCGATTAGGGTCTTGGGGCATAAACCCTCTGCCACTAAGCCGGTTTCGGCTCCACTACGATCCACTCTCGCTTATGCTCTAAAACGCAACTTCATCTTCGAAGCTCTACGATTTTCGTGTAGTTTGGTGTATCGACAACTCCGCGACAACGCGCAATTAAGCAGCCATGGCCCCCGTTCCGTGAGTACACGACTTAATGATGATCAAGGCTGAGTCGCATCATTCTAATCGCTTTTGAATAACAGTCGCGTCTACTCCAAGACCTACAAGGTCCCCCGTCGTCGTAAGTGACCATTGTCGATTTGAAATTTGATAACTTGTCAAGGGGTCCGTTCATATGCTAATATCTCTGCAGCTTTCGAGTCGGCTCGTCTGTTAGTACTCTCCGGCCACTGATCAGAAGCGTGCTTCTGTTTATGTCGTGTGTTCATGTTCCTAACTTGTTTTCACTAGTGACTCGGAACTGAAGATTGTCGGCGAGTACGGCCTGCGCAACAAGCGTGAGGTGTGGCGTGTCCAGCTCACCCTGTCCAAGATTCGTCGTGCTGCTCGGTATGCGCCCTTACTTCCCGATACAGTGCCCCAGACATCATGATGGGGCTTGTTCGGACATGAAACTAACTGCAAGTTTAGTGAGCTGCTCACCCTCGACGAGAAGGACCCCAAGCGTCTTTTCGAAGGTAACGCTTTGATTCGTCGTCTGGTCCGTATCGGTGTGCTCGATGAGTCCCGTATGAAGCTCGATTACGTCCTGGCCCTCCGTGTCGAGGACTTCTTGGAGCGCCGTCTCCAGACCTGTGTCTACAAGCTTGGCCTTGCCAAGTCCATCCACCACGCCCGTGTCCTGATCAAGCAGCGCCACATCCGCGTCGGCAAGCAGATCGTCAACGTTCCCTCCTTCATGGTCCGTCTTGACTCCCAGAAGCACATCGACTTCGCTCTCACCTCTCCCTATGGCGGTGGTCGCCCTGGTCGTGTCCAGCGCAAGAAGGCCGCTGCTGCCAACGAGGGTGGTGACGATGCTGCTGAGGAGGATGATGAGTAAATCATTTAAACCGGAGTATGGACGGGTTTCGTTTTGGAACATAAAAATGTGGGGCCTCAACTGTGACTGCAGCATAGCGTATGATGTTGTACGATCATGCCATTCAATGAATAAAAACATAGCCTTCAGGCTCATTTCGAAACCCGAACCTCAACCTTCCTGAGTACTTCTGTAGTAACGTATTATTGTACCCTCGTATTTTCGCCCCATGATCACCGTAACGCCCATTTCCGATCATATCATATCGTAGCCATCCAAACCCCTAGCCAAAGTGAATATCATCCTTCAACGCCCACTAAGTGTTTGAGCGCTTCTTCTGCACTTCTGTACCACCTTCCTGTCTCCTCCAGTCCGTCGCTTTCCCCCTCTTGCTTCTTCCTCTCCGCCTCTTTAGCTTGGGTGATAGCCTCTGACTTCCGTCGTTCAAGGACACCTAGCTCTCGCTCCATTGCTTCCGCCTCTCGCGTCTTGCGAGGCAATGCATTCTGTACTGCGGCAAGCTGTCGGTTAAGCGCAGCAAGTTCTGCCTCTCGCTCAGCCACAAGCGACAGAGTTGCAGGAAGCGGAAGGTTCTGGGAGGATGAAGCGTCTGAATCGGATGCCTGTTTGGCACGCAATTCGGCAATCGTAGACTCTAGGTTCTCGATGGATTCGGGCAAAGTAGAGAGTTGCGTCATCTGCATTTCAACATTGTTGTATCCTATTGTGATCATATAATTGTTAGTATATCTTGCTTTCCCGCAGAGTTCTCGACCGGATTGTAGGTGGAATCGGGAAGTATCAAAGGGAGCATCGTAGCATGAAACACTTACGATTCGCGAGGTCTCGACCTGTCTTCTCCATTTCTTCTATCATCATGCGGACTTCTTCTTTGCTTGCCTTAAGCTCCGCCTTCACCTCCGCTAATTGTGTTTCAAGTTCCACGTTCTCATTATGACCGACTACCAGGGGAGGATCGCCGACGATGGCACGCAGGAACTTTTCCTTCGTCACTTGCTCGACATATGAGAAACGTAATTTTGAGAAGAGTTCCTTCGCCGCAAAGATCAGTATGCGTATCTATCGCAAACAAACAGCATCCGCACCTTGTAGTGTGTTAGGTCGGCTTCGAGGGAAGCCGGTGTGGGGTTATCGATCGCAGAAGCATCCGAAGTACGTTTGGACAAGGATTGACTCTGATTCTCGGCATCAGGCGAGAAGATCGGTTCGCTGATGCGAAGAATCGCGAGCCGCGATTTTAAATCTCCGCTCTCTTTCTGTAGTTGCTGGAGTTGTTCCAGTGTTCCTGCGGGGTTAATATCCGACATAATTTCGCATGCGATGTCTGTGTGGTAGTATGTTGCGACAGAGACAAGGTACAAGCCGATTGACTAGTATGTTCGAACTGTACCGGAGTGAATGCCAACGATAAGCCCCTCAATGTGCTGATTATTGTACCGCGTCGGCAGAATATGCGGAGATAAACAAAAATAGTGAGACCACTGTAGGCGGTGAAGCTCCCCCAGGCAAAGCCGGCAAGTATGACGGACTAATTCGCCATTTCCTTGACATCGCCGATCTCTTATCGGCGCAACAGGCGGGGTGCTCCTTTCATGCTTTAATTGGATTGTACAGAGCTACAGTGTTAATCGGTCCATATCAATCTACATCTACTAGATAACATTCCTCCCCGTCTAGATCAGATCAACCAGTGTACACACTACTTACCTCGGAGCTACGATGCCTCCCAACACTGGGAGAGCGAATGGCAATCCTGACGATGATGACTATGTTGCGCAAGTTCTCGCAAATGAAGCTCGAGACAGTTCTCTGAAGTACTCTGCCCTGGGGATGGGCGCTTATATGCCGAAAAGGTTACTAGCCACTTCCACTGACTCAAATCCACCAAAGCTGACGAGTAGCTATCAGGCCTACAGGTGCTGCTCCCAAACCGAATACGCGATTTCTGCGACATATTATAAAAGAAACAGACAATCACAATCTTGCATTAAAGCGAAAGGAAGAGAGGGAAGCTAGAGAGCGAATGCGGCAGCTACGGAACCAGCCTGCTTCTTCATCAAACGATTCTAGAAAAGATGCCCATGGCGGCCAACCCCGATCAGACGATCGCAAGTCGCGCAGGGATAGAAGGGAAGACCGTGAAGATAAACAGAGCTCCTATCGAAGAAGGCATAGAAGTCGTTCGGCTTCGGCGGACAGAGATCGCTCTCATCGACGCCGGCGGAGGCGTGATTCCTACGGCGAGGATGAAGATCGACACAGATCTTCCCGAAGAATTCATCGGCACCGTTCCTATTCCAGGTCGCGCAGTCGATCTCCACAAGAGAATCGAGAAACGAAATCTCACAGTCGCCACCATCGGCAACGGAGGCGCTCTAGGTCACCTTCAAGGTCTCGTTCGCGATCGCTAGGTGCGAATGTTCGACGCAGGAACAGAGATCGTGAGCACACACGTGTGCGCAGTTCTCACGAGAAGGGTTCCCCAGAGAGGAGTTCTACGAGTAAAATCAAGGCGTCATCGCCGCTGCCCCCGGTAGCTACCCAAGATCAACTGCTAGGATATGAATCGGACCCTCTTGAGGATATTGTTGGGCCCTTACCTCCACAGGCGAATAGCTCTACGAATGCTGCCCCCATTCGTTCTCGGGGACGGGGTGCTTACAGACTCAACATGAGCAACATTGACACACATTTCGCTCCTGACTACGACCCTACTTTGGACGTGCAGCTAGAAGATGACGATGAGAATGCTGGTAGCAAGCCCAGCCGCCGCCCTGTAGCCGGCCTCATGACCGGAGATGATGATTGGGAACTCGCTCTTGAAGCAGTCCGTGACCGAGCCCGTTGGAAACAAACAGGCGAGGAGAGATTGCGCGAAGCTGGTTTTGACGACGCGTTTGTGAAGCAGTGGAAAAGCAACATTACGCCCACCACAGGGGATTCTGAGGGTAGGTTAGAGGATGTGAAGTGGTCTAAGAAAGGCGAAGGTCGAGAATGGGATCGCGGAAAGTATGTCAATGAGGATGGGCATATTGATGTTAAGGCTTCTTGGTAGTGAGGTCCACAACATAAGCGTAGATTGGGTGGCGTTTGGAAGCTGGGATTATTGCCATTGGGGAATTCTCTTATTTATTTACTTAATACTTTTACACATAGTATCCTATCATGAATTATGATGCGATGAAGAGCATACATGAACCCTGTAACTAAACTCTAATCCGCCTAGCGCCCGAATGTACACGAAAATATATAATAACGAGGGCCCATAACAGAATACTAACTAAACGAACACCAACCACAATAGTATAAACAAACCTAGAGTTAAATTAACAACCGCAAAAGAACTCAACAACCTAAAATAGACCGACAAACGACAAACGACTATAAAACGAGGGGAAAGACAAAATGTCTAGATCTGATAAGATCCCAGATCCATAGACACGGCACCAACGCCAAGAAACCTTCTATTCCGCGTTTTTGTCAAAGTGCGGAACGAACGCCATCCATTTCTAATTGATTTTCAATATCACAAGAAATCCACATAATCACATCATTGGAATATATCAGCCGTCAAGAAGTTGATTACCTACTTCAAATCGATATATTACTAAATGCATACTACGTTATAATCTATTTGCGACAGTATCTTATAATAAACCCTGTATAGCAGACGGTTGTAATATCTTCCGCGATCTATATCTACTATCTACTTCCCCTCTTTACTCGCTACTTTTGCCCCTCACATTACCCTTGTTACAACCAAGAGTAACAGCACAATGACTGATCAATTCGCTTTTGATTATCCCTCGCCTTTGGTGGGCTATGAGGGCTTGGAACCACTACCTGTGTAAGTATAGTATATTCTTATTGTCTTGTGCAAGATAATCTGGGATATTCTACGATGAGACTAACAAAGGTCGTATAGAGAATTAAATGAAGATGGCAAATCTATCAAGAACCCCCAACACGGTATCCTAAGCAAAGCATACGAGGACTTTCCCGATCCGCTGGCAAAAGACCGACGCGGGGGATTCGATGTTCATATCTACCATTTCCAGGTTCGTTTCTTTCTATTCATTTTGTCAATCTACCCATGTTGCATAGACCGAATGAGTGGTCATTACTGACGTGGTCATAACCAAATAGAATAATCCCGATCAAGTCGCATACGCAAGGGCTCTCTACGAGCGAATCCGTCGTGAATGTATAACCTACCCACCCTTTTTCTGTTTCCGCGCACTGTCATGAAAGATAAGTGGTTACTGACTTTTATATCAATAGTTCCCGAGCTACGCATGTACCGATTCTTTGAAGGACCACTTGGACCTCACCCCATTGCCATGTTCGAAGTTAACCTTTTCACTCCGGCGCAGTTTGGAGCGTTCATTCCCTGGCTTATTATTAATCGGGGACCGTTGAGTGCGCTGCTTCATCCAAATACAGATGAGGAGGAGGAAGAGCGGAACCATACGCAGCGGGCGACGTGGCTGGGGGATAAGATTCCGTTAGATTTGAGGATTTTCAAGTTGATGAAGCAGGCGGAAAAGAAAAATAAGCAGAATGGGAGTGCTTTATGATGCTTGTTAGAGGGGCCAGTTGGATGCTTGGTACCTGGGAAGAATTCTAAGGGAGGGGACTGTTTATCTGTTGCTTGGCTTTGGACTTTGTGTATATACGTTATGGGCATGGATTGTATTGACAGATTTTGTGCAGTTGACATGACCGGAATGTCTGGTGGGATGCTGTTGTAGGGTATTTATCGGATAATATAGTACCTGATGTCAGTAGGCATACTTTGGGATAGGCGGGTGATCACTGCAGGGATGGTGGAATTCCCGATGAGATCACGGGATGACCAACGTGACCTGTCGGTCACAAGCCACGTTCGACCTCGGATTCTATTCATTGGGCGTGCTTATGTTGTCTCATACAGAAATAACTTTGGCTAGCCCCGGGGGGCTGAGAGAGTCTCCGAAAATCAGACTGCAGTGAGTTGAAGATCCTGATAAAAGGATAAGGCCCGATCCGACCAGCTCTAGGCCGTGCGTGGTCCCAGAGCTTGAAGGCATTGGCTCTGGTACCTATCAGTCAGCCGATTTATGAGACAGGAGTGAATCAATCGGATGCGATGACCCGGGATGCTGGAGGTAATCGGAGGGTCAGCTGCGGCAATGCATTCTGGATTACTTTCCCACTTCAGTTCCTATGACGGGTTATTGAACCCGGTCTCCCGTGACCGAGTCTGAGGGGAGGTTCAAAAGCTTTTTAAACTCGGGAGGCACGATGTTACTGAAGGAAAGAGCAATGCGTAGGAAAGACGACCTGGGAATGTTTGATTAGCCCAAGGCACGTTTACCTTAGCAACTAACTTTCACCTTACACCACTGGGGTCAAGATGTGGTATCCAACTCTCTCGTGGCTTTCCTCTCTCCAAATACCCGTACTGGGTGTGATACCTCATCCCGTAGAGGCAACATTCTATCTCTCTTCACGGGATGTGACGGCAGAAACAGTGCCGAGTTATGTATTGGAATATGGTGAGTCACGCAATATCTTTTACGCACAATATTCTAACAATCCGTTAGCACCGATGGTCTGGTTACATAGAGAGGAGGCATACATGCCCTCTGATATTGGGGAGCAGCTTGTACACACCACGCCGATGGTGGATTGGAAGCCTATAGAGAAGGCCCCGTCGGCGACAACTCTTGATAATCTTGACCAGCTCAACAAATTTGGCAACACGAGCGTTTATTTAACGTCAAAGGAAGGAATCGATGCTGACCCTCAGCCTTCATGGCTCAGGGGCATCAAACCTGACCAAGACGGTAGAACGCAGGATGCAGTCTCTTCAACCATCATTCTTCGTGACCACGGAGATGGGACCCTGGACGCTTTTTATTTCTACTTCTATGCGTGAGTGATATCCGCATATCAGTGCTGATTCACATCACGCTCACCATATTGTAGATATAACCAGGGAAACACAGTTTTAGGAATGGAGTTTGGGGACCATATCGGAGACTGGTTAGTCACAAGGTTAAGAGGCAAATCGATTTCAGAAACTGATGTGGTCTCGACAGGGAGCATAACATGATACGGTTCTCCGAGGGTGTCCCACAGGCAATCTGGTATAGCCAGCATGCTTCGGGACAGGCGTTTACGTATGGAGCAACGGAGAAAAATGGCAAGCGGCCGATTGCATATTCAGGGAACGGCACCCATGCTAATTATGCCATTTCTGGGTATACACCCTTATGCGTTTTCTCGGTCCTAGATAATATGAGGCTAAGGCTTGACTCAGGAAACATGATCACACTATTCCCGGCTTCAATCTCCCTGATGGACTGATCGTGGACCAAACTGATTCGGGTACACTGTGGGACCCGATTCTGAGTGCCTATGTATATAATTATGATGCTTCTGAGGAAACATTTCAGGCCTATGATTCTGGATATCCGGTCAACTGGTTGAATTTCAACGGCCGGTGGGGAGACGATGCACTGCCGGGAGGGCCGGAGCTGTTTGGACAGAAAAAGTACGTTGCGGGGCCGAATGGGCCGAAATTCAAGAAACTGGTGAGGGACAAAGTGTGCCCGAGTAGCCCATGTGTCGTTCTTCCTTTCCGGATCTGGGAGAATCAGACGTTGGAAGAGCATGGACAACGAACGGAGTCAGGTTAGCATGTACGACGGATCGACTGCCTTTGCAACGGTCATTGTGCATAGGCTGGATGTGGGGACCTAATCTCGGGGATTGTGACCCTGAACGGACGTGTTGAACATGTTATATAGCATTCGCTCTTTTCATTTGCAGAAGCACAACGGACCAATTTCAATTGTGTCACATATGATGGGGATCGACGCGACAATTTGCGATCGCAATTAAATGCCAGCCACCCAATGAACCACCGTTATTCCTGTAGTTAATTAAGAACCACTAACTAATGTTTAGCGCTGCAAATAAGATTACCTGGAAGTCTCTATCTAGCCCTTCCAGGCATAGTGTCATATTTTCCGCCCACGCCTCAGGCTTCTTCTGGACAGTATCTGGAGTATGGAGTATCATCCGGTGTGAGAGGAGACCTCTTTTCTTTCGCAATGAATCGCATTCTGATACATCAACTGCTTTATCGTATGAGCAGTCAATGCTGGAGTTGATAAATCCTCGCTTCACCTGAAACCGTTGCAATTGACTCCAATGGTCCTAACTTGTGTCTATAGCCCCTACACTAATGTGGATATTCATTCATGTCTACTGAGACACTCATAGATAGTAGACTTGGGGTTCCTTTGGTGCTGACAGATTCACCCTTACAAGTAACAGCACCCAATGAAAAACTTAGGAGTTATGTTTAGTCACCGTTGACTAGGTATCCCGTCGATTTATTGCCTGGCCGGTAGCTTCGTCATCAAGTCTATCAGAAATGGATTAATGATAGCGAGGAACCAATGCAGTCAGCCCTGCCTCATGTAACTGAGGGGTCCAGAATAAGCCTTGCCAACAGGATCCCGTTATTTAACGAACGTCTTGGCTGTAGCTATTTTGAAATTGAACAAAGCTGAGAGCCTTCACTTATCGCCGAGAGCCCCATCTGTTTGCCTTATTGACTTTTTCATCTTACCTGAGGTAGACTACGACAAAGAGTCGGCCATGGAAACGTACAACGCCAACTGTCACCGTGGCGCGTCCGATTTTCCTTCCCCCCAGCGCCGTTGAAGACCATCAAGATCAACCGATGCAATTGCTCTATCTGCACGTAGAACAGCTATCTCCTGGTGTACCCTCTCCGAACGGACGTGATATTCCATCGCGGAGAGGACCAGCTCGCGGAGTATCGACTCGGGAACCGGACGAAACCGCACAAATTCTGCCCTAACTGCGGAACATCTGTCTTGATAGACTTTAAGGAGTCCCCGTTTGAAAAGGAAAGAGAAAGGATGCCAATCAATGTAGGTTGTTGTTTCAGAACCCCGCTTTGCCTTGCTTGGTAAGCTTCGGTTGTCGGTGAGTGTACTCCGTACTTATGGAGTTCTAATGGACTTCCAGATCCACACGATTCAAGGCATTGAAGATGTTTTGGACGAATTAGACTATCGGGCCGTGGACGGGAAGAATAGACTTGGACCTCCGTTATTCCATTTGAGCGCATGCTCGACCCGTCACCATGGCCATCATTGGCACTGGTATCCATGGTTCATTTGCAGGGGTCAAGTTCTGAGGACTGAAACCTTGTAGGGAAATTGCATCACGAGGGGGATGGGTCTCTGAAGTGTAATTGGCAACTTCACCTACGAGTGAGTCGTTAGTTTGGAACAGCTCACAATGTGGTTCATGAGAATTGGCTCCGAGCTGGAGCCAATTAAACGTGGGTTGCCAGCTAATTTCGTTTCTTACGGTATCGATACTCTTGTGTATTAATACCAGGTTCCAGGTCTCGATCCATGTTGTTGTTCCGGTTATACAGGTCCATGGATTTGGATCGATTGAATTGTGATTTCTAGAAATTTGCTTTAAAAATGGAAGCATTTCTGATTAACCCACCGCAGGGCGGGCGGAGATGCATGGCATCTGCAGCACCCTCACGTTTAATGAGCTGAGGCACGTCACATATCCACGTGTGGACATTGATCATCAATTGATCCGAAAAAAGGGTGCTTTAGTCTTTAGTCTGAAAAGACGGCCGAGATGTGGACCTTACGTAATTCCGTATCGTACCATAGTTAGTTATAGGCGGTATTGATCTTTCCATGGATCAGAGGTACTTACTGTACAGTATGTATGTACCTATTCATTGTTTGTTTACTTTCAGATACTCGGTAAGTATATCACGAGAAATCCCACTGATGAGGTAATTTGAACGAGGATCGCCCATGGCATCAATTGCCTGGTTCGCTCTAAAAATGTTTGTTTGCCTCCAGGATTCCCAAGTATAGCTATCATCCTGGATCCAAGAACAACACCCCCCTTTTTCAATCGCAGAGCTACTTCTAGAGTTGAGTCCGGAGGGTACTTCTTAGTAACTTTACTGTAATCGCAAAACCGGCTAGTGTCCCCCGACGACAAGAGCAAAACGGCAAGCACTTCATCCACTCAAAAGCATTGTTCGGCGCCCAACCTAACCTAAAAGGCACTTAGAGCAGTGGGGGAATTCTGGAAAGCCTGCAGCTTTGCTTTTGCGTTGCCCCTGAATCGCTTCTCCGCCGTACTGAAAAAAAGGTCCCCGTCCACGAGGGGGAAAAAAAAGAAAAGAAAAGAAACGAACAAAGAGTAAGAGCTCCAGCATCGGTGAGCTCTGGCGTTCCGACGAGCTGAACAGTCACCACACAGGCAACCTGGACCTGAATTCGCGTGTGCTCGCAGAGAGCGAAGCAAAAGTGGTCCCCGGATATTGGCAGATCGGATAGAGGAAAAGCATTGTCCTTCTAATATCCGTTCTCAGGCCGATCATTATCAGTCGTTCAACATTCTCTCATTTCGCTTCGTCTTTTCCACTATTTCTCTTCAATTTCAATTTCTTTTCCCCTTTTCTTTGCGTTTCATATTAATGCGCCGCTTAAGTCGGACGCTGTGAGCAGGCTTCTTCACAACCTTCTTTTGGGTTTTTTCTTTTGCCCCCTTGGAGCTAAGCTCGAAGTACAGAAAAAAAAAAAAAAGAAATTAAAAAAGAAAGAAAAAGAGGGAAAACGGAACAGCTGTGGTTCGTTTGAGCTATAGCTTCACCCCCAACAATCGCTTCGATAGCGCTATAATTTGGTGTCCTCTAGCAGAGACATCAGGCCTGTCTCAACAGACACTTGCTGGGCTTGTGGATGTTGATTAGTCGTCAACCCCAATCTGACGTATTCGGACATTTATCGATTTTTGAGTTCGCCGCTGAATCGTTACCGATTGTTGTGCCCTGACTGGAATGCAAAGAACTCCATCGCGTCATTCGAAGGACTCTATCACGAAAAGAAAAGCTGGCGCAACGGAGCTCCAAAACACATACATATAACTTAGCTAGATTGATTTGAGTGCGGCTCGTGATAGCAGACCGTTCCGGGATCTGTAAGTCCTCACGATAGCACATTGAGTGAATATTGGCAAAAACCCAGGAATCTTTTATCTGAGACAAGCCATTCACAGTTACCCCACTTTTGCGCCAAAGTACCTCCGAACCCCATCCGTGTTACCAACGATCGGGTGATTGGAAAGAGCCACCCGAAAAATAAGACCAATGGCCACTGCAACTTCTGGACTCCGTTCCCCGGGACACCAAGATCCCTCCGATATTGAGAACGGGAGTACCAACAAAGATCAACGCAGAAATTCCTCTTTAGGTTTTCTCCGTCGCCCTAAGTCCATAGAACCACTCGGAAGCAAGAGCAAGAAGAACTCCAAATTCCAAGCAACCGAAGAGGAATTACGTCGACAGGGAGCAATGTTGAAGCAACCTCCTCGCCTGCCCTCTCTGTCTCCCGCCCCAATTCTGGAGAGTTTTGGAGGCGAAGAGCGAGGGCACGCCAATAACGCTGCCGCGCCTTCGAACAGCACCCCCTCACCCCAACTACAGCAACCTTCCTCTCGCAACTCGATGAGTACCGACTGCGACCCTTACGCACGCACAGAGAGCATGACACACCGCGGGCGTTATAGCTATGCGAGCAGTGCCGTGAGTGCCGTCAACAACCCGCGTAGGCTGCGTCGGCGTAAGGACCCTACTCCGTACAAGTAAGGCCCTTCCTACCCCTATCCTTCACCCCAGACCCATATTAACTGTTCACACAGCGTCCTTGTCATTGGCGCCCGTAATTCGGGAAAAACCGAGTTTTTGAATTTCCTGAAAAAGTCTTTGGCCATGCCAGCCCACAAGCATCCCTCTCGCCCCGCCGAGGAAATGGAATACCAAGATCGACATGCGCCTGCCAACCAGGGCTACACGTCTGAGTACCTTGAAACGGAAATCGATGGAGAACGCGTCGGGTTAACGCTGTGGGACTCTCAGGGGTTTGAGAGAAACATTGTTGATATCCAGTTGCGTGGTGTGACCGGCTTTCTCGAAAGTAAATTTGAGGAGACCTTGAGTGAAGAGATGAAAGTCGTTCGTTCACCCGGAGTGCGGGATACCCATATTCACTGCACGTTCCTGCTCCTCGACCCCGTACACTTGGATGAGAACATCGCGGCCGCAAAAAGGGCTGCTCAAGGAACCCCCAAGGCTTCAGACTCGCCAGTCATTGGTGTTTTAGATGAGAATCTCGATATTCAGGTGCTGCGGGCCGTATTGGGAAAGACCACTGTGGTCCCCGTCATCAGCAAGGCTGACACGATTACTACGGCACATATGTCGTATTTGCGGAAGGCGGTTTGGGACAGCCTAAAGAAGGCCAACATTGACCCCCTTGAGATCCTCACCCTGGAGGACCAGGAGGAGGAATACACGTCTTCAGAGAGCGCTGACGAAGAGGAAGAGACATCCGAGGACGCTGGGGACGACAAGAAAGATCCCGGCTCACCCTCCACCAAGAGTCAAGGATCGGGAACGCAAGCTTCGCCTCAAATTCTGCCTTTCTCTATCCTGTCCCCTGATCCCCACTCGCTGGAGGCCGGTGACGAGCCTGTCGGTCGTAGATTCCCCTGGGGGTTTGCGGACCCTTATGACGCTGAACACTGCGATTTCGTCCGGCTCAAGGAGTCCGTCTTTAGCGACTGGCGTACCGAACTGCGCGAGGCCAGCCGGGTAGTCTGGTATGAACGATGGAGGACAAGCCGCTTGGATCGGAAGACTCCCGTCCCCAATGCTGGGCCCTCGAAGAAGGTGTATGCTGGGAGGCTGGGCCCCCTCGACCAAGGCCCTCGAGTACGATAGTGGCCCTCTGACTCTGCTGGATGCCGCTGGCGAATGAAGTGTCACTTTATGATGTGTATTTCCATACGGGTACCAGCCCTCTCTCTACCTACCGGATGCACGCGATCTCTGGGTCAGCTCTATCTCAACCGCTAGTTCGGAAGTCTGGTTGGTCCGAGACAAAACAGCCCGTTGCGTGCTTCATATGGTACTATTCTCCACTTTCTATCCTTTCTTCTTGTTTTCTTATTTTTTTTCCTTCTCCCTATCATTCTTGTATGTGGGACAAACCGAGCTCCACAAGGAACACCTTTAGGCAAGCCAGATGGCCGACGGGAATATGACCTTTCCTGTCTGAAGGATTCTGGGGAAGAGGGATACAGCGAAGCATACCTGTATTTTCTCTTCCGGGATCCCCACCTACTCCATCATTTGTCTTTTGGTACAGTTTCTACTGGCTCCGTTTGCCTTGAAAGCATAATTGACAGAAGCGGGTTGAATTGTGTTCCTGATATCCCCATTATGTGATGCCCTGCTGACACTCCTTATACCATTTATGTTCTTATTGATATTACCCCTTGATGTTTCGACGTCTTTGATTCTGAGCCCCCGACCGTGACCTATGGTTTTATTTCTTTTTTCGACGTATTCCCCGTTGATTATTTCCTTATCCTGGTTACTTTGAACCCCAATTTTGCCCCTTTCTCCCCTTACTTTCAGGACCTGTATTTTTTTTTGACGTCCATTGGTTCCCGTGTTAACGTTTGCGGCCCTCTATTGCTCTGCGGAGAGGGGTGGTTTTGAGAATGGAATCATTTGTACCTTTAAAGATTTTGATTCTTCCCTTTTGCGCATGTCGCGACCTTTGCTTGATACCAACCAAATTGCCATTTGTCGGCTTGAGTGTGTTACTTCATTCTCGGACCTAGAAGCTCACATTGGAGCCACCGGGGATACCCGCAAGGTAGGTAGCCGTGAGCTAGGTACGTAGTCAACCATGAGGGAGATGTAGCACTGTTGCCTATGGGGAAGATCACATAGAAATGGGGGGCTACGCAACGTGGTACCGCTGAATGTGCCTGTACGATCCAAACATATAGCTACACATACTAGTAGTAGTACTGTAGTAAGTCGTATTCAGGATGCACTGCAGAATGCCCTTGGATCCACACAGTCAGCGGCAGGTCCGAGGACCAATGACGGGCGGGGATACAGCGGCAACTCCGACAAGTCACAGTGTCCAGAGTGAGGTGGGGAAAACCTACTTCCCTGCCTAAGGTAAACACTACTACTTTCCAGTACTAGTTAGTACTGCTGTCATTCGTGAGATTTGACCGCCTGGCCAGTGGGTTTGGCACCAATTCTCGTCAGCTTCATAGGTTGCAGTAGCTCTGGTGCGGCTCCAAGAGGCGGTAAGCCTTGATTCGTCCCTATTCAGTACGAGGATTCGAACTGCTCCTCTGTCCATGATCCAATGACCATGAGGCGCATCTTTGCTTTTTCTTTTCCTTTTTCCTTATTCTTGTTGCGTTCGAGGAGGCGCCGCGCCATGAGACCATTCGATTGCAATTTCACCTGAACTGGGATGCGACCCCGATGATCCCTACTGAACTAGTTCTGATTATGCCCATCAGCCTCGGCCACAACTAAATTAAATTCAAAGATACTAGTGGAGTGTGCCTGGTGACTGGCGCTTCCATCGCGCTCTCCTCATTTCCTGACTGTTTTCCCTACCATTCATTGCCCACACATTATCCCCCAGGCACTAACCCATCTCCCGCTGTTATTTTTGTTCTCGCTGGTCTGATTATATTACCGTCGTTCTGAGATCGTGCCTGACCCTGCCGGGCCCGAAAGCACTAATTTAAGCTTGAAATCGCGCGGGGTGTTGGAATAGTCGTGAGCTTTCGGTTGGTCCCTTGCCGCGATCGCTGGTTCCAGTCGCTTGCCATCCATGTCTCTCCAGGCCGACGACCCACGGTCGCGTGGCCGTTCCAAATCTCGACAGCGCTCCAGTTCGCGCGCTTCTGCCCTGGGGAATACGTACCTGTCTTCCGAACCCGCAGACGAATACCTGCGAGCGAGATCAAGGAGCCGTGGCTACCGGACCAGCGCCAGCCATCTTCCCTCTGGCCCTGATTTGGGTCACTATACTTATTTACGCGATAATACTGACCCCTCGCGGTCCCCTAACCTTCGTCCGGTTCGCTACGATGCTCCCCCGGATGATGTCTACTCGGAGTCGGACGACGAGGGATTGGCCTATGGGGATATTCCTGATGGATTCGAGCGCAGCTACTATGGCTACATGGCTACTCCCCGGACCTCGTCATCTCAGGTCAACGGTGCAATGATGTCCGGCGCGCTGAATGGAGACAGGCGCGCCGGAAAGGAGCCCACCTCAGGACGCTCCAGCGAGGAAGCGCTTGGCGGTCATCCTAGTTACGCAAAACCGGGCGCGTTTAAATATGCGACGCCCGGTCAATACCTTCATGCGCAACCGGACTGGGCGCCTGTTCCAGAGTGTGAGCGCCCAGGGTTCGTACCACCTTCGTCGCAAGCTGACGAACAATACATGCCGGGTGCGTTCCCGCAGCCGGCGACGACCGCTGCGCCGGCGTTTCCGATGCCTCAGTATGCGAACCTGGAAGCACAGTCGAATCCTTATCCATCATGGGGCGGTCGTCCCGTCTCGATGTCTGGTCCTCATGCGTACGCTCCCAAGGTCAGTTCTCCGACCCATAAACGCGCCGTATCAAGCGACACCACTGCGCAGACCCCGTACGCCAACCCGCCTACTTTCCAGTACGCGCAGATCGACCCGAAAGTTCAATATACCTCTAAGGGCGCATCGAAGCAGCCTGTGTCATATACCGCGACACCCCAATACACGAAACCGGGCGAGGCAGACAGGGGTCAACCGTCACAGTACGCAAACGTCAAATACTCTGCCAATCCGCAGTTCTCCAAGACGCCTACCAGCCGGCCGGAGAGCGGACAGCAATATGTCGAAATCGTGCCCGGCGACCGGACGGGCACTCGTTCGAAGAGCCACTCCGTCTCCTCGGGCAACAATCTGTCGGTCGCAGGCCCCGATCCCGGCCTTCGACCGGCTAGTCCGATGCTGGAGCCATACAAGGGGACGTACCAGAGCATCTCCCCGATGCCGTCTCCGATCGTCATTCCTTCCAAACGGGACGAAGATGTGTCGGACCTAGAGCCCCTAGATGGCGGCTCCGACTCGAGTGGGCTAAGAAAGCATCGGAGGAAGAAATCGAAGGACGAAAGGGAACTGAAGGAGCCGAAAAGTGATCGCTCCAAGCGCGAGAGGAGCCGTGTCCGACATGAGCGACCTGGTTCGCAAGAACAAGCCGTCATGCTGATCGAACCCAGCACACCGCGCAAGAAAGTGTCTTTCTATGACCCCGAACCCGATGCCATGACCATGCAGGATGCCTTATCGCATACCCGCAGCATCGATAGCAAGGCCCTCATCCGCGTGCTGCCCCGTTTGACCAGCGAGGAGATCTTGGACCTCCGGGCGGAGTACAAGAAGCATGTGAAGCTGCACGGGAAAAGCGTCAACCTTGCCAAGCATATTCGTTTGAAGCTGGGCAACAGTACCTTTGGCAAGGTGTGCTATGCGACTGCATTGGGCCGGTGGGAATCTGAAGCATTCTGGGCGAACTGTTACTACCAGTCGAGTACGTCCCGGCGTGAGCTGCTTATTGAGTCACTGTTTGGCCGGAGCAATAGTGAGATCCGTGCGATCAAAGAATGCTTCCGCGACTCGCGGTACCTTGATAGCCTGGAGAAATGCATGAAGGCCGAACTAAAGGCCGACAAATTCCGAACAGCTGTGTTAATGGCACTAGAGGCAAACCGGCAGAGTGAACGGGAACCCCTCGATGGCGAGCTGATCGAACGAGACGTCCACGAGCTGCACAAGGCGCTGGTGTCGCGACATGGAGGCGAAACCGCGATGATTTATATCATTGTTCGCCGGAGCGACTCGCATCTGCGAGAGGTTCTCCGCTTGTATGAGCGGATCTATGGCCGGAATTTCGCCCGTGCTATGATTTCCAAGTCGCAGAATCTTGTGGTATGTATCCTGCGTGATATTATGGTCACTTTTATATATATATATATATATATTTGTCTTTCCCCTTATTATAGGATTCTGATTAACTTGATGAAACAGGGCGAAACTCTTGCGCATATACTCAACGGAGTTATCAACCGACCCATGCGTGACGCTCTTCTTCTCCACCAGGCCCTGCGGGAATCGCGGACGGGCAAGGAGCGATCGGAATTGTTGATTTCTCGACTGGTCCGATTGCACTGGGAGCCGCGCCATCTGGAGCAGGTCAAAAGCGAATTCCGTCGGAGATACAGAGAGCGACTGGAAGAGGCTATTTTCGAGGAGGTATTGGCGAGCAGCAGCGGCGATGACTGGGGGGAGTTTTGCATTGGATTGGCGCGCAGTTCCAAGGAGCTGTCGAAAAAGGGATAAAGAGGAGTCTGGTTACGACTTGACGAGTTTATGGATTTTGTGCTCATGATTCGATGACAATTTTTTGGTTATGGTTACGCATGCACTGTATAGAACAAAGGGTTAAGCAGCCAGGAAAGGTGGGGAAAAGAATAAAAAAAAAAAAGGAAAAAAGGAAAAGAAAAAAAAGAAAAGGATAAAGAAAGAGGAAAAACCGGGAAGGGAAAAAAGGGGGGGAAGAAGAAAGCTGGATGGATTGTAGGAAATGTGACATTAGTTAGTTGTGTTATCAGGAGAATTTAATGGCCCTATAATAATAGTATGGATTGTTACATGTTGATGGATTGCCCGACTCCATTAAAATCTGCAGTTCGCCATTTTTGTCCGCGGGATGTTTATATACGGCTGAGTTCAAAATTGACGACCAGGCAGCCATGATAGGAATATATCTACTACTAGTATGTACCTATAAACTTCACTGATCGGCAATTTGTCGTATGGCCCCCTTACAGAAACCACCGATAATAGCCTCACCAGATTTTATTCTTCGGTGACTGCGTTGCCTCAGTGTCCTAGGAATCAAGCGGTCAGCAACTACGACTACTACCGTAGCTAAAGCAAGAATCCATAGATCCATGTTGATATCTGGGACTGATACGAACAAAGTATATACTAATTCACATACTCACACTTATGATATGTATGTCTCTGACGTGGAGCCACTCGCGGGAAGTCAAACTGGGACTCAAACGTTGGTTCCTGCGGCAGACACGATGGATCATGTGGGGTGGAACCAGTGATGCTGTGTTTTTTTCTCCTCCCTTAACATTTAGTCTAAGAGTTTGATTGGGAAACACTAAATCTGCAGGGTAAAAGGAGGTCACGGTCACACTGCAGGTTCGATAGACGCCTTGCCACCTGATACCATCACAATTGTCGGTCACACGGGACTGACTACTACTACTACTACTACTTAGTAGGCACCGTAGTATACCAAAGTCTCTTTAGAATAGTAATAGATTGTGTATAGATGTTGTAGTCATGTAGGATTCCCTTTGATATCCCCTGATCGGACGGCAAGAGTGACCCCACTTCCAAGTATTGACTCCATCTTCAGCTCGATGTATCACTTTCCTGTTTAGGGCACGGGAGCATCACTGACAGGCCTCTGCCTCAGGCCATGATTGTTTCTATTGTCATTTCGACTCCCCCAAATCGAGCTGCAGATCTTTCGACCCCCATCCCGGTTGATGCAGTATCTAGTTCGGCTACCGGAAGACATCTATTCTTAGTCCCTTATTAGAATTGGGGTCATCCTCGCTTCTGTTTCTCACCGCATTATTATCGCGCAATGAAATTGATACGGATATAAGATGTCTGCGATGCTCTCTTCCTCGCGCACCGAGGTAACCAATGTCATATGCTTTCCCCTCAGATCGCTGCCGAAAAAACTAACTCGGTCTACCCCATAGTCACCAGCCACTAGCGCTTCTTGGGCCTCTCCTTGTTTGCTCAGGTGGATCTGAAAGCCAGGACTATCATGGTTTAGTGTCGGGTTGTCTTCATTAGATCGCCTGCAGCCCCAGAGTGTATTGGCCTAGGACTGGTCGAGTCCAAAGAGGCTAAGGATAAGGTACATACTCCCACTCTGTCGACCCTTGCTTGTTAATCTCCGATCTTGTCTCCTGTCCAATTATTGGGACTTCTAGAATTCCGTGTTTCTTTCACCTGTCGGGCAGGCGGATCGAGGCCGCATGAGTTGCTCCCCCACAGGGACTGACAGGTCAGGCGATATTGAGGGAGTCCCAATCATGCGCGTCCTCATTCCGCACTCCGTTTCTAGACCCTCATGCAGCGTGCTAAACTTCCATAATCCGTCTAGCCCCTCTTGAATTGTCTCTCCTGCCTTCCGGTATGCGGGCTGGACCAACTATATAAGTGTGCCTGGCATTCCTTTGGCATTCTTCAGGCCCACATTCTCGGTGGCACGTTTTTCGGCGGACCTCGATCGTTGCTCGTTCATTTTTTTCAAGACAACTTAAAATTCCTACGTACATAAAGGAGGATGTACCCTGTATGAATCCCTCGATACGGACCATAATGCATTTTCTCTCGTTTTGTCTGTCGGTGGCCTCTCTGGTGTCTTACGCAGGAGCTGCGTCAACCTTCTCCCCTGCGAGGCCACCTGCCCTGCCCTTGGCTGTCAAGTCGCCGTACTTGAGCACATGGCTGTCTGCGGGCACGGATGGCGGTAATGGAGGGTATCTGGCCGGCCAATGGCCTACCTTCTGGTTGTGAGTAGTCCCGAGATGTAGTAATTCAAGATATTCATCTTTATGGTACATTGACTAAATCACGTCCCTGGTGGCAGTGGCCAGGTAAATGGCTGGGCGGGTCAAATCCGGGTCGATAATTCGACCTACACATGGATGGGGGCTATCCCTAACACCCCTACGGTGAACCAGACTTCCTTTGAGTACACCTCGACCTCGAGCGTGTTCACGATGCGTGTGGGGGATATGGTAGAAATGAAAGTGAAATTCCTTTCTCCTATCACACCAAATGATCTCCGGAGACAGTCACTCGTGTTCTCCTATCTGGACGTAGATGTCGAATCAATTGACGGCAAAGTGCATGACATACAGGTGTACGCAGACATTTCGGCCGGTAAGCAAGAAAACAACCGATCTGAAACCGTACAAATATTCGTCTAACAAGGCCTTAGAGTGGGTATCTGGGGACCGAAACGCCATTGCGCAGTGGGACTATGGTGTCACTGATGATGGCGTCGCCTATCACAAGGTTTACCGCCAAACGCAGCTGCTTTTCTCCGAGAACACGGAGCAGGCAGAATGGGGAGAGTGGTACTGGGCAACAGACGACGAAAATGGTCTGAGCTACCAGTCCGGACCGGATGTTGATGTGCGAGGAGCATTCGCAAAGAACGGAGAGTTGGCCAATTCGGACGATAAAAATTATCGTGCAATTTCGACCAATTGGCCCGTGTTTGCCTTCTCCCGCGACCTTGGCTCGGTGAAGACGTCTGCAGGCACGTTATTCTCCATTGGCCTTGCGCAGGACAGTGCCATCCAGTACAGTGGTAAACCTGAAGGGACAACGGTGATGCCTTCACTCTGGAAGAGCTACTTCAGCACTGCGACTGCTGCGGTGAGTGATTTACTGCTGTGTTTCGGACCTAGAACATAATCTGACAATCCATGTAGCTTGAGTTCTTCCATCATGATTATGCTGCTGCGGCTGCACTATCGAAGGATCTCGATGACCAGATATCCAAGGATTCCATTGAAGCCGCTGGACAAGACTACCTGACGATCACCTCCCTTACGGTGCGTCAAGTCTTTGCTGCAGTGCAATTGTGTGGGACGCCCGAGGACCCCTACATCTTCATGAAGGAGATCTCCTCCAATGGCAACATGAACACCGTGGACGTCATCTTCCCCGCCCACCCGATCTTTTTGTACACAAATCCCGAGCTCCTGAAACTGATTTTGAAGCCAATCTATGAGATTCAAGAAAATGGAAAGTATCCAAACACATACGCCATGCACGATATTGGAACCCACTACCCGAATGCCACCGGCCATCCAGACGGCAACGACGAGAAAATGCCACTGGAGGAGTGTGGAAACATGGTTATCATGGCGCTCGCATATGCCCAGAAGGCTAAAGACAACGACTATCTCTCACAGCACTATCCAATCCTCAACAAATGGACGACATACCTCGTGGAGGATTCTATCTACCCCGCGAACCAGATCTCTACGGATGACTTTGCTGGCCCACTAGCGTAAGTGATGTCCATACGCGAGATAGGCGTCGATACTAATAGAATGTACAGAAACCAGACCAACCTGGCATTGAAGGGAATCATTGGAATCCAGGCAATGGCTGTGATTAGCAATACGACTGGACACCCGGACGATGCGTCTAACCACTCCAGCATAGCCAAGGACTACATCACAAGGTGGCAGACACTAGGCGTGGCTCACGATGCCAATCCTCCGCACACGACGCTGTCGTACGGGGCTAACGAGACTCATGGTCCGTTCGCTGCTCAGGGTGCATTTACAATGCTGACTTTCTCCAGGGCTTCTGTACAATCTGTACGCGGATCGTGAATTGGGTTTGAACTTGGTTCCTCAGTCGGTCTATGACATGCAGAGCACCTTCTATCCGACTGTGACAGAGAAGTATGGAGTGCCGCTTGATACTCGGCATGTGTATACCAAGGGTAAGCTCGATGTCCCTCTTGATGTTTTAGCATCGAATATTGACTCGTCCCCAGCGGATTGGGAGCTTTTCACAGCCGCGGTTGCGTCCGAGAGCGTCCGAGACACGTTCCACAAGTCGCTTGCGACCTGGATCAACGAGACCCCGACCAACCGTGCCTTTACGGATCTTTATGATACCCAAACTGGAAAGTAAGTGTTTGCAGACGGGCTACTTGGGCTTTGCTAACCAATCTAGTTATCCGGCGGGCATTACGTTCATTGCGCGGCCCGTCATGGGTGGCGCCTTTGCATTGCTAATTCTCGACTAGGAGGGATTCACAGTATATTTGCTTATGTTTGCTTCTGGTGCGCGAGAAGGGGGGGGGGACACTCGCTTACTTTGTTATTAATTCTATTATTACCATGGCCGTTGGACCAGACTGTGACCGTTGTGAATAGCGCATTGCATATATAGTATTCTTATTTGTCCGCAAATACAACAGTGTTATTGTACTTGGGTCAAACAAACAGTTGCAGGTGTAGATAACAGATGCTCCATCAAAGGAACTCTCTGGGCTGCAAAGCTGTTTTCATTCAAGCATATATAAAGGTCGTTTACGGATCTAATCATGCTTATACGAGTGGTTATGGCCATTTATCGCAGATCGTAAGTGGACTCGACCGAACCATCCCACGCATCAAAAGCACGAATAAGGTCTGCCAAAGTCAGCAATCATCCTCTTCACACGCCCCTCCAATGAAGAAGAGAGAAAAGGGAAAAAAAAAAAAAAAAAAAAGACATACCATAATACAAAGCCATGGCCTCCAAATGCACATCAATAGCCACCCTCTCATCGACGGTATGAATATTCAACGCACCCCCAACCCGCGACGGACTCCACCGATAAATATTCCTGGACAAATTCCAATAAAACCTCGTATCAGTATTGCCCGTCATGATATCGCCACTCACAACCACCGTCTTCCCCTTCAAACTGGGCACCGACTCAAACACCGATCTCGTCACCCCAGAAAACCGCGTCCAAACAGCATCAGTCCCCGTCCCTGTCGGACTCACAGGCGCCGGCGACAAAGACCCGCTCAACGTCGAAATCGTCAAATGGTTCTCCTTCCCTTCTTCCTCCCCTTTGTTTTCTGGGAATGCCGCCAACGTCAAATTAAATTTCTCCACAATTGGTGACACAATCCGAACCGCCCGATCCTTGACTTCTTCCGGCGTCTGATGCAACGCTACCCGGTAATTCACTATCGCTTCAATATGCTCCGGTAACGCATTGGTCTTCACCCCGCCGTGGAAAAGATCGGCTGCTTGCGAGGTTTGCAAGATGTACCGGAACTTGTCGCCGCGTGAGCGGGCTAGTTTCTCGGCCGTGGAGACGTGGTCATTTGATTGGAGCGCGGAGGCAAGCCAGGGCTCGACGCTGGAGGGTGAGTGTTGCACCTGACATTCGAGTTTCTTGCGCGAGGGGTGAGAGTCGTCCAGACGGGGTGTGAATAGTTCGTTGTTCTCCAGGGTGTAGATTATCTCCGAGAGGATCCCGATCCCCGTGTGTGCTGGTGGAACTGAACTGTGACCTCCTGGTACGGAGAGCGTGAAGACGAGATCTACGCTGCCTTTTTCGGATACGCCTGGTAGGGCGTAGATTATTCTGTCATCACCATCTTGATCTTCAGAAGAAGCAAAAGAAGAAGAAGAAGAAGAAGAAGAAGGAGCAAGAGTCTCCAACCCCATTCCCCCCTCATCAAGCACAAACTCCACTCCGTCCTTCCCATAAACCCCCTCCAAATACTCCGCAATAGATCCCGCGCCCAGGAACCCATGCGACTCCTCATCGAACCCAAATGCCAGCAACACCGTCCGGTTCGGGGTCCAGTCCTGGCTTAGCAGATCCTCGACTACGGAGAGTAACCCGATCAGCACGTTCTTGCAGTCGCTGGCTCCGCGGCCCCAGAGCCAGGTGCCGTCATAGTAGCCCTCGAATGGGGGGTGTGTCCAGTCGCTTGCGTCGTTGATGGGGACGACGTCTTGATGGGCGGTGAAGAGGAGGGGTTTTAGGGTTGTGTCTTTGCCGGTGACGGTGTAGACCAGGCCGAGGCGGTTGATGTGGGATAGGGTTGCTTTTTTGTGGCTTTATTTTTTGGGGTTATCTTGATTAGTTTTGGTTGGGGTAGTGTATGGTAAGATAAGATACGGACATACACAAGAGGGAAAAGCTTCTTTAAAAGATCCTGGAACTCGACAAATGGTGCGAATCCCTCGTCATATGGGTCTTTCAAGTAATCTGTCACGGTGGTGGGGACTTGCACGGCCCTGGAGAGTCGATTCGCCTGACGAGCCCGGATGGACTCGTCTTCGACGAATCTGAGGGCTGGGAGGAGACCATCTTCCGGAGGGGAGACCTTAGGAGCTAGTGGGCAGATATCATTGTCCGACCAGGGAGTCGGATTGAAGACTTGCTGGGAGGACAGGAATGGAATTGGGATGCTGAGGGATGTTACTGCTGTGGGTGATAGGAGACCTATCAAATGAAGGGTTTTGAGGTGCATTTTGAGGGTTTATTCCATGTATTCTCTGTCTTTAGACAATGGTATACATATATAATTGTGTTGGGTTATGTGTATGTACTGAGGTGAAGAAAATGGAATAGAATTGAATTGAATTAAAGTGGGATCCGTGAGATATATATCCTTATTTTAGCACTGTCGCCATTTCCGTCTCCAATTGGCATCGCATGGCAACGTTATCACTGCTAGTCAATTGATTGATCCAATGGACTCCGCATTCTTCTCCGCTTTGGGAGTGCAGGACCTCGGATAAGAATGCATTCTCAATGGTGCAATCGCCGATAGAGCGGATTCGCCCGCCTTTTAGTCTGCCCTAGTTTTGCCGGTCTGGGAAGGTCGATGCTGGCTTAGATTCGTCTTGACAGAAGCTTGGTTTGGAGGTGGGTTTCTTTCTTTCTTTCTTTCTTTCTTCTTATCTTTTATCTTCTCGTTGCCGATGTATGTGCATATCTATCTTGGTGGGAGGTTGACCTGTTCGGACACAAGACCGAGTCGGAATTGGGTGTTTGAGAAAACAGTTTCTTGGCCTGTTTTACCTATGAAATCCTTTTCTTCCCTTTTTCTAGAAAGGAGGTCTTGTTCGTGTCAGATGAACTTGGTTATATTGGGGGAATTTATGATGTGTTTCTGGTTTGTATCAAATTTTTAGAGGTCTGTATCAAAGGTTTTGACACCAAATTATTTGAGATTTTTATAAAACAAAAGAAGAGGAGGAATCTTAAGGGCTTAGTAGAAATCTCAGACATCGGCCTCGTATTTGAACTAATTTCGTTCATTCTGGCTGTATGGTAGGTAGGTAGTTGAAGTTGTTGTTGATGTTCACTTTTGACGCGGGACGCGTTGCGCCAAGGTGTTGTTGCAATATGCACATACATACTTTTGACTCACTATGGTATACTATAATTTATACAGTCGCGAGATATAGAATTATCTTTCTTGTTTATATATAAATAAATACTATCCAATGGTCTTTCTATCTAGATTATGGAATATGGAGTAGAGCCAATAAATCAGAACCCATGGTAGGTTGGACCCAAACCCCAACCTACACAGTTTATGGCATTAGACCACAGTCCCAGTCGTGATATCCATGGACTGGGAACGGTGATGAAATATCCCGTGACTTGTGAGAATTGTTGAATAGCCACTGTGGTTCTGTGCAGATACTACAGAATGGGCAAATTGTAGAAGATCTACGATCTGTATATTAACAAACTTATCATGTCAGATTCATGCGGCAATTTCTGCGAACAATAAATAAATATGCACCCTTCAATTAACAAAACCAATTTTTAAGCCTTGCTCGAATTCCAATCTGCAATCGCATCCTTGCCGACCTTATCCTGGATAATCCGATGGCTCAGATCCCAGAGGGAGGCTCCCAAAGTAGGATCAGAGGCCTGGCTCGTTTCCTTCCCAGGCTGTGCCGAATCAGAGAAATAATAGCCGTTCCAACTCTGTTCCTCAATCTCTGGGCTGGTTGCCGCCCAAAGCGCACTAAAGGCGCCCTGTTCCACATCGCGACCGATAGCCAGCATCGCCGTTGTGATCACCTTTCCCAGAAGGCCAGGATATGCGTCCTTCCACTGTTGCTGCATGGTTGTGTTGACCTGAGGATTCCGTTATCAGCTACCTAGAATGTGCAATACCATGTAACCGTTGAAATAGTAGACTCACCGCACCAGGATGTACCGAAAGTACATATATGTTATCTTCATTGGGCTTAATCACCCGATCCAAAAATCCATACTTGACACCAAGGATGATGGCCAATTTCGACCTCCCGTATAATTCAGTGTTGTCAATATCGGGGTTATTGATCTCGTCCAGAGATCCAAAATGGACCACCTTCGGGGCAGCTCGGTGCTGCTCGGAAGTCTCCCAGACAATGCGAGGAGCAGGCGTGTCCGGCAATTTAGATGTTTTTCGTATGAGCGGGAAGAGTAAGTTGCAGACGTAGAATTGGCCCGTCCAGTTCACTTGGAAGTGGCGGTCAATCTTATCATGAGTTTCGCCATACTGGTTTGCGTTGATTCCGGCAGACAGGATGAGCTATATGAGGATATTAGCACATAAGACCGGTGGCGTATCAAGCGGAACATACTAGGTCCAGCCGCTCCTCCCGCTCACAGATACCGGTGAATACTTCTTTGATCTGCGCTAGGTTTCCCATGTCGCATGGTATCCATTCGATCTTTGCGTCCTGGCCGGCTTCCTCCTTGATCTTGTCGATGGCTGCTTGGCCTTGCTCTTCTTTGCGATTCACCATAATCACTCGTGCTCCATTCAGCACGAATGCACGGGCGACCTCATAACTGATAATCTTATCAGCCTATTTATTGGATTGGAAATTTTGCTATAAGTGAGTGTTAGACTAACCCGATACCCAACGCCCCTCCGGTTATCAGAGCGACTCGACCGGAAAGGTCGTGAATCTCCTTTTTGGGGCCAATTACTGGCTTCAACACAGATTGCATGGTTGCGAATTAGTTTTACTGATTACTTTGTAATTGTTTATTCTTTAAATCCTAGAATGTGAGTTGGGTGAACGATTTATAGAAGCTGGAAGTTGGTCGGTTCAGCCCTATGTGCTCAAGTTGATGTCATACTATGACGCAAGTGGAACACGATAGCAAGAAATCCAGTCAACATTTTGTATCAGATTTAAATGCATCTGTTGGACGGTGTCTGTAACATTATGTACTTGAGAAATATTGGTCCGTGGTATATCTATCGGTCCTGTCTACGTTCTCAACTCCGGAAGAACTTCCCAGCGGGACGGTAACGGTCCTTGCAGAGCTAAGCTTATCGAACAAAGTACTTTTCCAAAGGAATATATATATATATATATATATATAGGTAATGTAAAGTAAAGATGGGTAGCGTTTACAATATGGCCTGCGATATGTCTTGCGATATGTTAGCGTAGCTAAAAGGCGAATGTTGGACGTAGACGTATTTAAACCTTGGTGGAACTGGCCATAGTTGAATGGAAAGGACTTCTGGGAAGTCGGGTCTATTGCTGTCGGCCGGCCGTGTCGATAGTGTCGAGCACGCACTCCTGGCCGTCGATAATAGTCTTGTGAATAATTGTTTACTATAACAAAAGTTCCATTGTTTATATACTTACTGCGTAAGCACTTTATTCTCTCGGATGATCAAACCCTGATAACTGCTTACATAACATAGGTCAAGCTCAAGACTTTTACTACGTACAATTTGTACCAGGCGACGAGGGGTAAAGAGAAGGGTAACTGCATCGTCCGTCGTTCTAGAAGCATGAAGTGTCTGGTATGCTTGCAGTGGGATATTAATATCTGGCCAGGAAGGAAGGGATGAGCTCGTGGCCTGCGATGATATCCCTTTTGTTCTTCGAGAAGGGCTGATTTGGAATTGGTGGGTGCCAGACACTATAAATGTCTTGGTGGCGCGGGTGGAGTCACTCGACGTGTCTGATACTACTACTTTTTACAGATGAGACAGGATATTTATGGTTTTCGGACTTTATGGTATTTGTGTTTTTTTCTCCTGTGAGATCTGAAGTCCGATCAAGATTTGAATTACTATGGATTTGTATTGTACTGAAGAGTAGGACAGGACAAGGAACAAGGGCTCCTGTGATCAGGTGCCGATCCTTGTCGGCAGTCAATTCCATAACTCAACCCGAACCATTCTTGCGATCTTCGAAACAACTTCTTAACTTCTCAAACATGACACTCTCGCTACCACACATTCGCATTTCTTTCCCTCCCTGTACTGTTTTACCCACACTACACTGACAGATGGAGCAGTTCCGAACTCTGCGGGATTTTACTGGAGCCATTACGGAGTGAAGACTCCCCAGATGAGAGACCGGATCCACACCAATGACGGCACCGCGTCTCTCTTCCCCCCCGGGAAAAAAAACATAATAATCGATAGTGTCTCGCGTGGTCAGTCTCAGAAAGCAATAGTTATGTCGATCTGTGACATCACCGCGTTGACTCCCAGTCTCTAAAAGCCCAAGGGAGTGGATCACTGAAAAAAAACCTACGTTGGCCCTACGCTAAATTGCCCGATCACAACTTAAGCGACATGAACGACCCATGAAACGGAAGTAAGGGATTGGCTGAAACGCCTTGCCCAGCGGGGGTTTCAGTTTGTCGATCGACTAGCGAACTAGAGTTCACTCAGTGAACTCCGTTGAAGGGGAGAAAAACGGAAAATACTTGAGTTTAGTGTGTACACTCTGTACGGGTCGTTTCTTCTTGCGATCTTCCCGATCGGCATTCTGTTGCCGTTTCATTTCTGGGTTTTGGGTTGGATTTGCGGATTTTCCCAGGGGGTTGGATTTTTTTTTTTTTTTCCCTTTAACTCTCTTCTTCCTTTCAAGGGTGGTGGATGAAGGGATTAGATTATTTTTATATTTGGGATTGTGCCCCGTTGCTTGTGTGGTTTTTTTTTTTTTTGTTTCTGTTTCTGTTTCTTCTCTCTTTGATTTGAAGAATATTTAAACTATCTTTAACCTTCCATTCTTTGTTTGTTTCATCTTTGATCACTATTCACTCTTTTTTTTCCCAATTTATAAATAAAATAAACTAAATCTGCCCGGTGCCGAATCACCCAAAAAAAGACATATATAAACAGACATTCACTCAATCAACACATCACCCATCAAGACAAAAAGAGGAGAGGAAAAACAAAATCCAAAATGACAAGGACAATAATCAACCTATCCATCTTCACTCTCCTATCTCTTTCAGCGCCAGCGCTTGCCTTGAACACAGCCTGTTACAATGACCTGGGCAATCTGACTCCCTCGCATTCGACAGAATACCAATCCGTGGCTCTCTGTCAGCAATTCTGCAACCAAGAGAGCAAGCCTGTTTATGGTGTGCAAGACCAGAAATGTTTCTGTGGAGATACTCTTCCTCCACTCTCTGCTAAGGTTGAGAATACGGAATGTAAGACGAGATGTCCTGGGTATCCGGTTGAATACTGTAAGTGCTGTCTTATCTATACCCCCAACCCTAACCTCCGACAACCAACACACAACCATATCCCTGAGAAAGGAAAATACAAGAAACATAACTAACAAGAAACCAGGCGGCGGCCAAAAAACCTACACAATCGGCTCCACCACGAAATCCCAGCGCCGCGCCATATCCGCAACCACAAACACTGAAACAGACAAAGACACCGAAAGAGAAACAGAAGCCAACGGCATCTTAACCGCCCCCGACGTCGACGAAGGCGACTCCGACCCCCTGGCCTCACTCAGCGTGAACCCAACCATGGTGAAGACAGCCAGTAACGGCCCTTCTACTCCTACCGGCACTGATACTCCCAAGAGTATACTGACTGCTCCTTCGGGGACTGCGTACCCCAATCAGCCGGATGTTGTTACCAGCCCTTCTTCGACCTTGGCTACTGCGGTGCCGACGGGGAGTGCGAAGGCTTCGGCGTCGGCTTCGGTGTCAGCGTCGGCGTCTGTGAGTGGGGGGGCTACGCCGTCGGCGAGTGTGGTTAGTGGTGGTGCTTCTTCTGTGATTTCTTCTTCTTCTGCTGGATGGGGGGCGGTTGTTGGGCTTGTTGTTGGTTTGGTGGGGCTTGGGGGTGTGTTTTAAGGGTGTGCTGTTTGGGATTGTGAATAGTATTGTGGGTGGGGTTTGTTTATATGGCTCGATTGTGTGTATCTTGGTCTACTTACTGTCTTTTCCTTGTGAGTTCGCTGGTCGACTCATGGCTTTACTGCGGTATTTTGTGCTGGATTCTTGTGCACGTTGGATACCCGATCCGCTCGCTTAATCATAATATATTGTTGAACGATATACCATAGAATAAATACACAATTGATTAGAGGACTATGGCAATGCAACGAAACCAGTAAACACAAAATAGCTTCAATGTTGAACCACGACACTCGAAGAACGCGCGACTCGCATTAGGGGTATCATTCTGGAGAGGGATATTACAAGACTAAGTACGAAGATGTAAGGCTGTACGACACTATGTGGCAGTAGAAAAGACGAGCAGATCAAGTGTTATCCTCAGCTATCAAGCCACGTTGATGCCTTTCGCCGCGAGCATGGCCCGGTCTTTTTCTTTCATGGTCACGTGCTCGAAATTCGAGGGAAGAGGTTTTCGGTCTCTTGTTTGCTGTTAGCTTCATTCTTCGGATATCGATACGAGAATAAGGACATACTTAAGGTATCTGACTTTTATGTTTCTCGCTCTGTCCTTGAGCTGGACTTGGTTTCGCCCTTTGATGCGGCTCTCGCCCTCCCGGACTGGCTGCGCCTCGTTTTGACTGGCGATCTTGCACCACCCGCTGCCCTTGGGTCCTCCGAGACCGACCTCTTCGATTAACCGAATCAGTCGCTTGTCTTCGGCCGGCGTCCATCGCACTGGCGCCTTAGTCGATATGACTGTGTGTCTCGCGCTAGAAGACACAGGGACAGGCTTGGTACTCCTGGGCGCTGCCTCGGGTGATTCAGCAACGGGATTCGTACTCCCACGCGCTGCCTCAGGGGATTCAGGAACGGAGGTTCTGCGTGTGGTCTCTTCAAGACCGCTCAGCAGCTGGGCTGCGGATTCGTCGTGTTCTTCGATTCTTTGGCGTTTGTTCTGAGGCCGTGCGGGCTTTTCTGCACGCTTGCGTGCGGTGTCGACGGAGCGGTTGTAGTTGCTGAAATCGTCGTCGCTCTCTTCATCCTGGTCCTCTGAATCATGGCGTCTTCGTTTCTTGGACTGCAGTCCGACGTGGCGTCGTTCGGCGCTTTGTGGATCGGCCCCTTGGCTGATGGGGGAAATGCGGTGCGCGTTTGCTTGACGGTCGATGAACCGGGACGCCTGCTCGGGCTTTTTGGCTGGTTGTGATGGGCCGTCGTGCTTGGTTGCTTTCCACAGCTCTTGAATGGAGGGCAATGGGCGCGAGGTGTTGCTCCTCCGTGGAGGGGTTGTATCGCGGCGTGGCCTGGTTGCTTTCCACAGCTCTTGACTGGACCGCATTGAACGAAAGGCCTTGCTGGTCTGCGTTGAGGTTGGCTCGAGGCGTACCTCTGTTGCGAAGAGTCTGGTCCTGACCGGGCTGAGAGTTGCGAAGCGAGGCTCGCGTGACCTCCTCATGACGGGACTGTGTGACTTCTCTAATTGTGTGCGTTCATCAACAAAAAGTTCAGACTCGCTGTCTACGTTGAAGTCCTGTTCGTCATGCTGAGGGAGTGGTGAAGATTCACGGAAAGCTGATACTTCGACATGCTCCTCGGTAGGCTCTTCGATGTGTTCTTCGGTAGGCTCTTCGATGTGTTCTTCAGTAGGTTCTTCGATGTGTTCTTCAGTAGGCTCCTCGATGAGTTCTTCAGTAGGCTCTTCTATGGCTTCTTCGGTAGGCTCTTCGGCAGGCTGCTCGGTATGTTCTTCAACAGGCCCTTCGACGTGTTCTTCGGTTGCTTCTTCCAATGGTGCTGGTCGCGATTGCTGGGACGCTGGTAGGGTCTGGCGCCGAAGCTGCGATTCGATTTCCTTATGGATGTTCCCTGGGGCTGGTCTCGCGGCACCGTCCGATTGTCTACGCGCCTCGAAGTCCTTGATGGACACATGGGACTGCTTCGATCTCTGCGCTATGCGCTCAAGAGATGATTTGTTCAAAAAGGCCCTAACTAGGTTAGCCAGCTGCTGAGCTGATACAAAGCTTCTAAACTCACGGTTTGCCAGATTTTCTCCGTTCCTTGGATTCAACCCCTCTCGGTGTGTCTTTAGGAGTCTCGGGTGGGATCGCTGAATCTCTTCGGTTGTCGGGAGAAGTAATCGTGCCCCGTTCACTCCTTTCTTCTGTATGTCGGGGAGCCAAGCTAGAGCGACCTGCCACGCTGCTACTACGACGCTCCTTTGCGTCAATTTCGGCGAAAATTTGCTTGCGTGCAGATTCTGCACTCTGCTGGCGGCTTAAGTCGTGGTCGATTTCCTCACACCGCTTGCGAATCCATCGAGCTGCTTGCAGAAGAAAGCTCCGCCAGGGGTAGGTGGTTTTCAGCTCGTCGATATCAAAGGTGCCATCTTCATCTGGCAAAATGACGAGCAATTCTTCGAAGCGATCGTATGCTGCCTCTCTGAACTCGTCAGGAAGAGACCCATCAACATTAAGCCTTGGCAAGTTGAATCCACGCATTGGAGCATTGCGGCTATCAAACGGTTCGTGAACAGGCACATCTAGGAAGAATCCGTCTTCCAGGATGAAGTTTGGATCGAAGCCGTGTCCATGCTGATGATACTCTAACTGCATGATCAAGGACTGAGTGCGGATCTCTAAGGCGAGTTGGAAGGTGTCCTTTACAAGCGCGCTTTCACCGGCGGTATTCCGCCGGCCGTTGACCAGATCACGCATGAAAGGCAAAGGAAACCGACCCTCGACGTCCCTTATGGCCTTTTTGAAGCCGGTTGAAGTGCCACTAGCCAGGAGCACCTCAAGTGCGAAACGAGCACAGTTGGCGCGATGGAGGATAGGTTCCGCGCTCCAGTTCAGCTCGTGCCCATCCTTGGTCAAATAGGACGAAAGGGACTGGCTAGCTTGCGTGACGTCGATATACGTCCTGCCCTCGAACCACCCTGGCTGGTTCTTCAAGGCGTTTTTATGAACGGCCAGACGTTTGCTTTGAGTGTTCCTGGGATCTGAGAGCCGCTTGGCCATGTTGACGATGCTCTTCAGATCCGCGGAACTAGGGACCAGGAATTCAAGAACCTCCTTTGCGGATCGCTCTAAGCCTGGAAGAGATTCGAGCATCACCTCGGGCTCCAGATCATCCTGGAGATCCTCATCATCCTCATCGTCTTCTGGATCAGTCTCTGCGTCAGGTACGATAATGGTGGAGCCTGACATAGTGTGGTTGTGCGCATCTTCAGGCGATTCAGGGATGACCTGGCCAGCACGAAATCCCGTTTTCCGGGATGACTTAACCGGTGATTCTTCTGTCACGACGCTCAAGTCTATCGATGGAGATGTAAGTTCCCATTCAGCGGGAGCGTAAAGAAGTGTACTTCAGATATCCCCCCCCCCAGTGACAGCAAAACAGAGGATAAAAAAACAGACGGATACACATCGAATCATAATGCAACAGGAGGAACATATGGCAGAACAGGACTTGACATTATATTTCCGGTTTCTGTGTCAACAAAACAAACAGTACTGACCATTTCCGCTCATTTTCCCTTTACCCTTCCACAACTTGCTACTCTTGAGAGAAGACTTTAGAGCAGGGATATCTTCCATCGGATGAGCTTCAAGCTCCCGACTCTGACTCCTCGTCCACCGTCTCCTCGGTGGACTCCCCTTCAACGCATGGATATCCTGTTGCCCAGCACCACGCGTAGCAATGCGAGCCATATCCAAAGGCGGTCAGCAGAGCGGACTGCACCCCAACCCACTCACCGCAGGTATACAGAAATGATATTGAGCCCAAACAGGTCGTATTATGATGAAAATGATGCCCAAGTCGATGGGAATCGATGGCTGTGGATGATGCGCTTGCTGTGGATGGAAAAAGGGAACAAAACAAAGACTGCTGGGAAGAAGACGAAGTGGCGCGTTTGAGGTTTAGGGTATTCTTATGTAATCCGCTTTGGATGCCTAATTTGGCTTTGTTGTTGCCTGAGTGCCTTAATACGGTGACCCTAATGTTGACCCTAATGTTAATGCTAATGTTGACCGTATGACCTCAAACTTGACCCTGCCAAGCACTGCATTTCGTGTCATGGTATTTTGCGCCACCAGTTGCTCACCTTATGAAAACATCTGTAATGATTTTCTTGAACGTTTCCAAAAATGATAGTACCTGTCTTTTTTCATTGAGATGCTTTGCGGGAGTGGAACACTGAACGTATGAGTCAAACACGTTATGGCTCAGGTGATTTGTTGCCTCCGATGTCATCCCGGAACTTTCACCTGGAGGTTGTTTGTAGGACCATGGCACAGCAGATGAATGACCAGAGATATGATCGAATAATGTGACTCCGTCATTGGCTAAAGGATGGTTTTGATCTGAATCGTACCTGTTAACTACATCATGCGTGTTACAAACGTTTCTGTGGTTCCTTGCAAGCAAGACATTGCATTGACTATGGACACAAGGTTTGTATAGACGTCGTACTTTTACTTCATGGAAGGTCCAAGGCAAGTGTGATGCTTACTGTGTAACTGTGCTCAAGCAAAGTCTTGTCCATCATGATCTCATTTCACTTGTTCTTCATACGTTATACCCAACATTTTACGTACTGGATCTCTGATCCAATTCTATTCAAAGTACACCGGGACTTACTCATCCTTCTTAAGCACCCTCTTCGAAACCAGGGGGCTTCCATTCAGAATCTTCTCAAAATCATGTGCATCGAGACACGCCTGTCTCGAATTCAGAACGGAAGTCTCCGCACGGGCAAAGATATCCTGTTCATATGCGGCGACGGAAGAACGAAGAGCGTCCAGTGTGAACGATCTACACCTCTTTGTTAGGATACCGTTTCAATCATGAACAGAATTAGACTGGGAATGGCATCATACTCCCTCGACGTAAGTTCAATCCTCTTAACCAGATCCTGTACATCCACGATGGCATTATTGGCGCCTTCACCTCTGACTACATTCCTTCAGTTAGTAAATAGCCCCTTCCCGAACTAGAAAGAAAAGGAGAACAAACACATGGTCATAGTATGCGCCGAATCACCCACAAGAACAACCCGAGGATGACCCCTTTGCCGCCGGGGACTGAAAATCCAATCCGCGACACGGATCGAAACCACCTCCGTCTCATCTGGTACCTGGTGAATAAGAGACCGGAACGGATCAGCCCAGTTTGCTGTTAGAGATTTCATGAGGGCAATGCGCTCCACATTAGAATCGGGGACTTCGATGCGCTTTGATTCAGCCCAGGAGACGATAAGCTGGCAGTGGTATTTGTCTGTGCTGTCGGAGAAGTTGTTGGGGGTGTCGAGGACTATTTCTCATTAGTATCTGTGCTTATTCTCTGGCTAATCATGATGATGGTGATGGTGATGTAGTACAGCTGAAGAAGAGATACACGTTGGTATCTGGATGTGCGCCTTGGAAGATGAAGGGGTCGATTTTCTGGGCGCCTTTCATTTCCTCAGGTGTGTATAGTGCTGTTGCGCCGAGGAGTTGGACGGGTAGGGGTTGCATTTCGTGGTCGTTTGGATAGAGGATTTGTCTGGAGAGGGACCGTGATCCGTCGCAGCTGAGGAGGATGCGGCCTGTACATGATGAGCCGTCTTCGAAATGGGCTGTCACTGAGTCCGGGGTTGATTCGATATCTTCGAGGGATTTATTCCACTGTCATTAATTTCAAATATCAATTTCCGTTTTTTTATATGACATTGTCGTGTATCGTGTCTATATCCATGAAGCCATGAGCCTCACCTGCACTTCAATCCCACTCGTCAACAACTGACGCATTCGCACCCGACTAACCCGAATCCGCTCCGCAGCAGGGACATTATAAAGCGCCTCCCCAGACTTCAGATCGAAGAACTGGTAGCGACCTGTATCACCGCGCGCAGCAGCCTCCTTGTTAACGTACGTCTCTGGCAGTTGCGTGATGATGTCCTCCGGGAGTAACTGCCGCAATGCGGGCAATGCCCAGTGCAGAGTGAGGCCCCATCCACCGCTCCGTGCGTCGATGGCCGAGTCGCGTTCGAAGATCTGGAACGGGACACCGTGGGTTTTGAGATACTGGGCTAGGATCAGGCCGCTGATGCCAGCGCCGACGATGAGCACGGGGAGTTGTTCGTCGGCCATGGTTGACGCTCGGGTCTCTCTCGATCTATCTATCGATGTAGGGGAAAGTGGGATGAATATCCCGCTGATCCTTGTCTGTTTCTGGCCGCGAGATAGAGAGAGGGGTGGGGAGGGGTATCTTAATCTGTTGGGGTTGGGAGATAATCTAGACTCGTTGGATGGTGCGATATGGATATGAAGGTGGAACTGGGTAGAAAGTAAGTAACTAACGTCTGGCCCGAAGGAAGAGAATCCCGGCCATAGTATATTGGCTGCGTGCTATAACGATGGTTTATTAAGGTTGAGCCGGTTTATTTACTGTCTCTGTGCCTATTTGCTGCGGCCGAAGATTACATTGACAGCGTCCCCACTCGATTGAGACACGGCTAAGCATTTAAAACTTAAGCAAAGAGCATTCACGAGACGGACGGCACGCCGATATGCTTGGGCTCATCTTAACCCGCTCGGGATAAACCCGGGAGATCCACTGGCGTTGACTTCCACCCGTAGCGCGAGCCCTAATTATCTGTCTCATAATCTCATTCCTCGAGGATCACGTAGGCTCTCCCCAACCCCTGCTTAGTGAAACTTACACCGGAGTCTCCTCCGTCGGACGAGGTCGTATTAACGGATATCTTCGGAATCTTAACCAACCCTCAAACATGCCCCCTTGCCTCGATGCAGTATTAGTGCTTACTCTGGCCGTCTTTCCTGTACTCCCTACCTAGTAGTAAGTACAGAGCAAATAAAAAGACTCATACTACGATAGTCTAATAAATGAAACATATTAATTAAAGTCATTATTATACAAGACTAACTACACTATCCCTTTAGATACCTTGCGCTCTAATGACACCCGCACTTCCACCGTCATCTCGATCCCCCCATGGCCAGGCCCCGAACTATCCATGATTAACTCCTCGCTAGGCGTTCGTCTCGGATGGGCCGGCGCCGACGCAGTCGATCGCAATTGAGATCGTGGATCCTTCCACGATTCCAACACATAATGACCCTGACTCTCGTACGCTTTACTATTCGATTGGAAATCCCGCACCAGCCCCTTTAACAGCGGTGCTAAGTAGGGAATGCAGGAGATGATATTCTAGAAACATGTTAGTTTTGGCTCATGGATTAACCTTAGTTATTCTTTCTTTTCTTTTTACGCCGTTCCCCCCCCCTGCAGATACCTTGTACGTAAAGAAGTAAAAGAGGTAAATTGGGGTACTTACACCCACATTAAACTCGATCGTGCCCCAAAGCACCAACGCAGTGGAATTGCCGTCCCCGTAAGCTACACGGTGGATCTGGGTTAATCGCATGATCGAGCAGATGGTCGTGAACAGTCCTAGGAGGAATAGACACACGACGCCCGCTTTCTGGGCGGGTTTGATCTTCAGTCGGAGCAAGAGCGGGATCGGTAAGAAGATGATCATGAGGTCACAGATGATGGTGAAGATGGCTAGCCCGTAGAATGTGCCCCCGACGGGGAGACAAGTGCCTGTTATATCTGTTCGCCAGGCGAGTTGGACCTGTTATTCTTGTATCAGTGGTGACTTTTTTTTTTCTGGATTAGGAAATGAGGAACATACAGGATTACAGTTGAAGATTAGAGCCAGTGCGCCGGCGATGTGCCCTAGTGTGGAGATGATGAGTACTGTCCAGATGAGGACTCGGTAGAAGGACAGTGATGTTTTGGTGAGGAGACGTAGATAGCTGAGGCAGAGCGAGGCTTTGAAGCCGGCGATGCCGATTTGGTAGAAGGGTCGACCGGCATAGTTGAGCTTGTATATGATTAGTTTGAGGGTCTCATAGAGATTGATGCAAGAAGGTATAAAACACTGTACCTTTTTATAGGTTGGTAGGTTTTCTTTCGGGCGCAGGTTGAGTGGCAGTCCCAGGCCGTATCTGCTTTCTGTGGCTGTGAGCGCTCGCCTGTTACATTGCTAGCGATTACTTACGGGAGATACATAGAGCGCTGTAGATGACGCTGAAGAGCTGGATCAGGTTAATGACAACGCCTCCACCAAATCATCTGATCTTTCTATGAAGAATGCGACTCACCATACTCATCACCATCACATAGTCCGCAGTGCCTAGTCGACGAGCGTGCGCCCGAAGACCCAGCCGCAGACAGACGGTAATGACCATCAAAATAGTCAAGCTCAGACAGACACCCAGAATCTCTCGATACTGGGACTGAGCCTCGACCTCTGGAGCGGCATGGTGCACCCAGCCCATCGTTTAGACCAGCATTAGGTAGGTATATCGACGAAAGGAACGCAGACAAGGCATCAAGAAAGGCGCAGAGAGTATCGGGAACAGCTATTTTAACGCAAGACTGCCTAATATGCGACCTCTGCATCATGACACCCAATGCATACGTCCCCCCTTGCACCCTCGTCCTCCACCACCTGCCCGTCAATCTTGTTTGCTTTTTCTGGAAAAGGCTAGACATCATTCCAAGACAAGGATGAGACATTCCACCGAGCTCGCATGGCGTAACCCTCGTGTAGGTGTCCTCCGCAAGGAATGCACGTTGTGATTCACGAAACAGACCATAATCAAATTATAATTATACCTAATCCTCTAGGATTTAACTACAAATTAAAAAAAAAAATAAAATAAAATAAACTAAATCTTACGATTTCCGTAGTCTGTCTAGCTTTGTTCAGCAAAACCCACTTCCCACCGCAAGTCTCACCCAATGCACACACACAAACACTAAAGCAGTGGTCCATTTAGGGCAAACGCATGCAGCAAGGACCCAAAGCATCGAATGCCTGGTGTCGCGCAAACCATTGGCTTTGACGGAGTTAACTTCAATTAAATCATAATTATACTTCTACTTCCCTAGCCCAATAGAGTTTTGCCAGGGTTAGTTCTGACTGGCAGGACTGACTCGGAGGTTTTATTTTCTTGCGCTGACACTGGTAGCATTTGCTTTCTTTTTCTTCTTTTCGTGTCCTTGCCTGCGCTGCGACATTTCTTCTCCCCTTTGAGCAATTTTTTGTTTGCTTCCCGCTTTTTGCTTGTTCTTTGAACACCCTTTTCTTTTTCTTTTTCTTTTTACTTGGGTTTAATCCCTATGGGGGAAGAAGAAAAGAAACATTCCGACGGCGTGGTGGGCCAGACCATGCCCGCGAACCGAGTCGATGATGCAGTTGAGTACCTGGAGGGGCATTCGGACGTGGCCGATACGCAGGATGTAGACATAAGCGCATTGCGTCGCAAGATCGATTACCGCATTATCCCATTCATGTTCTGTTGCTATGTGCTGCAGTTTTTGGATAAAGTCATGCTGAACGTATGTTTTTTTTTTTTTTGTTTCTCCCCTGTTATCCCTTGTTTTAAACCCTAGCAAATCGCAATCAGCTGTCGGATCAGAGAGAGAGAGAGAGACTGACTAATTGCGGCTTTTTTTTTTTACCCCAAAGAGTAGTATGCTGCGGTTATGGGTATAAAGAAAGATCTTGGGCTAGTAGGTAATGATTTCTCGAATACGGCGACTTGGTTCTTTATTGCGTATTTGATTGCGGAGGTTCCTAATGGTATGTCTATCTACCTATCTACTATACAATTATTTGCCCCCTTTTCTTCTACTGTTTGTCGTGGAAGAGAGGATAGGGTTGATTGAATTGATTCATTGAAATGAATTGAATGCGATGACTGATCTGGACTGGCAAAAGTGTATCTCCTCCAAAAGACCCCCGCTGCGAAATGGCTTGGTCTAAATGTTACCCTTTGGGGTGTCGCAGCAGCAGCCTCTGCTGGCGCCCATGATTATCGGAGCTTGCTCGTTTCGCGAATCTTCCTTGGTATTTTCGAGGCCACCATCGGACCCTCGCTGATGCTTCTCAGCAGCCAATTCTACACGCGCAGTGAACAAGCCCCGCGATTCACCTTCTGGTACCTCGGGCTAGGCGTGGCGCAGATCATCGGGGGGATCATCTCGTTTGCGTTCCAGCAGGTGCATCACACGTTTGCCGGGTGGCGGATTATGTTTCTTGTGTTGGGACTTGTGACGATGTTGGTCGGGGTGCTGACGATGCTGTTTATTCCCGATACGCCGATGAAGGCGCGGTGGTTGAGCGAGACCGAGAAGATTGCGTTGTTGCGACATGTCAGTGTGAATCAGACGGGGGTGTGGAGTAGTCGGGTCGATATGAGGCAAATCTGGGAGGCGGTTGGGGATGTACAGTTGTGGTTGTTAACGTTGACTACCATTTGTGTAAGTCACTCTGCTATTCCTTGCCCACCAGGGGAAAAGAAAGGGAGTGCTGACAAGAAGATATACGACAGACGTCCGTATCCTCCGGTGTGGTCACGACATACTCGGCAACCCTAATCAACGGCTTCGGGTTTACGCCTCCGCACTCGGCGCTCCTGAACACGCCCTCCGGCATCGTCAGCATCTTCTTTACGTTGGCCGTCGGGATCGGGATCCGCAGAGTCTCCCACCGCTGGGCTTGGTTCATCTTCTGCACGATTCCCGGGATCATCGGTGGGGCGCTGATGTCGTTCTTGCCGAAGCATAACAAGGCCGGGGTCTTGATTGGCATTTACCTCGTCAATGCGATTGTTGCTACGCTGCCCATTCTCTACCAGTGGACGATGGCGAACTGCGCCGGACACACGAAGCGCGCGTTCGCCAGTGCCCTCGTAGCTGGGTCGTTCTCCGTGGGTAATATTATCGGCCCGCAGACGTTCCAAGCGAGGGATGCGCCAGAGTATCGCCCGGCGAAGATCGCCGTGTTGGCGACCCAGGCCGCGGCGGGAACCCTGGCGTTTGTGTTGTTTTTGTATTATGTATGGGAGAATCGGAGGCGTGTGAAGGCTGCGGGTGAAGGCGAGGAAGAGGTTATTGATGAGACGAAGTGGGCTGGGTTGACTGATAGAGAGAATCGATGGTTTCGATATGTGTATTAGAACTGCCTGGATAATGTTGGTGCTTTCTGGGAGGACGACATTTGATTCGAAATTAAGAATGATGTATATAACAGACGTATGTAAGAAGTATAAAAATGCATGAATCGTTTGGAATGCAGTAGAAATCAAACATCGATCTCATTAGCTCATGGACGATGCTTCTTCATTAAAACGTAGTAAATGTCGAACGCCCAACATCACGTTGCGCTTGTGGACCCGAAGTGTATATGTTACATGAGAATTTCCCAACACATTAAGCAAGAGCACAATACACGGTCTAATAAACGGCCTCTATCAAGTAGATAGCTCCGAAGACCAAGAAAGCCACGGCGCCGCCGAGAGTCACTATGATCAAGTTAGCGGATATTCACAGAAACCAAAGAATTGTCAAAACACTTACCGACTCGCATGCTGACGCGACCCGCAATAGCACTCCCTCCAATCACTGCCGCAGCAGTGCAGAGGCCGTGCCCGGAAATCGCGCCGACCGTCACCCACCAGTAATCTTGTCCCGCGGCCATCGCAATGGTCGCGATTTGACTGCGGTCACCCCATTCACCAAGGAAGGTCATGACGAACGTTTGGACCCATGCGGGGCTGAGAAGCAGTGAGAAAAGATTGTTCATGCCCGAGAGCATGTCGTCCAGGCGACGGCCCCGCGAGGGGGAAGATCCCCGGGACGAAGAAGAGGAAAGACTCTCGGGGGGCGAAGGCAGACGGTTGCCCGCCGAACGAGACTTGCCGCGTCCAGCACGGCCTGATTCCAGAGAGTGAGGGGTCACGGACGAGCGACGCCGGCTCTTACGAAGTTGCTCCTGTTCCTTTTCCTCGAGTTCCATCTCGACCTCCTTCATCTCCTCGCCAACACCTTCGTCGGGCGACATCTCTCGGCCTTCCTTCAGCATCTTCAGTCCAAACACGAAAAACAGGATGGCGGCCAGCAACTTGGTCATGGACTTGGGGATCAGTGTCGGAACGGCGTGTCCGAGAATGGCTGACAGCACGGTCATGACAAAAAGCGCGGCGAAGGCGGCAGAGAAGACGAGGAGACGTGGGTGCCGCATGGCCATCAAGGCAGCTACCAAGAATGTCTTGTCGCCAATTTCGGAAACCACAATCATAGTAAACGAGGCAATGAGCGAGTGCATCACATCTACTGGCTCTTCCGGTGAACCGGGGATCTTGCCGGTAGAGCCCTTCGGAGTATTGAGGCCAAGGGGGTCATCGTTCACGGACGGCGGGGATTTGGGATGGGGGATGTCGTGTGGTTTCTCAGGCAAATCAGCGGGTTTCTGGTTTCTAATTAGCCTCGTACGCACGCCAAATCTAGTAAGGATTGAAATTTACCTCCACGACGCCCATTTTAGAATCAGAGGTTTTGCCGTCCTTGTCCTCGGACGCAGGGGCTTTCTGCTGTTCACTATGAGGCAAGGGAGGAGCTTCCTTCGGGCGATCTGGCACCTTCTCGCCTGGAGTTGTGCTGCCCTTCTGCTTCTCTGACACTCCGCCCTCTGTTCCACGCGTGCCCTCCTTCGGACCCGTCCTGTGCGGATCATCCATGACCCCATCGTTCGAATGAGGAATTGGCTTGCCATCGGGACCCAAATGCTCCGTGGATTTGGTGTCCGCCTGTTCTTCCGTCTTCGCGGTGCCCGTTTTCTTGCGATCCCGTTCCGCACTGGTCTCGACCCAAGGACCAGCGTGTGGCCGGCCATCTTTGCCGTCAACCGGGGCGTCCTGCGTCCCTTTGGGGGAGACCTTGGGGGCAGCGAGTCCATCTACGGCGGCATTGGGGACCGTAGCATCGCGCTCTACAACGGTGGGATCGAGCGAACTCGCCGGATTCGGGGCCAAGTCTGTCAGGGCCGTCGCGATGGCGGGGAGGAGAAAGAGGAGAAACGGTGACGAGAGGCGCTGAACCTTCATGGTGACAATGCGGTTCTAGATGTTCTAAAATAGAGTCTAATTGAAAGATGTTCGCGGGCTACAGCCCATGAAAGGGCAATGGTTAAGCCGCAAAGTTCAAGGTGGATTCAGGACGCTATGATCGATGACGATCCGTTGATGCTAAAGCCACGACAGCAGATTCGAAGCGGATTATATAGCGGCGCGGAAAAATTGTAGCAACGACGAAGTTTAGGGGTAAAAACGAAGGAATGAAAACAAGAAGAGAAAAATTACTAGTGAGAAGACCTGAAGAAGAAAAGAAGAACAGGAGAACAGACGCAGGACAAGAAATTCCAGATGAAATTAGCAAAAGGCTGGGTTGGCCGCAAAAGGAAAGGGGCAATCGCCCCGTCACGTGGGGGTCCGCTTGCGGTACGCTTTATCACACGTGACCAGGCACACCGGCAAACCATGCAAACTATCCCCTTTCGGCAGTCAGGCACATGACTTTCCTCGAAGCCATTTGTGGTTTCTCGAACTTGTTTATATAGTTTTGTTTACCACGATGTCCTCATTGTGCTGCTGTTTCTTTATGCATATTCAATTCAGAATTGATTGACTCTTATTATTTCTATTGCTGAAGCTAAAAAAGATACTTTCTTATTATATATACTAAATATTAAGATATTTTAGAGTAATTAATAGGGTAATCTCACAATCAGTAAAGACAGTTAGGTTAAGACTAGATTAACTACAGTTAACTGTAGTTACTGCCTACCATTTTCAGTAAAGCACGACGGGCTTGGCGCCAAGAACAGTTAAGCTAGATTAACCGTCCAATTTTCGGCTTAACCGTGGTTAGGTATAGAAATTCTATTAACCTATCCATAACCTAGCGGTTAGGTATAGCTGACCCCATTAACCTAACCTAACCTAGCCATTCGCCACTCTAATTGTGCGTCATTCTTGGAAATTCGGCCTTCCCATCGATATGCCACATCAGTGTAGTATTTTCTTGATTTGTAAAAGCCTCTTCCCCGGCACTCGTCAACAATCGAATAAGCTGCTTCGATAGAGTTATCGCTGCAGCAACCCAACCATTGCTTCAAACCCGATGCAGAATCTGCATGGACTTGTTCTTGGAGAGAAAATAAAAGGAATGGTCGATATAAAAGCCAGTTTGTATGAGCGAAGACAAGTTTCAAGGTACAAAGCTGCCGCTGCGTGGTTGTGGACATTGCAGACGACGGCAACGACAAATTCAGATAGGATGGTAAGCTTAGTAGCCAGTCCTGAAGGTAATTTTAAATCTCCAATGCCTTTGTTCTAAGACTGAGAAGCTTATATTTTTTTTCGAAGTGGGCCGTAGAACTCTCTGAGCATCCTACCCAAGATTCTGGCTAACCGTGCATAGTATATGAGTGCCGCACCAGAGCAAAATTCCCCTGTCATCATGAATTCATTCTCCGTCATCGTCAAGTCATTGCCATTCGTAAATCCACATTCCACTTGATCAATATTATCATCATGAAATGCAGCCGGCCGGCCAAAGGTACTGCTAAGTATCCGGTTATAAATGCAGATGGACCAGAACAGCTTCTTCGCTACTCTGCCTCAACTGTTTTTGCAAAAGATATTAAGTCGCGACGCAATCCAAGTGCTTGTGCGTGACGGACGATTATTCCAAAGGATGACCATGCCTTGTGCATTTGGGAATGATTGAGGAGATAATGAATGCTGAGCAGCCTTGCTTCAAGCGAGCTCATTGTGATCTTACTGCCTTCCTTTTCTAACTTTCGATGGGCCATATTAAAGAATTGCACGCTAGAAACCATGTTAACAGCTAAAAGAGTGCCAAAACTATACAAAAGGACACATACTTCGCACCTGGCAGTAAATCCACTAAATGTCGTGTTTTCTTTGGCATAATGGGAGCCAAGAGCTATCACCATATAAAGCAAGGAAAGATCTTCTTCGGTGTCAAGGCTATTGCTGTAGAGTTCCTCGAAAGAGGCCAGCATGCCTGTTTTATGTACGAGACATCATCAGACCAAAGTCAAAGTAATTAAGAATCAGAGTCTCGGCAATCGATCGGGGTAGTCTAGTGATAGCGATGGCAAGCTGGCCAGTCTAATCCGAACGAAGCGGAGAAACGCAAATCCGGATGCGCTGCCATGATGATGCCCATATTGATCTTCCTGGGGTGCCAGTGGCTCTTCCGTCATCTCTGGCGTGGGCCGAAGCCCTGTGTAGTCTACTACCTCTGGAATCGATGGTTCAACTGGTGTTTCTGCAGCGTTTGATCTGATATCCTGACGGGATGATTCCTGTCGTCGTACAGTAGGCATGTATTCACATCGTTGGCCGTTCTTCCTTTAGCGAAGACAAAGTTCATGGCCTGAACACCGAGTTTTCTTCCTTCAAGCAGGAATCAGTAACTAGTATATAACAAAAACATTTGAATGGATCACACATAATCCCTGTATGGAATCCACGCGTTCCGAATCTTGGCGACCACATCCACTCCTAATTTAGTTTCTTTCCGAGGACGCTTGAATTTAGAGCAGCTGGGAGAGTAAGGGACAATTTTCAACCTTCCCTCTCAGGCATAATGGCAGCTTTGTTGAATGGTGTGGCAGGAAAGAGAAATGGGCAGAGAGCAAGTGAATGAAATAGGAAACCGGCATGTTCCCCGCAGTCTTCTCCGCTTTGGTCATCCCGAATCTTCTCCAATTCCCCGGCTTCCCCGGGTTCTTACGTCCTGCTCCCCGGTACCGAACCCTGATAGACTTGTTACTCGATAAGCTCGCTACATTGAGATAATATCATATGTACTCGATATAGCCTAGAAAATACAAGGATCGTAGCAGAAGTAATACTTCAAGACACAGACGAGATGGGAAGTTGAGAATGTGGAACGTAGTCCATGATGATTGGCAGATAGTCGTAGGTAGTAACGTAGGTCCCAAATGGTTGCCCAATTGTCTTGCTCAGACAGGAGGACTTAGGACAATACTAGTAACCTCGACATAGACTCCCACCCGATGATAGGGTCAGAATCGCTGCTTTAGACCACTTTAAACTGAAGGTCTGAGGGAAAACGGATGGTCACACCTAGCAGTCCTTATTCCACAACTTATTAGCGCTAGAGAAGGAGAAGGTTTAGATGGTTCTTTCTTAATACCAGATATGATACTTCTAAAACTGGTGTATACTTCCGTTCACTTGGCTTTAACTAAGTATTCTCACGGTGACCCCATTCTCATAATCTGGACAGAACTCCCTTGCAATCCAATACGGAAAGATGATCGCGAGAAATCTCGCTCACATTCCTGCACCTGCACTGCGGATAAGCAAATGTGCTGATAAACTGTCATAGAGGTCAAAAACGTTGATTCTTTATTGTCTGGTTCTAACTACGTGACTATCTTACAAAGGCGCGCGTAGGCGCTAGGCCGGATTTAATAGGGAACCCGCGGTCAACATGTGCCAACACGTTTTGGGGGTAAATTGCATACCCTGCTAGTCCCATCACCTGCTTAAATTCCCTGTATAAAATTTGGAGGGCAAGTTGCACTCCAGCAGAGCCATTGTACTGTAGAAAGATTCCGAAGGAACTACTAGTGAGCAAAGATCTTTTCTGAAAATATCGTATCTGTTATGCTTACCGCAAGACCCCAAATGGGAATTCGCCCTGCAAAGCAGAAGTCCGCGCCCAGCGCAAGTGCTTTGAAGGTGTCACTGCCACGTCGAATACCACCGTCAATTGCGATTGCTATCTTTCCCTTAGCCACTGGCGCACATTCTCTGAGTGCATCTAACGTAGCAGGTACACTGTCCAGCTGACGACCGCCATGATTAGAAATCACCACTCCGTCCAGACTGTGGGTAATTGCCAAGGCGACATCTTCTGGCGTATACACTGCTCCGATGTAATCAGTGATTGAACAAATCCAGAGTTGCTTAAATCCATACCTCCTTTCATCCAGACCTTCAGGTTTGTGTGCTTGCGCATAAATTCCCACTGCCTCCTCCCAGTTGAGGCTCGGATCTACGAATTATGAGCCATAGTCTCGACTACTGGTATAGCTTCAGAAAAACTTGCCGTAAGCTAGAGGATGCTCTTCTTCGGTATCAAACTTGATATCAACGCCTGGTGCCATGTTGGGGTACTCAATTCCTTTTGGCAAGGAAAACTTGTTTCTGCCCTCATTGTGGCGCATCCCATAGATGGGGGGGCATCGACTGTCAGTAGAATAGCACTGTATCCGGATTCTAAGCAGCAACAAATCAGTCAGATAGAACAAACCCACACTAAGGAACCGGAAGAGTGATACTTTCTGCACGTTTCAAGATATCTATCATGATATCCTTGTTCATCAAGAAGTTGACTTGCATGAAATATGGATTTCCTTTCCCTTCTGCTACTACATCCTCCAGTCGATGAGTTGCATAGGCTGACAGCGCCATGGGAACTCCCATTGCTGCTGCCGCTTGTGAAGTTCCCACTTCTCCGTCTGGATGCGCGATTTTCTGCAAAGCGGCTGGGGAAAATCCGAAGGGAAAAGACACTGGCGTGTTGCAGATGGTGGTCGATGGGTCTACGACAGAGACATTTCGGAGCACTCGTGGCCGTAGCTTGTATCGGTCGAAGGCTGTTTTATTGTCGAGGAGACTTCCAAATTCAGCTTGAGTCAGACGAAGGAACGTTTCAAACGTACCTCAGCATATCCATGGATCCATCATTGTAGTAGTCTCTATACACCTTGGGTAGCTTCTTAGACCCTTTCTCCTCTAGGTCCCCGATGCAGAAGACCTCGGGGTCCAACGCTTCGCCACGATTCGACATTCTAGTATCCAAGTATGCATAGGGAAGTAGAGCCTTTCATGGATTTTGAATGCATTATTTTTTTTTCTGTGGAAAGGTAGAAATGTGATATAGTTATTCTGCGTCGACTTTGCCTCTCTCGCTGTAGGTTTCCCATCCACTGACTAAACTCGTACATGTCTCCATTGTGCAGAATTATCACTGACCAGGCTAGTAGTATCTCCGTCAATTTCACGCCTGCTTGTGGACTTAGTAGATGGTCGCTTAACTAATTGAAGTAAAGAAATGGCGAACAAATAGCCGCCTCGGAGTGACCTGCCGCAGAATTTCTAGTTGCTGCGCTGGTTTTCTTTTTCCTTCTTTTTTGCTTTTGCGCCCATTTTGTGGGACTGTCATGCCCCGCTTGACTTCATTAGCTTGAAATTTTCATAGTCGAATACGCATTGGAAGTTTGCATGTCATCGGGGAATCAGTGGTCTCCTTGAAATTCGCAAGTCTCCGCGGTCAGTCCAACGATGTGCAGACGATCAACCTCAACTCAATCTAGCGGGCCATTGCTAAACTCTAAGGCAGCTTGACAGGAAAGTTATGAAGGTAGCGATCCATATCTCTATTATGTAGCTTAATTGGGCCGAATAAATAACCTAGCTCAGCATCAAAATTGAACTACTGCGTTTAACCTCCATCCGCCAATGGCTTGTTGTTTGATTCAATACATCGGGGCCATTCTTCCAGACTTGAGCTAACACCATGATTCCAGTCCTTACAGCTGCAATTCCATACAATTCAACTCGTTCGTACCATGCTCTGAATCTATTTTGGAACTGCTCGTCAAATGCCTCGCTGGCTGCTATAAAGGCAGGCCAATATAAAGGCGCCGCGAAACAATTTGATTCTTCTTTTATTTTTTCGATTGCTTCAATACAGTCAAGCACCACTTCAATATGTGAACGAAGATACCGGTAGCCGACGAGACGAACGTGTTGAGCGAAATATATGATTAGTGCATTATGAAAAGCACGAGATGTCTGGCGGATGATATTTAAGCTTGAATCTACATCACCCGCAAGATATCGATCGAGCTCTTGGTCCAAAGACCAATCCATAATCGCCCTTTCGAGATCATCACATTCTGCAGAGAGCTCACTGGGTACTTTGGAATTTTCACCTGCTTCTCGGGCCTTTGTTAGTGACACCGTCAGTTCGGTTGTTTTCCCGAGTAAGACAAGCAAGTGCTGCGGGACGCCATATATCGATACGAAATTGATTTCGGCCCAAGGTTCATGAGAATGACCAGAAAGTGACCGAGACAATCGATCAACCTGCCCAGTTGCTCCTGTTTCAAATAGTTCGGGTATCATTACTTTGGATGATTGAAAAGAACCTTGAGTCTGATTCCTCATGGCTGTGCTTTCATATATGGTCCTGAGATAAAAGTATATTTGGTGAAGGGACCTTGCCTTAGGAGAGTAGTTTGATTTCCAATTACGGGCGCTCTTCATGAAATGGAACGCACCGTCCAAATGAACTCCGCAGGTACTTGTATCGCCCGACATTACCTTCAATTTTCGAAACGATTAAGTATCGCTGACCATACAGTGTGGAGAGTTGGGGTAGCGGAAACTTACATTGATTGAAATCATGGACAACATAGTGGCGAGGTAGTCTTTATACTTCGGCGAAGGCTCATACTCGAAACCATGTTCGACTGAGTCTTTGAGTAGCCTAAAGGTCTGACCCCGAAATATCATAGCTTCATTGGTCCACTTGGTGGATTCCTCTTGGTACCCACGCGATCTGCTATCATTTGACAAGGTAAAAGCGCTGATGGAGAGGAGAGCGTTTCGGAGAGCGTTCTGAATGTTCGAAGTTGAGCCTTGGATATTCATTTGGCCAGTACCCTGAAGAGTTCTTTTTAAATGTATCCTGTGCCAAGGACTTTTCTTATTGTCGATAACACAGAAGAGACGTATGGCACGGGACATATAATGATGGATCAAAAATTGTTCAAGCGGCGATAGGTAAGTGGGCGAAGGATTGAACATGATAGAGCCATTAGGCTCGTGCCAACGGAAAAGCTGAGAGTTGACACGCGGCATATTCCTTTGACTGTCATTATGGTCTTGTATGTCACAAGATGTTTGATCTAACTTTTGACGATCCCAATCTGGCGCGGACCCTGGAAAGATAGCTGTATTCCGTACAGCTCGTTTATCGACAACTGTATGCCCAGGAGCATCGAGGCTTTCCAGAAAATCCGTCGCAAACGGAAAAGTAGCATCGGTATGATTTGGGTGGATCGCCGACGAGCTTTGGTCGCTGAGAAAGGATGGACTATCATAGCAGGTTGCACGGCTTGGGAACTCTTGATCAATAGAATGGTCGAAGCCATCTGGCGGATCGGCACGACTAGGGCAAAGGTCGAAAACACCAAAATTATGGATAATCAGAGTTTCAGGGTCAGTGGACGAGTCAAAAACGTTAGGGGGCTCCAATTCATCGATAGAGGCTAGGATGCCGTCTAACTGATCGTCGTTGAGCGCGTGATGGTTTGGTTCTGGGAAGATTAGAAGTGTGTATTTGATTAAAGCTTCATCCCGCCCGACGCGCGGCTGAGACCCGATCCAGAGGATACGCACCAAATGGAATCTGGCTTCTTTGCGATCGAACATGCGACAGATCTCGCGCGTCTTGACGTGAGATGGCCATCCCTTGCTCCGGAGGTAACCAGTGGAGCCGGAGCCCATATCCCGCACACTCAAGCTTCTTGGAGACGCATTGCATGCACTCCGGACGCTTTTCATCACACTTGACTTTCCTTGCACGACATGTCCAGCATCCGGTGAAAGTCTTGCTATGCTTGCGGGATTTCGGGCCACATGCATTTGAAATCATGGTGATGTCGTGAGGATGGGGCCGGCACACTTGGCCTTTCAATGTCAACTTATTTCAAATTCGGGATGCCAGAAGAAAGGAAATAGTAGGCCCGAGTTGGCATGTCAAAAAGGAAAATGACTGAAATCGGGGATGCGGGGGAGAGGAAAGTCAGAGCGAAGAGTCCACCAAGCGGATCCACGAACCATGGGCTCTTTGGACCCACGCAGGATTTAATACAAGTAGCCAATCCCGATCAGCAGAATCTGGGCAAGGTTGAACTCCATCGTACGGCTCTTCCATCTGTGATGTTACGATCTGGTCTCTACGGTAATAAAGAAGCTAAAAGTCAAAATGAGGAATGATTCATTCCTAGTTTATATACAGTAGTCCGAGTAGGAGTCTGGGGAATTCATTCCGAGGTTGGTGGCAGGCTATCGCCAAACTTCAATTCGAAGTCGGGAGTCCAAAGCTTAACGCGATAGAGCATGCGTGACCAGCAAGTGATTCATTCATTCATCTTCTATCTTAGACGGACGCAACCAATTCGATTTCAACCTCCGCATCCAAAGGAAGCTTCGCGACAGCGACACATGTTCGGCACTAAGAATGTCTGATAAGCAAAATCCCATACAATGAAGGTTTTAAAAGTAGTATATAACGTACTGGCTTGATCAAATCACCGAAGATTCTTTCATACCCTTCATTCATTTGCGCATAATATTCCATACTAGAAAGGAAGATGGTAACTTTGAGAGCATTTCCTAGATTACTTCCAGCGGCGATCAAGATCTGTTCGATGTTTCGCAAGGCTTGGACCTAATTATTTCTTGTCAGATTTCAGCCCCTCTAATTTTCGGGTGTATCCTGATTCAAACATTACCGTTCTATCAGCAGCATCGCCTTCGACAAACTTGCCAGTCTTCGGATCGATACCAAGGCTGCCTGAGGTATAAATCACCCCATTTGAGATGATTGCTTGTGACATGAGTGGGCTTGGAGCTGGAGCATTCTTGCTCAGGACAACAGTCTTTGCTGGTGACATTTTGATAGATTATGTGAAGACCTTTGAATGAAATTGAGAAACAATTTGGCATTTTAAATTGAAATTGCAGGAATGATTTCAACTTCATAAAGCATGATATTGTACTGGAGCCATTTTCAGGAGAGCGTATAGAAACCAAAGCTCGGCTGGTCTTGCCATTCCCCGCTAGAAGCATCTTTTGTTGTTGGGGCAATATGAAACAAAGTGAGGCCGATAAGAAATGCAGCGAAGATCCAGCTTCCAACATACTCAGGAACTGAAGGGCCAATAAGCGGATGGGCATTATCATTAGTAGACAACGTACACGTACTTTGTTACATGTGCCTATTTTCTGCGAGTTGATGGTGTGGGGCTTGGGGCCTTTTCTGGCAAGAATTTTACCTGTGTACCCATCATTCATCAGCTCATCAGGCATATGTCATTCGCTCGCTTGCTCTTACCGAAATTGCTTCTAATTCGGTATGTGGTCTCGTCTAGATTGTTTGCTTTTCTCCTGGAAGAAGCCGGCACAGGATGATCAGTTGTGCCTATGATTCCTAGCTACACTAACGACGACTTAATTCTATGTGGCGTTGAATAGTCTCCAACCTAAAATTACCTAGGTATTCAAGGAAATTAACTTTCCATTTCAGCAAGCAGACTATTTACTGGTAACAGCCGTTTCAATCAGTCATAAATTATTATCGCGAAAAGTAAAATCTTGGTCGTCAGCGCAAGGCGTAATGTGCCTATACCAAACTAAAATGTACAGTGTACCCCTATGATGTGGGGTATACTGATTGTGCGAAGCGGTGAGAATTTGAAGTCATACGACGGAAGTTCATGGCGAGAGTTAACATGAAGACATGTCAGTGGAGAGGCGCTGCCATCGAATTCCACAATCGCGGGAAACGAATCCTGCAAACCAGTCGGGGAGACCAGACTATGTATGTCAGTCAAATTCCAAGGTGACATTTGAACAGTTGAGATATTAATTGTTTCGGAGTCTATCTGTATATATGTCGCATTATTTTTCTCCGGCCTAGTATCAGTACCAGTACTTGGTATTTGTTCATCGAAGTCCTGCGAGGTATTCTATTCTCCCCTCCTATTAACAGCAACTTGGACATATTAGGCTTACTTCCCACCCGTAGAAGATGGGTATCCCTGGGGATATAGTGGCTCCCGAGGTGGGAAATCTCGGGGACCTACCATTGACCTTGGCTGAGGTTGAAAAAATGGCGAAAGTAAAGCTTCCAAAGCATATATACGAGTTTTATGCTTCGGGCTCAGATTCGCAAAGCGCGCTCGCGCGCAACGAGAATGCATTCAACAGGTGAAAAATTCGAAACCCTAAAGTGAAGATACAAAAACTCATTTTCTCCAGGCTCTGTATCCGCCCGCGTGTTTTGATAGATGTTTCAAACATCGACACGTCAATCGAGATACTCGGTCACCGATGTTCCATGCCAATCGGTATTGCGCCAAGCGCCATGCAGAAACTGGCCGGGGGAAATGGCGAGCTTGATATCGCACGGGCAGCGGTAAAGATGGGGCTGAATCTTACTTTATCCTCCCAATCCACCACTGCTCTTGAAGAAGTATCGGGGACTCGCGAACATGGGTTAATGGACAGTCTTCCACCCCCTCCATTTTGGATGCAGATTTACCTTTATGAGGATGTTCAGAAAAGCATTGGACTGATACACCGTGCAGAAGGTATGAATCTCCAGAATAACATTATTTAAATCAAAATGAAAGTCGTACGCTTATCATCGTCTTCAAATAGCTGCCGGATACCAAGCTCTGATACTTACTGTCGACACTCCCGTATTGGGCAATCGGCTTTCAGAGAGAAAAACCGCAGTTGTGTTGCCAGAAGGCATGGGGCTTCCAAATCTGGACGCTGCCAAGCCAAAATCGAAGGCACAGCCTAGCCTGAACAGACAATTGATGAATGCGCGGTCTGCAGCGGAGGCACAATCCCTCCGTGATAAGGCAGGATCCAAAATGCACAGCTCCAGCTTAACATGGGAGAAGACAATCAATTTTTTGCGGTCGGTCACGAAAATGAAGATTATTTTGAAGGGAATCATGACGGGCGAAGATGCTTTCCTCGCAGTTCAGCATAAAGTCGATGGTATCATTGTCTCAAATCATGGAGGGCGACAACTCGACTCTGCCTCTTCAACCATCGAAGCTTTGCCTGAGGTTGCGGATGCGGTCCAAAAAGCGATTCCTGTCATATTGGACGGTGGTGTGAGGAATGGGGAGGCAGTCTTCAAGTCCCTTGCTCTTGGAGCCGACTTTGTTCTCATTGGTAGACCGGCACTTTGGGGCCTCGCTTACAAAGGTCAGGAAGGCGTCGAGACCGTTTTTAACATAATGGAACGCGAGTTGAACCGCACGATGGCGCTTGCTGGAACAAGAAATGTTGAAGAAATCACAAAAGACAAGATAGGGGTGATTGCGAAGCATGGATTCGGAGTTTCAAAACTGTAACCTTTTGAATTGAGATGCCATAATTAATCTCTGTCAATTAAAATATAACGACTATTACATTGCGATATACTGTAGTATCATGTACTGAGCGAGGATCCCCAGGGCACTCCAATAATCCAAGCGGCATACCAGTACTATCCAAGTACGGCCAAAAGACAATAGATTGAAAGCCGCCTGGAATATGAAGGCTTGAAAAAACCATTTTATTCATTCAAAAATAAATATATAAATAAATAGTGGTACAAGTGTGATGGTGTCATGCGCATGCGCTACAAGTAGGTGACATGACCTGAAGTATGCGATCGCTCGAAATGGAAAGGCAAGGATTCTATGCCGTCCAACATATTGGGATTCTGCCGGACATGAATCGTACTCAAAGTTGTAAGGATGGATACATGAAGGATCTTGTCGAGGGCAAGCCCAAGCGGAGGAAGTTGTCGCTTGGAATTTCCATCCCGCCACCCTCCCCCCTTGATCAGGGACCATATTACTCGTTTAAAACAAGGTTGCCGCGGAATTCTAAGCAAGAAACGCTCAGTCATCATGTTCGCTCGGGTGGTCAAGCATATATTAGATACGAAGAATATAGATTTTCACAGCTTTGGTAGTGCAGATTTTCAACCCTAAAGTGCATGTTCCTTCCCACCAAGACAGTCTTTCCAAATGGCGAGCAATAGGACATTGAAAAACAATTCCCTTCTTATTGACAAGAATTTTATTGGTGGGAAATGGGTGCCATCAAAATCTGGCCAAACGTTTCCAGTTCATGGTAAGTTTGTAACAATTAATGAGAGAACCTCGACTGACAGATTAATTTCAATCTCAAGATCCAGCGACAGAAGAGTTGCTTGGAATTTTTCCGGAATCAACAGCTGAGGATGCCCAACAGGCTATCGATGCAGCTGCAGCTGCGATGCCAGAATGGCGCAATTTGACAGGACGCGAACGATCTCACGTACTGCGTCGCTGGTTCTATCTAATTCAAGACAACACGGATGATCTTGCAGCTCTGATTAGCTGGGAAAATGGAAAAGCCGCGGCAGACGCAGCAGGCGAAGTTTCATTCGCTGGTAGCTTTCTTGAATGGTATTCCGAGGAAGCAGCTCGCGTATATGGCGACGTGATTCCACACAGTGCACGCAGTTTCCGGGTGATGGTGTTGAAGGAGCCGGTAGGAGTATGTGGTTTGATTACACCGTAAGTCTAGCCCGAACATTAGTTCCGCGTACAGTCTTTGAAGCCCAAAGTGCCTAATTCCATTATCAGATGGAATTTCCCGGGCGCCATGATCACCCGAAAATTAGGTCCTGCCCTTGCCGCCGGTTGCTCGGTGGTATTGAAGCCAGCAGGGGAAACACCCTTCACTGCAAATGCTCTTGTGTGGCTGGCTGAGCAGGCAGGTGTACCTAAAGGAGTCATCAACGTTGTGCATGCAGCAGATAACACGCCCGAGATTGGCCAAGTGCTGTGTTCATCGAACATAGTTCGCAAGATTTCGTTCACCGGGTCCACCAGAGTGGGCCGTTTACTGATGAAGCAATCCGGGGATACAGTCAAAAAGCTGAGTCTCGAGCTAGGCGGCAATGCACCCGTTATAGTATTCGACGATGCAAATCTTGACGTGGCAATTCAGGCCGTCATTATTGCGAAGTTCAAAGTAACAGGTCAAACTTGCGTCTGCGCAAACAGAATCTATGTGCAAAGTGGCATCTATGAAGAGTTTGTCCGTCGACTCACTATCGCAGTTAGAGAATTCAAAGTCGGGGATGCTAGAGACCCTACCGTTACACATGGGCCTCTTATCAATTCTGCAGCCGCATGTCGTGTGGCCGAACTTGTAGACGAGGCTGTTCAAAAGGGCGCTAAAGCTGTCGCTGGTGGAAAGAATATCCCTATTTTAGGTAGTGATTACCCAAGAACTCCTAAAGATGCCAATACTGATCAATTAACAAGGGACTGCCTTCTATGAGCCTACCATCCTGACTAATATCACCAACGATATGCGAGTTACCAGTGAAGAGATTTTTGGTCCTGTCGCCGCGATCCAATCATTCGATTCTGAGGAGCAGGTGATAGATGCAGCCAACAACTGCGATGTCGGTCTTGCCTCGTATGTCTTCACCGAGCAGATGAATCGGATCGCACGGGTTTCCGAAAGATTGGAATCAGGAATGGTTGCGGTTAACACTGGGGTTATATCCGTTGCCTCCGCACCGTAAGCGTTCTGCCCTTATTTTGCATTATGTTTGAATAAACACTCTAATACAAATTATTCTAGGTTTGGTGGAGTGAAACAATCTGGAATCGGCCGTGAAGGAAGTAAATATGGACTGGACGATTATTTGGTCACTAAAACAGTTGTCTTGGGGAATGTGAATGTACAACATCGAGCATCGATTTAATCGAGACATGTCGCTCAATCTCACATTACATTGCGCCATGAGTCTTTCCTTACTTAAATGTTTGTTAAATTTTAGCTCAACTTCCTGTCTTCATGCAAATTTCCTATCGTACGCCCCGATATTCATTGCCGCCCTTCATTTAAAAACCCCTGTCTCTGTATCGTACGAAAATCAATATATGACTTGGAGCAGGTCAAGTACGACAGAAGAATAGTCTTGAAATCACAGTCGGCTTACAAGTGTTTCAACATATGATCGCCCCATTAGGTGAGAGTTTCCGTATGGTGTGAAAGAACTGATAAAGGGAGTACTAGTACTAGTAGCTACCAAAAAGTATCTTTTGGAAGGATCTGCTCGATAATCAGGGCTCTCGGGGGCAATGAAAAGGCCACTGAAATCCCGAATTTCAATATCACCGGCGCCTTCTCTTTTCACTCTCTTGCCACCGCCGAAGATATTCTTACTGGGAGAGTCTATCTTTTCGCGTCTCTGAAGTCGATAAAGTACCTATTTTTAAATCCATAATTAGCTAAAGGCCTAGAATTGTCATTGATTATAGGGGACTCAAAGCTCCGAGAGGCCAGGGTCCAAGATCAAGTTTGTTTCCCGGAGAAAAGAGGGCATCTATCTCATCTCTTTGAATTTCTATTATCCTTGATTAAAAATCGCCGAATATCGTCCCGCTCACTAAGACTAAATTACGCATAGAATTTACAAAGCTGTTGTGGAACATCAAATTTTTGGTGACATATGGTCATGAGTGTGAATGTATGTGGAAATCATCAGTTCTCAGACGATGTGCCTGAAAAAGCCCCAGATGAATAACAGTGTTGTATTGGTAATCTCGGATCGATTACCCTTATCAAAAAGTCTAATTAGAGTATTGATTTCACCCATTTCAACATCATCTGATTCAATGAATTTGGATGGTGTGTTCAGGGAAACATGTAGCTGCATTGCTAGTGTTTTACTCCGGCGCGTTGGATCCGGCTCAACGAAGTACAATAGTTGATCTCATTTTGATTTCTACTGTGAATGGGCAAAGATATCGCAAGTGATATCATAGCCAACTGTGACCACCTGACAGATGGTCAATTTCTGATTGGCTCGCTTGCTCTTTCCAGGGACCGGCGTCGGAAAAAATCAATTTGATGTAATAATTGAATTCGCATTCCGTGATTTTTCTCTTTATCTCGCTAGGAATTTCCCATGGACTCTCAACACACGTGATCTTTCCCAACATTGTGGGGGATCGGCGGCGCTAATCTCCTTATAGCGCGAGTTGTTTTCAATCCAAAAGACACCAGGCGAATATGAATTTCTAAATCCAAGTCCTGAGGTCGCAAAGATCTTCCAGTGGAGTTTTCTAATTAATTAAGTCAGTGCAACTTCAAACGTGAAATTCGACCCTCGTCACGTCTTCAATATCCACCACACTCCACCTGTTAGAGGTCAACGAAATAATATATAAGTGAGTTCGACCTCCAATGGGAAGAAGTTGGACTGTGGTAATTACGACAATCTCGATCTCCAAACTACCCTACTTTATAACTTGAGAAATCAAGCCATAGTGTTCGTACTCTACTTTGCTTCATTCAACGTTGAGTGATCCATCATGGCCAAAAGCAGGATTCTCGTCGTAGGCACTGGTGGAATTGGAACCATGTCCGCTTACGCCCTGGAGCATGGTGGGTTGGCTGAGGTTACCGCTGTGATGCGCTCGAACTACAAAGCCGCGGTGAAACATGGCATTGATATAGATTCTGTCCAGTGGGGGCAGATCAAAGCCTGGAGACCATCAGCTAGTGAGTTTCCCATGAAAACATATTGCCTCCCTCGAAGGCCGTTAGCGCTAAATCCATGGACCCCCATTAATTATAGTCGTCACAACGGTCCCCAATGTCTCTAAAGGGGAAGCTGCACCCTTCGACTACATCCTTGTCACAACGAAGAATATACCTGATATTCCACCAACGGTAGCAGAGATAATCGCCCCAGCCGTGACAGAAAAAACCGCGATCGTTCTTTCACAGAATGGCATTAATATCGAGAAACCGCTAATCGCGCGTTTCCCAACAAACCCTGTCATCAGCAGTGTGGCTTATACTGGTGCAACTGAAACTGCTCACGCCAAGATTTACAACGACGATCCCGATTGCCAGAAGATTGGCGCTTACACAAGCCCCAAAATTTCTGCTGGTGTCTCGGAGGATGCTGCTAAGCATTATGTTAACATCTATAACCCCGAGGGCAAATTGGATGTGATATACGAGCCAGATGTTGCTAGAGTTCGGTGGCGCAAAATCGCGTACAACGGCACCATGAACCCGATAGCCTCCATCCTACGAATGGATACACCACGCATGCGAATGAGCCAGCATATCATTGAAGATCTGATCTTGCCGATGCTGAGGGAAATTCAAGCCATTGCCAAGGCAAGCGGTGTTACACTGCAGCCTGAACCGGAGCTTCTTCATGCGATTTTGCACCAAGATCCAAATGATACTGCTTTCAAGCCAAGTATGTGCCAGGATCTCGAGAAAGGAAATTTGATGGAAGTTGAGAACCTTGTCGGCGAGCCTGTTCGTGAAGCAAAGAAGCTCAACGTGCCTGCGCCAACCTTGAACATCGTATATAGCATCATGAAAGGACTGCAACTGAAGGTCAAGGAGGCGAAGGGCCTGTGGGAAGCCAAATTTGATGATGGGAATCCTTACATCTAAATTCATTTGAAAGATATGTTACATGATTTGCGTTTCAAGTGTATTTTGTAGGACATGCCAGTCATCGACAAGCTTAGACTTTAAAATTTCGAGAATTTTCCCGAGATCGAGATTGTGTTGGTATATTCCAAATGAAGTTGTTGCTCATGAATACTAAGTTACAAGTACACTAACTCCCCGCATCGACCTCGAAGCTGGCGCCTAGTTGTACCAACGCTTGGGACGGTTTTGAGGTATCTACAATGAAAAACATACATGCGGGGGATAAAACGGAAAGTCTCCCCAGCATCTCAGCTAGTCGAGGTAGGTACTATGAAAGATTGCTTTGGGTAAAGTCTATATAATCTTGTCTTTCAAACTTTCACCGTCAGCTCAACGCCTGTCACCTTCATATACTGCTACAATGAAAGTGGTATTAGTACTAAGACTGTCATAAGTCGAATGCTAAATATCGTATCACTTTGCAATGTAATTTTCTGTTTAACTTCAACAAGAAGTGAAGATCTTTTGTTTGTCTTGTACTTAGGGTTCAATTCGGGAATATTAGGGCCGCGCTTGTCATCATTTGACTTCACTCCGTGTTTATAAAAGGCCATTCCATCCATACTGGTAGATTTCGAGTCTAGTACAATATCTAAACTTCAAAGTTTTTTGTAAAGAAAAGTTCTTTTTCGTACACCTCGGCATTAGACCACGTCTTAAAGCTCCCAATACACAGTAGCAGTCAAAAGAGCGACTATAGACGCGCGACCATGCCAGCATCCAGACCCTTCAGAACCTCAATAGCAGCCCTTTGCCCACTTCTGACTGCACCTTCCATATATCCCTTCCATTCGCCAGCTGTCTCAGTACCGGCAAAATGAATGTTTCTCCAGCTTTCACGCAGCGTATCCCCACCCAGCGTGTCAAGCACACCTGGACTCAATGCTGTCGATGGACAACCTCGACCGGACCACTCATCATCAATCCAATCATAAGCAGTCATCTGAATGAATATGGAGGCAAGGTCAAGAGCGCCATACAACTGCTCAAGCTGCTTCAGCAAGGCCTCCTCCCGGTCCTTTGTGGATAGTTTTGACCACGAAAGGCCATGGTCTCCAGCCATGAAGCAGGTCAGGATGTATTTATGATCAACGGTGCTTGACGTGTCCCGGACTACACTGGCCGGGCCGATGAATGATTGGGCAAGTCCACAGAATCCCCGCTCGATCCAGAACGGTGATTTAAATTGTAGCATGGCCTTGGTATAGTAGCCATAGGAGGTTGACTGGATCCAGGCTTTCTTGGCTGGGGGTAGCTCTGGGTGGAAAGACATGTTTTTCAAAGCAGGAGTTGGTACAGTAGTGATCAATTTGCGACCAGCATAGACACCTGCGCTAGCATGTACCTTGACGGATTGATCATCCTGAGTTATGGAATGAACCGGACTGGAAAGCTTGACAGTTCCTGATGGCAGCGAGGACTCGAGCCCGAGAGCAAAGATTTGAGTTCCCTGGCGAACCCGCAGATGCTGTCCACCTCCTTTCCGATCGGACCGCATTTGCAATAATCCACCCCCAGACTTGCAATAATTGAGAAAGTAGAGAGCGGATATATCACGAGGGTCTTGGCCAAGCATGGCTCGGGTCCAAATAGAAGCTGTAGCAATGGCAACTTCGCTGGCACCGCGAGAACGGAGGTATGCCTCCAAAGTTAGGGAGTCCAAAGAAGTGTCTCTCGGCCTCCAAGTATCAAGAGCCTGACAGTCAGCTTCACACATATCACGGATTTCGGCAAGGTGAGAGCGGGTGGACTCATCAAACTGAAACGGGCATTGTTAGCTCTGCAAGTATCGAACGTAGACAGGAGACTTATCACTTACGTTCGGAAGCTCTCCGTAAGGAAAGGGGGAGCAGGAGCCATCGAAATCCTGCAGTACGGCATTTCCTTGAGTATTTTGCTCGATAAGATCAGCACCAAAGCGTTTCGCTAGAGCATAGATTTGAGTTTGATTGGTGTTATTAATCCAGGCAGCGCCGAGATCAACAGTGCCCTGGCCACCGTCCAGCTGCGTACTCCAGGTTTTGCCTCCAACGCGATCACGGGCTTCGAGGACCACGCACGACTTCCCAGCTCGAAGAACTTCCTCTGCCGCTGTCAAACCAGCTAAACCAGCGCCGATGACTATAACATCAACCTTTTGAGTGACCTGCGGGAGCACAGGGGGAAGGCGAGGTTTGGGTAGAGCCACCACTGCATCAATTTCCACGAGCCACGACGGAACAGCAAGCTGATGTACGGGAATAAGCGTGATGGCAGGTCGATGCCCGCTCAAGAACTTCTGCACATGACGAGTGTGTTTACGGTTCCCGGCATCATAATTGACAATCAAGATATTCAATTTCGCAATGTCTTCAACAGAAGCCCCTGCTGCGATAATGATTTTCCGCAAGTTGAACAAGGAGAGATGAATCTGAGATTCGTAGTCATCCGGGACCGTTCCATCCTTTGTCGAGCCCGGTTGACCAGCGATGTGGAGCAATCTCCCTTCCTCAGTGACCGTGCCAGCGGCATAGTAGGCGCTTGATGTGTTGGACAAATCCACAGTTTTGACGTTGGATGCCATGAGGAAATTGGAGAGAGACAACTTAGGAGGGCCGACACTGTCAGTTAAGGGACAAGAAGCAAGGCTATTAAGTAACGAGAGAGAGAAAGGAGACATGAAGTCGAGGAAATTCCCCATTGATATTCACATTTCATAGTTCCTCTTCAAAGACTGATCTTGTGTGGCACCCCACAAACCACTTCAGCACGGACACATTTTCCGTTATCGCAATGAGGGGAAACCGCCCTAGTCTTCCTTCTCGCGGTGACCTTCCGTTTGATAATTTAGCAGGCGTCATTCGATGAGGGCCGGTGGGTGGGGCCTCCCAATCCTAAGAAAGTGGAACTTGTGTGGCTAATCTCTCGCCATCACCTCCAAGTTTCGTTGCCACGAGCGTGGATTCCCCCGAGTCCTTTTGTAACGATTGTCTGGTGCGGAAAAGCTCACGAAAAAACGGAACTGGGGATCTTCTGGTAGCATATGCGAACTCCAAGGGAGTCATAAGTCCCCGGTCGTGTGCTGTCACCTATTTTGACGTCTCGGAGTTGCATTAACTGCACGGCGATTTGAATGCGTTGAGTGACACAGGCATCCGCCATGAATAATCGGATCGTTGTCATCGGGTAAGTCTATGTTCCCCAGATTTCGGCTGCTTACTAGGGTGTTAATATTTCTTCCAGAGCTGGCGTGTCCGGATTGACATCCGCTTTGCTGCTTTCGCGTAACAGGAATTATGAAGTTACTGTCGTAGCGGAATTCATGCCAGGCGACAACAATGAGCCGGGATATGCATCACCATGGGCCGGTGCCAATTTTATTCCGTACGCACATATGAAACATACTGCGTTCTCAAAACGATCTTGCAACTAATAGCTCGGAAAGACTTCAGCCTGAACACAACAGTCTCCGCGAACGGCGAACCTGGTTGGAGCTTAAGCGACTTGCTGCCTCTGTTCCTGAGGCTGGCATTCATTTTCAAAGTAAGAATTTATTCCAGCCTCGCGTTTTCCTTTCATCCGGGCTCTAATCACTATGATACATATAGAAGTTCAACTGCAAAGACGACACAAAGATATGAAGGACGCGCACGGAAACTTCCACGGTGCCTTTGCAGAAAATCCCTGGTTCAAAGACCTTTTCGATGACTTCCGAAAACTTGATGTATCGGAATTGGCACCAGAATATGATGCAGGCTGTCAATTTACAACGGTCTGTATCAACACAAGTATCTACCTGCCTTGGCTCCTGGGACAGTGCGCAAGAAATGGGGTGAAGTTTCAACGTGCACGCTTGGAAAGTGTTGAAGAAGCCCGGAATCTGAGTCACACTGGAACTCCCGCGGGATTTATCATCAACGCAACGGGACTTGGTTCGAGGAGTCTCGGTGGAGTGGTTGATACAAAGATGCTACCTGCCCGTGGGCAGACGGTCCTGGTTCAAAATACGATCCCAGCTATGATGATGTTCTCGGGAACCAATGACGGACCCGTGGAAGAGATATATATGATGCAACGAGCTGTGGGTGGTGGAACAATTCTAGGAGGAACCTATGAGCTTGGAAACTGGAACACAACACCAGATCCGAACATTGCTACAAGAATCATACAACGTGTTGTGGATACCTGTCCAGAGGTTGCCGAGGGAAAAGGTATCAAGGGAATCCGTGTTATCAGACATGGCGTTGGACTACGACCATACAGAGAGGGAGGAGTACGGATCGAGAAAGAAAGTATTGGGCAAGATACATGGATTGTTCATAACTATGGCCATGACTCGTGGGGCTACTTGGGCTCCTATGGATGTGCTCAGGAGGTCCTTGAGTTGATCGAGGGGCACTCGGTGAACCAGAGTCAGAGTGGTGTGTCGAAAGCACGTTTATAGTCGCATTTCACCAGAGAGCACTGGACATAAAACTACTCGTCATGTACTACGTACTAGTAGAATGTCCATCAAAGAAAGACTCGAAAAGAAAGCCGTGAATAGTAAAGGATAGACTATTGAAATTACGTGGAGTCAACGTTTTCCATTCATTCGGATAACTAACTCCTTCCAAGAGGGCATTTTTTCTTTCTACCTGTCCTCGCTTTCCATGGCCTTGGACGTCTCTTTCGAGCCTGTTCTCATAGTACTGGAGTTTTCACGATCCTTCAGTGTCTATAGTTAGGGAGTCTTTCATCAGACTCCAAAGTTTATGAGAAACAAGTTTAAGTCATTGCTCACAGTACGAAGAAAAGGCTTAGGATTCGGTTCAGTGATTCAGTAGGGCTCTTGGTATACTACTAGCAGTATGGGGCTAAGCTATTGAGAGATACGTACTAGTCGTATTGCTGCTAGCATCGCTGGCATAATTCGGCCGGAAAGAGTTTGCAAAATAGGAATAGAGTACATCCAAGCCACAGAAATTTGTACTTGTCAGCATGATCACAAGAAAATCATTTACATTATGTCTAAAAGCATAGAATTTATGCCGGTATGGAAACACTTACTCTGTATGTGCTAAGCGAGATATGGAAAGACAAAAATGTAAAACCACGAAAACCCCTCATGGGAATGCTGTCGAAATGATTGGTTCGCTCATGCTTGCCGCTAGCATGAACACCATTGGGCATATCAACTCAAATTCAAGTTTGACCTGCGCACATCTTCGCACAAAAGTGATGACACTGTTACCGAGAACCCTATCCACTTTTCTCCATTGAAAAATCACCGTTTGACTAATATCGCCTACCCCAGAGTTTCCCCGCATTTGCAAATGAGGAAATTGACCCATTGACCAAAGGCGAACCTTGGAAAATGAACTGCAGTAATCCGCGGCTTCAAAGGGGCACGACTCATTCAAGAACAAGACTTCCAGTGGATAAGAAAATCTGGAAAGTTTTGAACTTGATAAGAGAAAACCCAATTTAGTATAGATCATAGCTTATCTGTAGAATTGCCCCATATCATGGAGAAACTAGTACTCGTTTATCTATACAACTTGATTAGAAGTCTGTCGGCATGAGCTTCTCGAAAAGCTAATTAGACGGGACTCAATTGGATAATGACCCTCTTCCTTCCCGCCAAGGTGTCCCAACACCACCTGTTGTAACTCTTAAGAAGGGATTCCCCACAATCTCGATTAAACCATCTTCTCAATGATCCTGAAAATTGTGAGACTGCAACAAAAGATCATACGATGTCGAAAGAAAAGAGCGATCTGGACCCCGAGGCCATTGAACCCACGCCGGTATCTGATGACCAAGTAGTCGCAGGGAAGCCTATTGCACATGACGACGTCTTCGGTGAGATCACTGAAAATGGCCCTAATTACCGAGATGTGAGTGTCTTCCTTCTGAAATCTGGGATAATGCTCACGCGCTTCAGGTTGGCTGGATGGGAACAACGGCCCTCATGATGAAGACACAAATCGGCCTTGGAGTTCTTTCCATGCCTCAAATATTCGACTCCTTAGGCATAATGCCAGGAATAATATTGCTGCTCGCCATTGCTGTCATCACTACTTGGGCCGATTGGATGGTCGGGGTCTTCAAATTGCGCCACCCACATGTCTATGGAGTCGATGATGTTGGCCGACTCCTGTTTGGACGGGTGGGCTATGAAGTTTTCGGTGCTTCATTTTGTCTTTGTGAGTTAGGCACCTATAGCCAAACTCAATGGTTCCGAAGGTTACTGACCAAAACAGTGTACACGTTTGTGTCGGGCTCGGCCATACTGAGCATATCGATTGCTCTGAATGCTCTTTCCACTCATGCTGTCTGTACAGCTGTTTTTGTCGCCATTGCAGCGGTCGTCGGGTTCATGTTCTCGAGCATTCAAACCCTGGGCCGTATAAGCTGGCTGGCATGGGTGGGAGCACTTTGCATTATTATTTCAGGTAAGGAGGCCCAAAAATCCGAATAATTTGCTAGCTTCGCTGACATAGATGGATAGTCTTCGTAGTCACCATTGCAGTGGGAATTCAGGGCCACCCTCCAGTTACATCCGAAACCGCAGGAATGATAGTCAAGTCTGACTATAAAATAATTGCCAATCCAACCTTCACCAAAGCTATTTCAGCGGTTTCTACCCTCGTATTTACCTATTCAGGTACACCGGCCTTTTTCAGTATTGTTGCCGAGATGCGAGAGCCGCGCCTCTATACTAGATCCCTTTTAGTTTGCCAGTTCACCGTGACCACCGTGTACATAGTGATCGGAGTGGTGGTTTACTACTATTGTGGGTCGTATGTTGCCTCTCCTGCCCTCGGTTCGGCTGGTGCAACTGTCAAGAAGGTGTCTTATGGGATCGCCCTCCCGGGGCTGATTGTCTCTGCTGTTCTTTTCCTCCACGTATGAAACGCCCCTTCCCTAAATATAAACATGATGTTAATACAGTTTCAGCTCTCGGCCAAGCACATATTTGTCCGCATCTTGCGAGGCTCAAGACATCTGTCTTCACACACTCCAATCCACTGGGTTACCTGGCTAGGATCTACCTTCACGGTGACTTTGTGTGCCTATCTTATTGCCAGTGGAGTTCCTGTTTTCAGTAGCCTTGTTTCTCTCATCGGAGCTTTGCTTGGTACGCTCCTGACATTCCAATCCACGGGCTGCATGTGGCTGTACGACAACTGGAAGCGGAGCGTCGAGGAGCGTTCTTTCACGTGGAAAGTTGGTGTCGCCTGGAGCATTTTTATCGTTCTTGCCGGTACCTTTTTATTAATTGCTGGAACGTACGGATCGATAGTCGACATTATGGACTCGTACAAAGAGTCGGGCGGCTCAGCAGCCTGGTCATGCGCGGACAATTCTGGGTCTTGAAGCGAACAAGCGTCCAAAAATTGAATTTACCATGGATATTTGATTCAAGAAGTATTCTATGGGCTATCTCTGAGTTGTGTTTACTCCTGTCGCTGGGAATGATTGGGGATAGTATCAAATAAATGAAAGCAGCGTTTCAAATGTTATCACCAAAGAACGGACAGGCCTGTGACTAGTAGTTGAAGGGCTAGCTTTATAAATTAATCAATACTATAAGAAAGCCCAATCTCGTTGATCTGACAAACTATGAAGTATGTATTGGAGAATGATTCTGTAGAAGCTTCCAACCAGATACTTTAAGCAACGCTCTGTAATCATCGCGTCGTCAATTTCACTTCACTATCTATAAGCCTGTTTTCACGAAATTACGTCAGATACGCTTTTCATTCTAGAGGTTCAGCTATGGTAGCTTAGAATAGACATTAATTATGCAATTTCAATTTGGAAAAAAATAAATCATTCTTTCGACGTCAACTAAAAACGAATCTGTAGACAAAGAGGCATTCATAAAGACGACAGCATGTTCAAGGTTCGCTCACTCTCCCTTGCTGAGTTCCCCTTTGGACTTCCATATTTCGTATTCGAAATCCGTCTGAAACTCATAATAGAGGGTTTCCTGTGCATTTTTTCAAGTTAGCTGTGCAAATGAAATTCGGCTGAATGTCACGTATTCTTACCGGATCTGCATTAACCTTAGCTGTATACTCTGCCTCCTTGTCTCCAATGATGTTCTTTGGCAGTTTTGCAGCATCTACCATCAGCTGGACCTCGCAAGTACGCTCCAAGGAAGTAAAAAGGTATGCAGCCTCATCTACAGTGCTGCCAGCAGTGAGGAGTCCATGATTCTGTAGGATTGCAACACGGCCATCTTTGCCCAAAGTCTCTGCAAGACGTTTACCCTCATCCGCCTCAAGTACAACTCCACCAAACGATTGGTAGACCCTTTGAATAGCATAGAAGGTGCAGCTATCCTGGTTGAGGATTTCCACCGGTCTTCCAAATGTGGACCACGCTTTTCCTGCCGGTGAGTGAGCGTGGCAGGCAGCATGGATATCAGGTCTGGCTTTGTGAATTGCGCTGTGGATCATAAATCCGGCAGCATTAACGGCTACTTTGTTGCCGCCAATGACTTGACCTTCCTCGTTGACGTGAACCATGTCGCTAGCTTTCAACAGACCAAAATGCTTGCCGAGACTGAGTTTTGTCAACAACACTGGCTTATCCAATGTCTGCCTCTCTTCTGCGGGATAATGCAGTGGTGAAGTAGACTTACGGGTTAATCCAAAAGGTGGAGGGTTCGACTGGGTCACGAACACTGATGTGACCGGCAGTACCTTCGGTGAATCCCTTGCGAGCGAAGACACGAAAAGCACCAGCCATGTGCTCTAGCTGCCATTGTCGCTTCTTGTAAGGGTCATCAAATTTTGGAACTCCTGGGACGGGGTAACCCCCAGTACCACAAGCACTCAGTCCCGCCGGCGAATCACTTGCTTCGTTATGCTTAGCATGGAGTTGAACATCTTGCACGATAGTTGTAGTGGTTGAAGACATTTTGTCAACTTCTAGAAAGCAAAGATATCTGGGGATGGTTGTGAGTTCGTTTTCTAGCTATTAAACAGCGACTCCACCACGGAGGAGATCGTCTTAAATTGTCAACACGGAAAAAGCGTAACATTGTCCACAAGTGACTTCATAAAGTCCCTGAAAATCAAAAGTTGCTATTTGCATAATATGAAATTTACAAGTCGTAGCGATTGGATGATAGATACTGGTAACAGCCCGCGCCATGATGGGCAACCAATCGCTCTCAGTTTCCTGCCCCACTCATAGTTGCCACAAAATGTTGTCGTTAACTTTCCTTGATCATAATTGGGAGAGGCTTAGTCAGTGTATAGAAAAGTAAATCTCAATGATGCAGGCGGTATATCAAGCAGTGGCAGTTGGAATACCTCCGGTGCAAATGGCTAGTGAGCTACGAGTATATGGAGCAGAGTCCACATAACGGTTTGCCGGAAGTAGCAGGTAGATTCGAAAATTCACTTCACATCAAGGTCAGACATACTAAAAGACGAAGATAAGGAAAATACACAAATTACGTGAGCTGACACGCTGGATGGAGCTGAAGTTGCTCGGCAAGCATGTACGCCAATCTTCAGAGGTGTCCCACAAAGGCCGAGAAAGACTTCATGTGCCGATTTACTTGCACGGTCCAAATAAAAATTCAAAATAAGAATATGGCCAAAGAACCCAAAGCGTATTTCATCTTGTGTTGCGGGTATTATTATGGATTTTATGAGTGTTTCACACTTGATATAATATGTACACTTCAATGCCGCTTTTCACTTTCCATTTTCTCCCCCTCCCCTGGCTTTTCTTTTCAGGGCTGCTGCGTGCGGCACGCGCATCCTCCAGTTCCTATTTAGCCTAGTGTATCTTGGCTTTGGGGCTTAGAGTATCACTCGAAGAGTCAAGGCTGTTGCATTTATTCGGGACGTGTTATACGGTTCACTTGCTGTTGTGAAAGTCTTGTTAGTACCCCATTGTCATATTTTGTAAATACACTTAATTCCAACTTAAGCAGTATGGCAGCTACTGAGGCATTTTTTGAGGAAAAGAGTAGCGAAAATAGATGGAGATAGGGGTGCATTCAAGATACCTTGGGTTTGGTCCTTGACCTATTCTCGATTGTTACGTTATGTCCGTCCGGATGTGTGAGTATATCATAGACAGCTAGCTTACCAAGAAAAATTTTCACTTATCTACTTGCAGGCACACAGTACATGAAATATGGTCATCGTAATATTCCTCAAGTCCAGTTAAACTTGTAATAGGGCTTTGTGCCAGAACTATCGTATCACAACCCCGTAGAAAAGTAGTCGACGGAGTCGGGGAAAAGGCCATTGATGAGACGTTGAATGACTCATTGCAGTATGTATCTTGAAATAAAAGCTCTACTGAGCTTCGAGATAATCAAATCTTCTCTGGAATTTAGCGAAACAACAAGTAAGTGAAGGGTACAGTATTCCCGGAAATCGGTGTCACCTACACTCTTTCATCGTTCCCGGAACCCTAAGTGCCAAGAAAGCGCTGAACTGTTTTTGAATGGCCTTTCGGCCGTATTGATTTAGATAGTGCATTGTAACTAACCAGCCTATAGTAGTAGCGGAAGGCGCGTTTCCTTACAGTAAAACCTTAAAACAAGCTTCATTACCAGACCAGTGCTTTCCGGATTGCCTGAGCGGCCTATAGCCAGAGTTAGTCCCCAGCTAACCAATGATGTATGAACCTTTTGCCAACTGTAGGGAACACGATATCTGGTAGCGGACACCCCGGCGTTCCCGATCTTCCTTTTTTAGCTGGCATGGCTTTTCGATTGCTCTGGGCCTTTCGCCAGCGCACACAAAAACCTCAAAGACATCTCACTGAATTTAGGAATAACCACTAGAGATTAATTAATAAAATTTCAACGCATATATGGCGACTTTCGGATCTTCCTTGGTCCCCTTTCACCCTATGACATACGAGCATTTAGAGAGCAGACTTAAGCGAAATTTTGACATGGTCATTTTTTCGCAGCTGCTGGAGATGGATCATGAGGTGAATCGTCTGAATAGCTATATAAGGCTATACGCATATATTGCAGAGGCAACTAATGTGATCAATAAAATGAAAAGAGCTCTGTAAGTCCTAAAACTGACTTGACATCTACACCTTGCTAATAGCAAAATCAGTTTCAATAAAGACAAACCTCAGTTGCGATCACTTTGTGACGATCTTCAACGCAAATCAGAAGTGCTAGGAATGTACAGGATCTGCGAGAGCCTTGAAAATGTTCGAATAGAGAGCACAAAAATGGACGAGGAGGACAGGACGAAAGATGTCTTTCACAAAAGATGCATCCCATATCTGTCAACTGCCAAAAACCGCTTGTGTACGAATTTCAAAAAAAAAAAAAGAAATTGTCACACAGGCCTTGCCGAGTAGTTGTGAAAATGACTTTACCATCGCCGTTCAAAAGCAGGCCTCTGTGGGCGTGTCTCTGGATTAACGCACCCTCTAGGAAATGGAGATGTAGTTTTGACACCCTAGATGGTGTCACTACAGAATGAAGGGCAAACGCCACCCACATGAGAAGTACTCGTCGAGGACGATCCAATACTCGCTTACTAGTATCTCGTTACTAGCTATCGACAACTGAGATCACATGTTCTTCTTTGATTTGAACTTCTTGCGACTCTGTTGCACATCTTTAACTTTATCTCTGCCCCACCCTTGTTCAAGACCGACCATTGTCACAGCCACAGAGAGATTTATGCTAAATTCTGTTTTTTGCAGGCCGAATTCCGATATAGGGACTCGCGGAAGAAATCGATCCCTAGAAGGACCTTTTTAATTTCTTTAAGTCTGGTCCGTAGTCCAATAGCACTGCAGGGCTGCAACTAGCCATCCAGGTCTTATACAGATACACGGCCGTACTCTCATACATGGTTCGCAGATAGAAATACTTTCGATCATGGGACCTCATTTCAACGGAGTAATTTGTTTTCCAATCCCGCCAGTCCTTCATGAAATGGGAAGCACCGTCTAAACGAACACCGCAGGCACTCGTACGGCCTGACATCATTTCTCCAAATGGATGAGGAATAACCCATCATACAGTACAGAAGGTGAGACAAAAGGGTCCTTAAATTGATGGAAATCATGAACAACATGGTGGCGAGATAGACTTTATACTTCGATGAAGATTCATATTCGAAGCTCCGTTCGATTGAGTGTTTTGAGCCCGTTAAAAGTCTGACCCCGGAATGTCGTAGCTTCAATTGTCCATCTGCTGTCATTTGATAGAGTGAAAGCACTGACAGAAACGAGTGCAATTGAGAGAGCGTTTTGAATATTTGAAGTTGAGCCTTCGGCTTTCATTTGACTTATGCTCTGGAGACAAGGACTTATGATGTTCACGGCGGCAGTTGAAATTAGGAGTGGAAACACCGAATTGACAGATTTTGGAAATGAATTTGGCGTCAAGATTTCATACTGTACGGTCGATTACACAAATCATCTTACGACAGCAAGCAGTAGATCTACTATGCAAAGCGGTCGATAGTACTGCTACAAACTAAACTGGCGCTGCTGATAGACGTACAGATTCACATGAATAGCGCAGCCATGATTGGGTAGCTTACTGCAACGAATATCTTTAGCAGACGATTCAGTCAAGGTCGAATGATCAGCAGTAGAAATGCAAGACTTAACCCATTTCCCTTGCGCACTTGGTTTATCACTAAGCTTCCAAATAGTGCTCGAATAATTTCGGAACCTACCTAAAAGCCGCCGACGAAGAGCTTTCACGGACGCCGCAATAATAGAAAAACGAAAAGAGAACTTCTCTGCGAGCTGGGCTGCGGGGGTCAGGACTTGGTAAGTTGCTGGCCACTCATGCCCAGTTGCCCGAAAGAACTACGGGTGTTTGGTCGTCTCCACTTCTCGGCACTGCTCCGATTTTCAGGCGGATGCGACTCAAATCTATCATCAATCACTTGCGTGATGAAAGTCCCTCAAAGCCATAACAAGCGGGTTCCTTCGGGCCAGCCACATTGCTTCCTGCCTTCCCACACTGCTCGGATTCTAGAAGGTATCGCGGTTTCTTTCGGGCAACTCTCCCCTTCCGGGTGGGGCGACGCTTTTGTGCAATATTCTCTGGGACGCTGGTTGCGTTCATTTTGCCCGTACGACCCAGCCGCAAGCGATTATGCATCTCGAGACAGTCAGCAACATCTATGGTCGAACCTTGAACCCTTACAACAGAAATTTGACACCTGGTGGAACCAGCGGTGGCGAAAGTGCACTGTTAGGTTTAAGGGGCAGTATTTTTGTATGTGTACGTGAGATTGCAAGTAGCGGTATGCTATGAGAGGTAGAGAGTTGCTGACCTTCTGTAGGTCTGGGGGGTAGCTACGGTCTTTATATACACGTTGTTGATACATGCGATGCGGGTGCGGGCCGTCCACTCGATGGGTGCGGGTAGGGATTTCCAGCTGGCCGGGCGTGAGGGCGATCTTGGGATTGAGTGTGGTGAAGCTGGCCTGGCGGGGAATGCGTTGATGCTGCATCATGAGAACTGTCTTGATGAGGCCTGCCCACCCCGGAAGCACCCTCGGTGTGGCCGATATTGCCCTTGACGGAGGCAAAGTACAGCGGGTCACGACGGCCCTCCACAACAAAGACCTCGCGGATGCCCAGGAACTCTTGCGGGTCGCCGATGGGGGTGCCGGTGCCGTGGGCCTCGAGATAGGTCACCTCCTCTGGCGTCACACCAGCCATGCGCAGGACCTTGCGGTACAGGGCCGTCTGCGAGGGGCTGTACGGGACCGTAATGGGCACCTGGTTGCTGCTCTGCCGGATGGCAGTAGAAAGGATAGTGGCGAGAATGGGGTCGCCGCCTGCCACGGCCCGCGAGTGCTCCTTCAGCACGATGAGACCAATACCCTCGCCACGACAGTAGCCGTCTGCGCCGGCATCAAACGACTTGGTGGCCCCCGTTGAGCTGAGGAACGAGGCGGCGGTGAGGTTCTGGTAGAAGTGAGGGCTGGTGAAGAGCGAGACGCCGCCCGCGATGGCCGTTGTGCAGTCGCCATGCAGGATCGACTTGCACGCGCTATCAATGGCCACGGCGGATGACGAGCAGGCAGTGTCCAGCGAGACCGAGGGGCCCGTGAAGCCAAAGAAATTGGCTGATCTTGCCGGTTAGGAACGCCCTTAGCGTTCCCAACGTCGAGGAAGCGTTTGGGGGATGGCCTGCCACGTTGTCGTTGTAGTCAGGCGCACACACGCTGATGAAGCAGCCAACATCTGTCTCCTGCTGCTTATGAGGCCCGAAATAGCCGCTGGACTCGAGGGCGTGGTAGGCAACTTCCAGCAGCAGCCGTTGCTGGGGGTCCATGGAGGCCGCTTCCCGGCTGGACTTTTTGAAGAAGCGGTGGTCAAAGTACTCGATATCGCGCACAAAGTTTCCCCAGAAGACGGTCTTGTCAGTGCTTCTGGGGTGGTCGTGTGTTGGGAATCGGCCTGCTGGCGGCTGCTCGGCCATGGAACGGCCGTCGTCCAGCAGCTGCCAGTATTCCTCGAGGGAATCGGCGCCCGGGAACTTACAGCCCATGCCGATGATGGCGATGGCTCGAGGTTCTTCACGCATTACCATGTTGAATCGTTGGCTGGCGTTGTTGAGAGAACAGATGATTATACGGTGATGCTTACGACTGCTGCTGCGTGTTATATTGTAGATGGCAGTGGCCCAAGGGCGTCAGGGGACAGCCGGCCAACTCGGGTCCGCTGCGGTACCTTTGGCCAACAGGATATTTTTATCCTGCTTTCAGATCCTTCCAGGCTAAGGCCCGTGTTGAGCAAATGCATACATCCATGCGGACCTACACGTAGACTAGCGGCCTTTTGGTTATGAAGTGCAGTGTGTCATATCAACCAGGAGAGCGTCTATCAGCAACGTTTCCTTTAGCCTCACCTCGTACATACGATACACACAAGGAGAAATATAGAGAAAATAGACTCACCCCCTTCAAAGCTGGGAATGCTCCCAGCTTTTGAGACGGCTGGACTAGCGCCACAAAGTGCTCCTGCGTGTTCCAGTATCCTCGACGAGACCCAGCCACCTGTCCAACCCTCACAAATCCTAGGTCCAGCTCCGGGTAATTCCTGGCAGCCCGCTCAATTATCTGCTCGCATACCCATTTGGCACGCCCATATCCCAGCCTTAGCGCACAATTAGGGTCCATCGTGGGGGCTTCAGCCACTATACGTTCCCCATATACCACCGGGTACAGGCCTACGGTTGAGATGGATGAAATAAACAGCAGACGCGGCTTGAGGCCCAACTGTCTGCGGTTGATATCGCCCGCCAGCTGTACAAAATTGGTAACCGTGCAGAATGAGGCGTCGAACGAGGATAACTGCATGTGGAAGCTCATGGGCCAGGCCAAGTGCAGGATATGCGTCACCCGCGACACGATGTCGTTGTACTGGCTCGGTTCCAAACCCAGCTGCGGTGCTGATATGTTGGTCGACACAATCTCTACCCTAGACCACAATCCGTCATCTATCTCTATGCCTCGCGACGCCATTGTCTTCCGTTGTTGCACGACGGGGTCTTCGTCCTCCTTGGACACGCGGTTCAGGCATATGATTTTCGCAACATTTGGATCACTCAGGAGCTGGGCAAGGACAAAGGAGGCAAGGCTTCCAGTAGACCCCGTAATCAGAACTGTACAGGGATGGACAGAATATCTGTTGACCAGCTCATGGATGTCCACTGCATCAGAAGATCGTTGAAACAGTGCGTCCACCAGCTTCTGCACCGACGGATGCTTGTAGACAAAATCTGGCGAAACTTCTACCTCAATCTCTGGAGTCCTTGCCACGGCAGCAGAAAGCAACCGTCGTATCTTCGTCGCTTGGAGACTGCCCATCCCGAGCTGAAACAGGTCATTCTCATCAGACCACTCTCCATCGGGGTGGCGGATATTGGCTTGGACGAGCGCGCGCACGCTGACAGCCGGCGCTATGCAGTCGATGGGAGGCGCATGAACGATGACATCAAGCCGCTGATAGACCTGGTCGACCTCCTTGTCAAACAGCTTATACACCTCCTTGCGCAACACCGTCCCCTTGTCAGACCGAGGCAGCGTGCCTGGCGATACGACCAGAACCGCATGCGGCGACGAGATTCGCGCATGAGCATCCATCTGCTGCCCAGCCTCTTCAATCACAGGCCATATGCTGTCCTTGAATGCTTCTTCGTTTTCGATAGCGTCTCGTGCCTCGACGATAACCCCCAGCTCAAACTTGTTATTCCCAAAGGCCGTCGCGGCACTGGCACTCTCCAGCCGCCCAAGTAGCTGCTCCAGAATCGTCGGCTGCACTTTCTCCCCCGTGGCGAGACAAATGAGATCGTCTATCCTCCCCGCAGCTGTGTAGCACCGATCCCCACCAGCAGGGTGGTGGATGAGAAGATCTTGCAGCTCAAACCGCTCTGTCCAGCCAAACGGCCGCATACTCATCTGAAACGCATTCTCCTGCTGCTGTTCCTCGTTTGCCACAGGCTCGAGTCGCACCTGCAGCGGACTCAGAGTATCGACTCGCAGCTGGAAGAAATGCCAGTCGTGGTTAGGCTCTGGCTGGAAGAACGGCGTCATGGGCCCGGTTTCTGTCGCTCCATAGTGGTTGATCAAGCGCACACCGGTCGATACTAGTCTCTGTGCGATGCCTTCCTTGGGCAGGCCCCCGCCAAAGGCAACAAAGTCGAGTTTTCGCAGGGTGTTGAGGCCGCGGTCGGAAGGCAGCAGGGCGATTTCCTCCAGGATGGAGGGGACTGTTAACAGGGCTTTGGCCTTGCAGTCCTCCATTAACTCAATGACAGACAGACCTGTTAGGATGGCTGTAGATGGGGGAATAACAAACGGCTTGCCCACTCCGAGCAAAAGGCACATTGGGACGAGGCCAAACCCCTGAGATTTCTGTTTTTTTAGCAATACTGCAGATAGTTTTGACAAAGGGATGGCAAAACGTGAACCTACGTGGAAGTAAGGAGAGGTCGACACAAGCAAACCGGGAGCTATTTCATTGGTAAACTCGTGGCAGCGTGCAAAGCCCAGAAGATGGCGATGGGAACAGTATATTGGCTTTGGGAGGCCGGTGGTTCCGGAGGAATGCAGGATAAGGACGTTTCGATCGGTTTCGGACACGTAGTGCAGAGGGAGTGCGATTACAGGGTCTATAGAGAATACGTTGTCGTCCGGTGCAGCCAGCAACTCTTGATATGCTGCCGGGTCAAACACCGCGCCGTCGATTGCTGCTTCTCGGGTGATTGGCTGCAGCCGTGGAGAGACGAGGATCTTCTCAGCTCCTGTTTCTCGAAGGAGATGAGCTACTGCCACAGAGCTCAATCGAGCGGATAGCAGCATTGCTGGTACCCCCAGGCCCATCAAGGCCAGCGTGTATATAGCCAGTCCAACATGTGACTCCATGAGCAGAGCCACTGGAGCAGCCTTTACAACTGTTCCATCGCTCTGCAGCTGGGGAGTCTGGAGATCAAGGTTGGAGCGCAGCCATGCCTGAGAGCGGGAGATGGCCGTGTGCAGCTGCTGGTAGTCAACGTGGAGGAATGTATGACAGTCAGCTCCCTTCCATGCCTGCTGGCAGAACTCATAGCTTGCATTATGCACGCGGTGGAAGTCGATGAGCTCAAGAAGAGTCCGTATTTCCTCCCCTTCGACGGGTTCTAGGTCCAGCGTTGGCCGCACAAAACCCATTTGCCTGAATCGACTGTGTCACGAACAAAAGAAGAAAAGAGAATAGAAAGCTTTGGACTAACTTTGGAATAGGTTCTCTGTCGGTATGGACCCTAGATCCCAAAGCTTTCATTACTAGAACTGTACAATTTGCGTTGACATGGACCCGAGTGGCTTTACTCGCACTCGGGTCCAAAATGGAAGTTCAACTAGAGAGTGCACACTTCACCCTCTTTTTATCATTCCCTCTCTCTTCCCTTCCCTGGCTAACTTTATCCTCTACCTATATTTCACAATGCCATATCCACCAATCCGTCCCCAGGTAGGGACCACATTTACCCCAACAGTCCATCACGACACATACTCCGCCATCAACCCAGTAACCTGCCAGGGCAGCGTCAAGAAATCCGTCCTCGTCACTGGTGCCGGGAAGGGCATGGGACGCTGCACTGTGGTGTCATATGCAAAATCCGGGGCGTCCCGCATCGCAGTCTGCGCTCGAAAGATAGACGAAGCACAGGCTGCTTGCGATGCGGCTCTTGAAGCTGTTCGGCAGGCCGGGTTAACGGCCTCACCGCAGATGCTTCCTCTCGAGATGGATGTGTGTGATCAACGCAGTGTTGCAGCTGCTGTCGCGATCTTAGAGTCATCCTGGAACGGGGGCCTTGATATTCTGGTTAACAATGCCGGGTATCTAGCCGAGTTCCTCCCCTTGGCTGAGGGAGACGGGGATGACCGGTGGCGAACTTGGGAGGTCAATGTTCATGGGTGGTATAATGTTACAAAAGCCCTGCTTCCCCTGTTGCTGATGGGTAAAGACAAGACAATCGTCAACGTGTCGTCTGTTGGGTCGCTAGCCTTGACCCCGGGGGCGAGTGCATACCAAGCATCAAAGTTTGCCTTGAATCGGTTGACGGAGTATCTGATGGTCGATTACATTGATCAGGTAACATTTATATCAGCGCTATATTGACACCTGGCTAATTGATAACAGGGTTTGCTGAGCTACGCCGTGCATCCGGCCTCTGTACCCACGGCGTTGGCAACTCGCATGCCCTCTGCCGTGATCGATGGTATGTCTGGCTTTCTACGGTCTACACGTATACTCTTAACGCATTCAATTCTAGCATTCTGCAATGATCGGCCTGAACTTGCCTGTGATTGTATTGCCTGGTTGACGAGTGAGAGGAGAGAGTGGCTGGCAGGGAGATATGTCAGCTGCACCTGGGACATGGCTGAGCTCGAGGCCAAAAGGGAGGAAATTATCGGGGGAGTCCTTCTCAAGCTAAAGTTGACCATATGACGATGGTGTCTTTAAATGTCACACAAGGGTCTCTACATTGAATAGTCATTATAGGTCGTTTCCCCAGGAAATATGGTCTGGCTATAGCATCTGCATCCGGTGGAGGCCGGCAATGTGACTAGCTTCACCGCACGTTTGAGTCCATTCATAGATAATATACTTGTCTGCGACTCAACTAATGTATTAGCGTTTACGTGCAGAGGATCTCATCGCTCATTCCGACGATCTGACGATCTCCCACAATTTCGATCGACGCAATAATGGCGTCCAGTGCCGCCTTCTGTGCTGCCGACAGCTCTATAATGCCACAGTTTTCCTTCACTCGTGAAGCAGCCGTGGCTCCCGGTATGGGAATAATGTTGCCACAGTTGCCCTGGTTTGAGTGCGAGCGGATCCAGGCAAGGGCCAATTGCGCCGGCGTGACGCCACGCTCTTTGGCAAAAAGCTTAACCTTATCGACCAGCTCGAGGTTTTTATCAAAGTTCTACCTCTCGTTAGTTCTTTTATGTCAGGTTGAACTGAGGTATAGAAAAGATCGACATACCTCTGGCTGAAATCTGCCAAACATATGCCGCACGTCGCCCTTGGGAATATCCTCTAGCTTGGTGACCTGTCCCGTCAGGAAACCATAGCCCAGCGGAGCGTACGTGAGGATCGTAATACCATGTTGCTTGCACGCATCCGCCACGCCATTGGTGAGCATGTCAGTGCTCCACAGTGAAAACTCGATCTCAACAAAGCTAATCTGGTAAACAGTAGCTGCACGATGAAGTGTCCTGGCGCCGACTTCTGACAGGCCTACGGCATCGATCTTGCCCTCCTCCACTAGTTCCTTTAGGGCGCTCACGGTCTCCTCGACTGGCACCTCCTTGTCTATGCGGGCAGGGCCAAAGACGTTGATTTTCTTGAACTCGCCGAGGATGGCCTGGCACGCTTCGTAGCTGGCGCGTACACCTGCCCGGGTTGTCTGCGGCTTGAAGTTGACGGGGTCGAAACAGGCGCGAATGAAAAGCTGGACCTTGGGTGCGTCTTCGGGATACTTCTCAAAGTATCGGCGCAGCAGCCACAACCCAGTCGTGGGAGGCTCCGGATCCATGCCGTAGATGGATGAGCTAGACCAAATGGTGGCGCCACCCGCGATGGCAGCTTTCATGGCGGCAAAGGCTTGCTCGTCGGGAGTGACCTTGGGGCGCCATGTCATGCCTAGGAGGCCGAAGCCGGTGTGGGGGAGGGATCGTGAGACGGTCATAATGTCTGTGCTAATCTTGGCTCCACGTTGTTTGGACTTTGAAAGCAGAAGCACCGTTGACCATCTCATATCCAGCGGCACCCAGCGGCCATATTTATAGAGCCATTGGGCACTAGGCAGGGATGGGTCGGATTTAGCCCGGGCTTACTGTAGTTCCGTGGGTGGGATCCGGATGCCGCCACATAGTTCCTTGGCTTGAACCCGGGTAGTTCTGAGCTCTACTAGTCTTGTATTGGCGTACCATTGGGGCTGAGTAACAAGGGCCCGAGTAAAGTAGGGCCGAGTAATGTAGCGTCCAGGCCGTGGTTGTGGCGGCATCGCACTTCCCAATAAAGAAAAAAAGCAACCCGCTGGCCGACAGCTCAACATGTTGAATATACTAGATCGGCAACGATGGCCACTCCTGATATTGCTATTTTGGTCCAGCAGATTGACGCCGTGCTGCAAACGCAGCCCAAACTGCCGGATGAGGAGCGATGCCAGTTGCGCGAAGCAGGCCGCAGGCTCAGCCTCGCCATGGAGATTCCTGTGGACAGTATCCATCGGATAGCATATGCAGTAGGTAGTTGGCCATGTACTATGTACTAGACAGCTATGTTAACATCCCCTGCTGCCCTTGCAAGTGGGCCTCGCGCAGGTAGGCGTCGATCTCCGGCTGTTTGAGATGATTCGCGACAGCGTGTCATCACACGCTGAGCTGGCCACCAAAGCCAAGGTTGATCCTGTTCTAATGAGTAAGTATTTACCGCTTTTCTGATCCTCCTGGCTATGTGGATCACAACTTATTGTTTGTCGATTAGGGAGGTTGCTGCGGTATTATCAGTCTGTGGGTATGATATCGCAGCTGGACACCGACACTTTTGTTGCCAACAACGTCACAAATGCCCTCGCTTCAGATATGGGGAGATCTGGGATATACATGCAGTGGGAACACCTTCTACGCCCTTCATTTTGTGTAATTTCATCAAAATTGCTAACAGGAGGGCAGAGCGGATGTCCTAGGCCGTTCCATGCTGGCCTTCCCCCAGTTCCTGCGCAGCACCAACTACCGTAACCCTTCTAACCCCTATGAGACGGCCTTTCATTTGGGTATGCAGACGGACCAGGATCTCTTCAAGTGGCTCGAAAGCCACCCGAACTACTCTGTCAATTTCAACACGTGGATGTCCACCCAGCGGGAAACCAAGCCTATCTTCCTCGACGTTCTAGACTTTCCCAGTGAGATCGGCCCATCGGACGAGTCTACCGTGCTCTTTGTCGATATCGGCGGGTCTAGAGGCCACCAAAGCATTGCATTGAGACAGCGATACCCCGATCTCCTGGGGCGAGTTATCGTCCAGGACATCCCACACGTCGTGGCAGAGGTAACCGCGAACCCACTGCCCGGATTTGAGAGCATCGAGATCATGGAGCACAACATGTTTACGCCACAGCCTCTCAAGAGCGCTCGAGCGTACTACTTCCGCAGTGTTTTCCACGACTGGCCGGACGACAAGTGCCGTGAGATTCTGGAGAATCTTAAGGTGGGGATGACGGGTGAGTCTCTCCTGCTTCTGGATGAGATGGTCGTGTCGGAGCGAGATGCCCCCTGGCGAGCGACCCTGGCCGATATGACCATGGCGGTGGCTTTGTCTGCTATGGAACGTACAGAGGCCGAATGGAGAGCGTTGCTAGATGCAGCGGGGCTGCGGATGGTCAAGGTTTTGAAATATCGCGCTGAGCTGGAGGACTGTGTGATGGTGTGTGCTTTGAAGTAGAGTATTTACTTAGCGAGATCCCTGACACAAAATGACACGCAATGCCTTATATTTGTATATTTTATACATTTGAATGCATTGTTTTGCTGCCGCTTGGTCGCAGTTCTGAGGACGCGATAAAAAGTCATGGCCTGCGTCTTAAGGCAGAGTGCACGAAGTTACGGTATTTTGGTTGAGCAACGATTTATATAAATTTAAAATTTTCAATTTTACCTATGCACTTGCAGTCGTTACAGTTGTATTTATAATGCATTTATTTCATTTCGAAAGGTAATAAATGATACAGACAATTTTATAGAGCGTTTGCACATTCTATCACTTCCAATTAACTCAATATTGACTACCACAATATGCATAGCATATCTATACTAGGTCCTTAACTCCCCGAGCCAACGTACTGCCTAGTTCCAGTCTGCCACGTCGCGGGGAACAGCATGATACCCATTGAAGAATCCATGCGGATCATACCGTCTCTTCAAATCAGTCAGTCGCCGCTGCCGCCATTTCTGGGTTCCATACAGATTCGACAGCGGTTCATCTCCGTGAGCATAGTTCTGGTACTGGATTGCCGGGGAATAGCCTCCCACAGCGGGGAACGAAATCCTGTCACGCCAGGAGCGCGCCCAGTCGTCTGACAGCGCCTTTAGCGAGTCGTCCGTATATGCCATCTCGATGGCGACCATGTTGTTCAGCTCGCCACGGTGTGGGAATGCAGAGAAATTAGCCGGATGTGCGTCAATCCCCTGCTGCCCGAAAATTTCCAACAGGACTGTACTGTTCACCAGTCCTGGGTTTTTGGCAACGAGTGTACCAAACGAGGTGAGCAACTCGCTGAAAGTCGGCACGTCTACGTCTGCAGTGATGGAATCCCACATACTGTGGCTTTGGCCGTTGAGGCATTTGGCCATGATGGCGCCCCCAGCAGACTTGTCGCCTAAGTCCTCCCAGCGAATCATTTCCTCCATCAGGCCCATGCTATAGTTGGCAAACTGCTGAGTGTACTTTTGACCTTCCTCTGCGGGGCCAGAATATACCAGGTCGATTGCGATGAAGGGCTACATGAAACTAGCCGTCAGTCTGGTTTCTTTTTTCCAATCAAAAAAAAAAAAAAAAAAAAAAAAGAGAGAGAGAGAGAGAGAGAGAAAGGGAAGGGGATTATACCTCCAGAGTCTCCGCATTGATTGCAAACAGAATAACCAAGGCCAGGTTGGGGTTCACGGGAAACAGCGAGTTCATGGCCTCGATGACCGGTTCCACTGAATCTGCACTAAACGTCATGAAGGCATCGTACTGTAGGCCGCCATTTGTCGCAGGCCAGGTCTCGAACGTGGTCTCAATCACAATGCCGAAGTTCTGGCCCGCACCACGCATGCCCCAAAACAGATCCGGGTGAGAGTCCGCACTGACATCGATGATGGTGCCATTCCAAAGGGCCAGACGAACATCACGCACAGCATCACTTGTCAGGCCGTGCAAACCCTGTAGTCGACCAACGCCACCCCCAAGCATGGCTCCGGTGGCCCCGACGCAGGGACACGATCCAATTGCTGTTGACTCATTTATTTTAATCAGCGAACCCGTGCTCATCATCACAGGGCAACAACTAGGGCTACGGCATGTTCTTACTCAGTTCTCTGCCCCCAGCGGCCGCAGCAGCTGTTAAGTCCCGGAAGCTCGCCCCGCCGCCTACTGTCAGACCGTTGTCAGTGTTCAGCTTGGCGTAGTTGAACTTCTCCATGTTGATCATAACTGCATCTTGGACGATCTCCAGGGTCGCCGAGTAGCCATGTCCGCCTGCTTTGGCCACCAGCCAGGGAATTTGATTCTTCGACATAAATTGAAGCTAAATTCGTGCGTTGTCAGTCTCTTTTGTTGATTTAAGCATTCGATACAATGAACGAATTGCAAGTAGCAATAACGTACACCCTGCGACAGCTCTTCCTCCGTTTCTGGGAGGAAAACGAGGTCGAAAGTAGGCGCGTCGTAGGTAGACCAACGCTGCGTCTTATTTACAAAGTTCGGCCACGAAGGCCCATAAACAAGATCATTAATTGCTTCCGGCCACACAGAACCATGCTTGTTCGACGTCTGAGATGGAGTCGCTGAGGCCGCGCATGCCAGCGCAAGCACCACCCAGGGCAAGGCAGCCGTCATATTGAATTCCTTGAATTGAATAAAGTAATGATGAATAACTTTTGGTTGGAGGTTGATGAATTCTCCTTTTCAAGACTTGAAAACACGAGCTTTATATATTCCGCCGTCAGCCTCAGCGAGATAAGGCATTCTTACGACCAAAACGTGGTCTGACAGCCCTGCCAGCCCCTGGCTATTTTCCACGAGGTCGATGACTCGATCCTTGGTCTATGCAGGTACTCGACTGGTAGCCTCACTTGGCTATGCTTGAACGCATGGCAACTTGGGACTGCTAGCTGATCGCGGACCCGAGTGGGTTGGATACGGGACCCGACTTGCCCGAGTATTCTACCAATAAGGAGCAGCTAGTAAATACGGAACCTTTGAGCGCTCATTATGACTTTTCTGGCGGACATCCTTGTTGGCTCGGCATCGTAGGGTCATAGACTGGGAATGGACCCCCACAGTCTCTGAATGAGAAGCATTCGGTTCCCCGCGTGTAATGTGGCCGGTGTTTAAATTTTACGAGGGTTCAAATGGGCTAGCCGAGAAAGGGTTGCGATTAGCTGGTTTCTTTCGAGACAAGAATCGTTACGATCCGGCCAAATGTGTCGTCGAAGGAAGAAAGGTCCAGAGATTCTTCTGTGGCCTCCGCCCCAAGGCATCTTATTTAAGTATGCAGAGGCATCAGTCGTTAATTAAAGGGCTCCAACAGGCCTTGTATGCTCAAAGTGAGGACTGAGAGATCTGGAAAAGCAATGCACCCGAGGATTTAAAGAACGACCCCTTACCGTTGGGTAGTTGGAAGGGGAGACGCAAGGGCTAATCATATAAAGTACTTTGCTATATATCTTGGGCTCCAATTCCATGGGTTGCTAAAACCGGGTGTGTGGAAATGTTGAGCATATGCGTAGATGGGAATTCAGTGCGATGAGACATTGTATCTTATATGTGTCATGACAATTTGTTCCTCGCATCTTGGCCGCTAATCTGTTTTCATCACATCAGCATTCTAGTGAGCATGCTGTAAGTTGCCCATGATTTTCAGGCGAAGCAACGAGCGCAACTCTGTATGGTGAGAAATCAGCAAAGTGCAAGCCGAATTTGGTCTACGCGGTACATTCTTTCTTGCACTGGCACTAATACTGAGGAACCAATCGAGATTATTGATTGAAGAATTCCTGAGAGATCATGGTTGAGAGCGCCCCGTACGCATGAAGCTCTTCTTCCTGAGTCTCCTATAGACACGAAATCGAATTGATACGCCGGATTGTATAAGCTGAGAAGCTTCCTGCCCTGCTGGAGGAGATCTCTTATAAATATTCTAAGTATTGATGGAACAAATATGTCGTCTTAAGCACGAATCGGTAATATTGCGTGGAGTGCTCCCGGCGTCCTATATATTATAATGTCTTTTGCCCTACTTACTATTAGAGTCTATTCCAGTCCAATTACCTATAAAATTGATAATAGAAATATTCATATTTTTTAGTGTTGGACGGTAAGGTGTCCAGATAGTTCCGGGGAATTTCATCTGATTCGGTTCACTGAGATCTTAAGAATCTCAGAATACTATATAATATATATATATATGAATCATAGAGAGACGTAAGAGAAGATTAAGAGAAAAGTGAAGGAGTGATAAAGAGAGAATAATAGGGAGAACACACCTTGTTCTTCTGGATGACTAGGTAAATAGTTGGCCATATTTAGGTGGAATATTATGGTAGCCTAAGGTCAATGGACGGTAGAAACCAAGTGCATAATGATTCATAATGGGAGATTGAATGAATGGTGATGATGTGCTTCAGATGGGTAGTGGTTCGATGAATAGACTAATCTAATGGAATGATGATTTAATTATATGTACGCCTCTTGATCCAATTGCCTCAATAATTGTGGCCCATTCACGATTGCCTTGAATAACTCTGCGTGGCCGCTCACTGCGCTCAACTGCAGTAATTACTTTGGAGCTAGAGCAGAGCCCCATTGCGAAGCCAATTTCATCAAAATTCCAGATATCATCTTCATGTGTACCGTATTCTTGAATGGTTGCTTGTAGGATCTGGAACCAAGGTATTATAATCTTTGAATCTTCTTGTTTTGCGCGTTGATATGTTCTTCGTCTTGTATATCGTGTACGTATTTCAGGATGGCGTTTAATAAAGTTATAAGCTGAAATAGCCATTTGAATTCTACTTTCTTGTGATAAAAGGCATTGTTCAATGATAGTAACGTAAATTGATGCGTTGGAGATAGAAAGTAGTAGCGTGCGGCGAAAATTCGTCGCTGGGTGGTTGATTACGTTACCTATATTTATTTACTAGTACTTTCTTGAAAAGTAAAGCCTTTTTAAGTTGGTTGACAATACATTGATCTAGTTATTATCAAGTCGCATCCGAAACCGAGAATTGTTAGTCAGCAACGTGTTTATCACAAGGTTCACCGTGTCCAGCTCCAATCCCTCCAGAGTTAGTGTACTGAGACGAGAACCACTGTGAGATTCGGCCGTCGACGGGGCCATCGCCGGTTCAGTTCGGTGCAACTCGTCACTTGTATTTGCGTCTAGAGCTTGCGAAAATTCGTCAGCCACCAGGGCTGGGTCGAGATTCTGGAGAAATTGCAGGCAGTCCGCATCAGAGGTATGCACTGGCATTGTATCTTCATATGGAACTAAAAAGTCCTTGCTGAGGTCTGCATAATCCCCCTGCAGGTCGGTGCTTCTCGGAATCTGATAGTCAATCATCGCCGTCGCCGTCCGATCTGAGGCCGACTTCACTGGTCCGCTTAGGGCTGTATCTTGCTGCTCCTGCTGGGGCACAGGGTCTGCCCAGCTGATTTCAGATAGGCTGTCATCATCAATCGTAGAGGGGTCTTGAGTGCTGTTTGCTGTGCTGCCGCGCTGTCTGCGTTGTAAGAGAAAGTATCTAAGCTCGCGAGGTCCCGTCAACGACATTCCCGCCCTCCCCCAAAGAGAGATGGTACGAGAAGGAGCATGTAAAGAGTAGCAAAGACTGACCTGTTCTTGATATCAACCGTCGATCGATCTCGAAACGTAGTGGTCGAAATTTTACTCCAGTTGTGACCATACTCCGCAACAAGACGGAGAAGGGCGCCATCCTGCTCCTCAGTCCAAGGGCTGTGGCTCACGTCTGGATTGAGGGCATATCGCCATCGTTTGGAGCATTGGTCTGCATTTCGAGTTCGAACTATCTCTGAGACTTGGGTCCATCTGTCAACACAGTCGCATTAGGCTTTTCCATTGCTTTATTTAGTATAACAATAATAATAATAAGTAACCAGCACGATGGATATACTTCAAGCCAAATAAATTAGCTCCTTCCTGCAGTCGGCCATCTTCCACTGCTGTCCATGCGCCCTTTCGGATGTTAGGACTAATCTTGTGCCACCGTTTGCGACAGTCCTTGTTCGTACGGCCTGGAAGCTTTGCAGCAATTGTATTCCAGTCATTTACTCTGTCTTCTGTTCCTATAATTAATATCAGGTTCTGTTAGAAACTCCCCAATATATGAGTGACTTAAGCGAAAGAGCTAGTAGAGGCCATCAGGAAAGGAAGTCCCTTCGGGGAATCGAGACAGGCACCAACAAAGTCGAAGACATCAACAAGAAAAAAAAAGGGAAAATACAACGGAGTTACCTATACGCTGTGATTCTGCTTCTTTGAGGAGAATCCTATCTTCTTTCTCAGTCCACCATCGTCGTTTTTGTGTGGTCATAGTTGGCGCCACGTTTGAATTATCAGATTGGTACCTGGGCACTCCAGATAGAGGCGCAGAAAGGCATAGAGAACTCGATTAAAATAAACGACTAAGAAAGTAAAAGTAATTGAGGGATTCTGTGTGAATAATGTAATTTAGCAACAGTGTCAAACGGTCTGGTGGCTTCTCAACGAACAATGGAAATTGTGCAGTGGGGGGGGAGAGGACGGTTTTGATAGAAAGAAGTCTGTCCCTACATCGGTACCACTGTTGGTTTTATAACGTAACCGACCCCCTCTTCATACACACTATATGGCAGTGCTGTGTGGCTTTGGTAGTATCCATAAGCACTGATGCCATTTATAATCAACATTAGCTTGGGTCTAAGCTGGCTATAGTAGGGTCTAACACTTGTGAATGCGACTTTGATATAGGCAGCAAACATATCTGCGTGACGCTGAATGGCTAAGATCAAACTAAAAGAACTAAACTTCGAACAGCGTAAACGACCCCCCTTTTTTACCTTTCCTGAACAGCCCGCAATCACCGGCCCGCTAGTGCTGATGCTTGTTCCCAGGGTCTTGCTGCGGTCTGCCTGCCCATTGGGTGGCGTAATTCAGCTAACTCGGAAGCACAATGGGGCAAAACTCCGCCCGCCCCATGCCTGCACACCAACTAACGTAATTCCCAGGTAAGTAAGCCGCCATCCCAGGCGAGCCGCCAACCCCCTTTTGGAATTCAACGCGTTCAAATTCGAAGCTATCCAATCCAACCGAAATAATATATTATTTCATTGGATCTAGATAGTATTACGTGTAGGGCACCTAACTCTAGTATGCCCTATAATAAAGCAACTTGAACACCTTGGTGGCGCGCGTTTTAGTGGTTCAAAAGGTAAAGGCGCAGAACTAATGGATGAACCCCCTGTCTCGTTCCCTTGCTCATTTCTTGCCCGGGTAAGACCCCTAGCTTCCTGTATATTGAGTCATTCATTAGGAGTCATCTGGCGTCTAGATCGCATCCTTTTCTGCTTCTACTTCTCGTTGGCTGCGCGTAGATCGTGGTTTTCCTTCGCTAGTAGGGCCGCACTGTGCATAGCCATATCGCAAGCCTTGATAAGCTGCTATATAGCTACTTTTGAAGGCGTTAAAGGGCTCTAAGATCATTCTTTTAGAAGCCCCTTGACTGAGGATGCTTGCTTTTGTAATTACCGAAGTGTATGAAGCGTAGCAAGCCACGATGAGCTGGTTGATTGACTTGCACGGCTTGGAGGAGGTGTAGGGGTTTGATACACGGATATTAAGCTCCTAAAGCACCCTATCTGGCTCAAGAGGGTAAATTCCAGCTTCTGTGAAGCCATTCTGAATATTTAGAGGCTTAAAAGCCTCTAGATGAGCTGTTGGATACGCTCGAAGGAAGTCAAACCTATCAGTATGGTTATATCCTAAGCGCATCTTTTGCTCCACGAGGCCTCCATAAGCACGTTTTAACGGGCTAAAACAACCAACATCTAGTGGTTGTAAGAGATGAGAAGAATGAGCAGGCATGCAGATGGCGATAATAGTACTATCCTCGCAGGCTTTGTCAAAACTAGGTCTTAGATGGCTCGCATGACCATCTAAGATGAGTAGACGATAATCGTCCAACCGTACGGCTAGTCGTTCCAGGGATAAAGACCCTTTGCAACCACCGGTGGCCTATCTCATCTGTTGTCCATCCATTTACACTGACTTCAAGTCTCCAATCAGGTGGTAGCGTGTGATCTTGATACCATCCTTCAACGTGAACCTTCCCCTTAAAGATTATACAAGAAGGAAGCACCCAGCCAGTTGTATTGATGCATTCAATTGTTGTAACCCATTCCCGATTACCTGGCTGGATGAGATGAGGCTTCCCTGTCATATTAGCTCTTGTAACCGCCTTAGTAGTTACAATTAAGCCCATAGCGAAGCCAGTTTCATCGAAATTGTAGATACCCTCATGGGAGATGCCGTATTGCATTTGGATCTGTTATAGGCGGTTAAAACATTCCATGATAATCTTTGGATCCTCGCATTGAGCTTGGCTATGATTATATCGTCATGCATATCGAGTTTTAACCTCCTCACGTCGTTTAGTAAAGGTAGAGACCCAGTTCTCGCCAATAGGTTTGAACCCAGAGGGATTATCTGCCCGGAGAAGGATATTGGCCATTTCTTCAACATGAGATGGCCTAGGGGTGCACCCCGCGCAGGTCCCTAGATAGTATGCATTCTACTAATGATTCTTCCTTCGTAGGAGATAATCTATGGTTATTTGCGCGTTTTTCAATTCGATACTGGCATCTATTGAGTCGGTCACGGAGTGTAGATCTAGGCACGTTGAACATCTCTGCAGCGCATTGAACACTTGAAACTTCCTTCTTTTCCAAAGCAGATACTGCTAACTGGATCCTTCTTGTTCCACCAAATTTCTAGAGGGTTGACGCGGTTTTGGTGGCATGATAGCAATTTGGATAGCTTCGAATTTGAACGTATTGAATTCGAATGGGGAGTGGCGGCTGAACCTGGGAATTACGTTACTACGTTGCGGCGTAGTCAGACTAAGCCTTAGTCTTCGGGGTCGCGCGCTGATGATAAAAAGATTTCAAAGGCGTATGCTTCATATAGTTTCTAAAGGATTTTAAATTATTTGAGAAGTGGGCATCTAAATATTAATCCAAAACCGTCGTGGAAACGTATGGCCCAAAATTTCTTTTTCTCTTTGGGTTACACCGCGTCCCGCTGTGTGATGATGCTGCAGTAGTTTCTACGCTACCCCAGCCTTGTTGTTGACGACATGCTCAGCGGTGAGGGTGCGTATGGCACGGATAGCTACTGCAGGGACATTACATTTCATACGTCTCAAATTTCAGCTTATCTGCGGGGATTTGGGCCTTCGATGTCAGAGAGGGGATCCAAGTGATTGATCAAACCATTTCGTACGCAACAACCTTCCGTACGCAGTAAGCTTTCAAGCAGCTTCAGACATAATGGGCATGTTCCCCATTTTTTGGAGGGGTGGTCTGGAGTGCATTCGTTATGGAAACAACTACTACATCGTTTTGAAGGAGTGTGATTTTGTTGTTCAACCTAAATTATGGCCTTCCTATCTCAACGCATCCAATACTACAACCCTACGCCCGTGTGATTGTATCGACTTGAAGAAGCTTCACAGGCGAACGCTTTCGTTTCTTGGATGCGGCCTGCTTCCTCAAGATGCTCATACTCCCTTGAAACTCGTGGGAAAGGGGTCCAGAGAAGGGCATCATGGCCTTACGTTCAGCTGTCGCTCAATTTGGAGAACTTCCTGTAGCAAATGTCCCCTCGAAAGTAAAGCCATACCTGCTCACCTATCATAAAGGGAAACTGCCCAACTAGGGCAGCTCTATCTTGGTGATACTTTCGGAATGGAATTTTGAGGATAGCTTAGTACTTGTATAAATACAAGACTTGTCTTCCAGCTTCACATCTCTATATCTTAGTACTTACATCACCTGGAAGTACCCCTGCTGGCACGAAAGAATCGATGTTGAAAGACATTTCATTTGCCTTGTCTATCGTACCTAGCCCCACCATGCGTGCTAAAGTCGATATCTTCTCCCGTTGGATTTTGGTACTCTATCAAGGATTATCTTCAACCAGTCGATGTTAAAAATGTCTCAAATTCTGGTTCGGCTCAATAGAGATATATCTTCAAGGACGAAACTGGCCCAACCTAGAGAAGACACAGCCTAAATGCGTTTAGACCTTGCATGACACAAAATCGTCTCTCCTGTGCCCTTATAGCAAGTAACTATTCGGGTGGTCATCGCTGGGATCATGACAAGTTCTTCGCGTGTCTCTGGATGACTCGGTTTACAATAAACATCGGTACGGGATCAGCTTTCAAGCTGGCCTTATTATCAACATACGCGAGGTAGTCACTGGTCAAGAAGCAGCAACTATTTCCCTCGAGTAAATATTTTCGGGAGACCGAAGTGGGCTACGCTTGTAATACTCTTTCTATCATGATCAAGGCATAAAAGCTCCCACATCCCAAGATATTATTGGTCTCAATGGCCCAGCATACCAAAAAAGAAAAAAGGGGCCATAAGACATGGCTGCTTTCTCGAACTTCTGTTCAAAGGCTAAGACAGACAATGTCTTCTAAGGCATGTCAACAAGTCAAAGGACATATGGGCAGAAAGATGGGATCAAAAAGGGATAATTGGATGCCAAGAGCCGCGGAATCCGTCCGAATCCGACTTTTCCAGTACCGTAGCTGACCGCCTGACGATCGGAACCACCTGACGATCGATTTTACTGCACACCGACATTTAGAGTAGAATTTTAAACCTCTACAACTCATTCAATATGACTCCTATTAAAGCAGTGCTGGCGGATATAGAATCCTTAAAGCCAGGAGAAACTCTTATTTATACTGTAAATGCAAAGAAACACAGTATTGATTGAAATACTCTGTCAAGATATCACCGCAGAGTTCAGACTAGAGTGGCACGGGTTCGGGTCGGGTCCAGCGGGGAACCCGTGCCACTCTAGTACCGGTACAGTTGTGATTAAACTTACTTATTTTATATTAACAATTATATCAAGATTCATTACTTTGATTAAGTTCAGTATAATCCCTAAGACACGCTTCGGTCCTAGATATAACCGTTGATGCTCCCTCAAATTGAGAGGCAATTATGAAGGCAGAACCCGTCGTTCCAGTAGTAAGGTCTGAAGTATGCTCCTGATACCATGACTGTAATTTGTGGTTTAGGGCATTCGAAGAGGATGACGGAATCTCTCGAACTACTGTGCTCCGTATACAATGTGTCCAGGAGGCGCGAGATAATACCGGACAAAGAACAGTATTTATTCGATATCGAAACCAAATGTGCCGGACAAGGAGACGATTCTACAGAGGCTCCGTACGGTGCGGGATCGAATAGGTTATACTCTTCGTAGTTATTAGGGAAGCTCAGTGAGTTTGGTTAACAATTTAAATATGCCATGCGAAACGATAACGCCCTATGCGCCTTTCTCCCATATATCTTGAGATTTGCAACCAAGAACTGGCATTTGACAACGAGTACTAAAACGAAAATAGACATTTGCAGGAGGCTAGACCGAGCTAATACAAAGTGATAAGAAAAGGAGTGGTGAGAGTTAGAGGACAATGGCTCTTAGACTAGATAAATACATATCTCGCCCATTCAAGAAGCTCTGCAGCCGTAAATACGAAATCTTTTTCTAACGGAGGGTTCGGGCGGCGACCAATAACCTTTTCAAACTCAAGCCGGAGAGGGGCGCCCTGAATCCTTGGGGGATTAACCCCCGGGTCAATCCTGATTGTAGATACTTTCAGCGGCTTATATTCTGGGGCTGGTCGGGCACGAGTTGGCAGTGCCCGCGTGGGAATGTATTTTTCGATGTCAATCTTGCGCCTATTCTTTGTGACTTTGATCAGCAATACGATGTTCACCAGACCATTCGAGTTCGCCATCCACCAGGCAGCATCCGCCCATAGGCGGCGCATTGATTCCGAGACCCCAGCTTCAATCACCAGCATCGGGAAGGACCTAGGTCTCAATAGATCGTTTGTCCACGAAGAATCGCTCTCCTTGGTACTGGCGGTTGATCCGGTGTACCTCGTGGCCCCGAGGCCCTGAAACTCCAGGACCCCCACACCCATCATGAAGACTTTCCGGGACATGCGACCACCGAAGGTAACATGAGCTTTCTCATGTTCCCTTGATGGGACTTTGACGATCAGTGTTTGAATATCAGGAAAGTACGACAATCTAACGGTAGTCCCGAGTTGCCCACGGTTGTCCTCGATAAAGTTGAATTCCTCCTGGGCCACATGCTTAAGTGCGATATGTTGGCCAACCTCTCGTCGGATCAAGCTATCTGGCATCGACATAATGCGTGCTTTCAGGTCTTCGAAATTAACGTATGAGATGGGTGGATAATCACCTGTGAGCGCAAATTCGAATGATGAGGTTGCCATGCTGCCACTTCGTGATATAGCGTTGTTAGATGAGGAGATAGAAGAGAGTTCTTTCTCCGGTAAAGAGAGAAGACATTGCGAATTATTCAAACGTGACGTCAAGATAGATATCAGAGTTTCTGAGATGCTCAATGAGAGTAAGCGTATCAGAGGCGGGACATCGAAGAAATAATATGAAAATGGGCTTAGTAAATAAGAGAATATTCGTGATATTAACTTCGTACATATTCACTTTGGTTGATAAATGTTTAGCGGAGGATATCGCGTGGAGTGAGGTTCCCACGTTACAAGAGCTGCCTCTAGCCAGAACCCACGCGATTGGATCTTCGACAAGCGACTCATGGTCACCATCGTGGTTTCCTTCATCTATTGATTCGGGAATTATACCACAGTACGCAAACGAGTTCCGTGTAAGCGAAGTGGTGGCGTCTTTGTCTACAGGTGTATTCAAAATTGACAGTGGATCATTAGGTCTGTTCTTGGTGGAATTTGGAACTGCGACACCACTCGCGTGCGCTGATGGTACTATTGCCGATATAAATCTGGACACCCGAGGAACAAGTATTTGCATTTCCCCTCTCTCATTGGAATAGAATAATATCATGGTGGGGTAGGGGTGGCTGATACGGAGTAGTCACCGCTCGATGGCTCAAGATGACAGCTGCAACAGTATTGAGTCCGAAATATACAGTTGGGGTTGACAGTTATAATTCAACTATTATATACACCACTCTTAATCTCCGCTAGAGCACCCAGCCTTACGCCTACATCAATATCCAGCATGTCTAGGAGCAGTTGGTTCCGCCATAGACGAAGGTTCCATCGGAGTTTTCGCAACCGCAGGTGCCGTCCTTTGGGCTCTTGATGCATCCGGTTCCGACACCAGATGACTCTCCGTTGTCACTGCACGACAATCCAGTCAGTATACGCTGGCTTCCAGACCACACATAAATGTATATTCATAATGCAGGGGATAACTTACTTCCAGAAGAAAGTCCAGCAATCCTCATCGGAATCCGTCATCTCTGCGTCCGTAGGCGCAGTGCAGGTGTAGGCCTTGCATGTTCCGTAGGGAGCACCGTGAGAGGAGTCGTACTGGTGGTCAGTGACGAAGACGGCGAAGGTTTGTGTTTCTGTTATTGCCATTAGCATGGATTCAAGTATGAAGAGGAATAGAAAAGCCTTGGAAAGTAGCGTACCAGAAGTCCTCGTGTTGTGGGAGCACTCAGCAGCCTGGATAGCAGTGGACGTCTTGGCAGCTGTTTACTTGTGAGTATTTGGAGAGCCTTGCAGGAGAGGACTACATACGGTCGCAATTGAGTGTGCCAGGACACTTGCCCTTGGTGTTCGATGACGCCGGGGAGAGGGTGGCGGCCGCCAGAGAGGCGCTGAAGGCGAGAGCGATGAGGGATTTAGCAGAGACCATTTTGAAGGTTTGCGGTCAGAGTGAGCTACTGGGCAGGAGAACCATTGGGATGACTGTAGCGTTTTTATATCTGGGGTTAATAGAATGTTTGTATTTCTGTCGCGTAGTCCTGTCTATTAAACTAAGTCATGATGAAACTACGGGGTAGCCCGTTTCACCAGAGTGGATCACATCGGTCGTTCTAGAATTGGGTTAAATCCCGAAAGCCACCCGGAAGATTCGAGTCAGGAGAGCTTGTCTTAATTAAAGAAGGCCCACTTGGTTTGGCTATGAGAATGAAGACTCTCGGGGCATTGTAGTCAGACTACGCCGGGATGAAAGCTGTGAAGGGAATCGACGCAAGTTGATAGATAGGCTCTGATTAATCTACCAGCTGATGCGAGAAGAATAGCCACCACTGCTATGTAGAAATAGTATGTATGTTCAATTTAGGGTAGAATGTTCGAAAGAAAGAGTGAAGGAATGGCATGACGAATGCCGTCGAATATACGCCCTACGATCCCCGCTAGTCAAGTCCTGTAGCTTCGGATGTAGTCGAAAGCTGACGTCTTTTAGACCACAGCCCATACAGCCTACCTTTAGACGATGATTTGGTTAGCCAGAAAGAAGTTTTTCATGCAAACAGTGTTTCATATGTGGACAGCGCTAGTGAATTGTTTGGATGTTAGTGGCGGAGCATAGCAATTTTGGCCCACAACAGCCATGGATGAGCCGTTATGTTCTCGGGACTTACTATTTCGTTAACAACGATTATTTCACATGGTAAGGAAAAATAAAGTAGGTCGTGTTAAAAACGCCGACAAATCCCTGTTGGCTACATTTCAGCCTTTCTCTCGACCGCAATGATAGGAGGAACACGGCTGATGCATATACGGCACACATCGTCATATGTCCCACAAGTCTGCAGTTTTGAGATTGTCACGATAACCACCAAATATATGTGTAGTAGAAGTGTTGCTGCTGCATTTTAGGCACACTAATGGGGCACCGCAGCCGGTAATCGATGGCTTATTCATAGGAACCTGGTGTTTGAAGCGGCACCGGCATATTTTAATTTGGTTAGCTATATGTCTCCACTAGGGCACGCCAAATGATGGTGCTACCAGGTCGATGTTTGCCAAAGACTCTTTTAATCTCCAAGCCAGATTATATGCACTTGTCCATATAGCAACAGTGTACTCTTACTGGGCCTTCTTTATTACACCTGTTCTAGGTCACATCATTTCTCTCTCTCTCTCTCTCTCTCTGTGTGTGTGTGTGTGTGTGTGTGTGAGTATAGTGGTGAGTATAGTAACCAAATTATGTCAAAAGAGACAAAGATGCTTTAAGTAATTATATTATACATTATTCTAACGCTGTAATATTGGCTCTTCTATGCTGCTTTGGTATCTCGCGACAGGAAAGTCAAAGTAGAATACATGTGGTGCTTGTGATATAGCACACTATATCTTCAGCCCGCTTTTCGAACAAACTCGACCAGTATCCATTAATTAATATTTATCAACTGTTTATGCGTCGGCCCTCCGATTATGCGCCTGTTTTCTCCATGTACCGGCAAACCTCCACTGTATGAAAGGACCAATTAATGCCACAAGCTGCACAGCGACACATATCGTAGACGCCACACCAACACCAACACCATTGACCATAGGCATGATAAAACTGGTACCACCAGCAGCAAACAGACATCTAGCCAGGTTGAGACTGGCACTCGCCGCCGCGCTTCTATCAGGAAAGATATCAACGAGATAAGTCATGATAATCGACTGAGTAGAGACGGCCGTCCAGCCTGTGATAAAGGTAGAAACGATGGGAACGGCGATATGAACGCGATCGGGATACTGAATTGTCCAGCCGAAGAGAAGGATTGAGAGACATTGTAGAATGGAGAACACTGGAACGAGACGAAGGCGGGCCTTTTCAATTGGGAAGTCATCTTCATTACTGGGTCCATCATTTGCAGCCTCGGCGTGGAGCGAGGACTCGTAGTTTTCTTTGACTCGTTGGTAGTCAATATTTAGAATTTTGCCTGTCACTAGGGTCCCGATCATGGAGCCTACGCCGTTGGCTATGAATGTGAGACCGATTTGGGTTTCACCGAGACCATAGCGGTCTTCGAATAGTGAGGACATGGCGGTGATGCTCATCTGCCAGACGGCGTAGTAGATGGCGAGGAAGAGGATGATAGGAGCTGCATGCTTGGTTATGAGCATCCGGAGGGGACCGGTGAGATCGATACGTTTTCTTGCTGCTGGTCGAGAGGCATCTGAGTCGTCTTCTATTTTCCACTGTACTTTGGTCGTTCTTTGATATATGCTTAATGGATATCTAGTCAGTGGATTCGACGGCATTGTGCTTCCATTTGCAACAACAGATCGGAGTGTTTCAGGCAGGAGAGCAATGAGCAGAGCCAAGAATACACCACAGTAGATCGTCAGGAACCAAAAGACTGAATGCCATCCTAATGATCCGGCTAGTGCGCCTCCAATCACTGGCCCGACAGCAACAGGGACGAGTAACCCTGCTTGAAAGATGCCCATAAAGCCCCCCCGTTCAGCCCGTGTAGTGATATCGCCAATTACACCAGAGCCAATAGCAATCGTGCTGGCGCTACCTGTGCTCTGAAGGCATCTTAGAACAATGACTGTAGCGTAATTCTTACTTAGCGCCAGACCAATGCACGCGCCCAGAAATACAATGAATGTACAGATGTAGGCAATTCGGCGCCCTTTCACATCTGACACAGGGCCCCACAGACTCGGTGCCAGCCCCTGAAAAATAAGGTATGAAGTAACTGTCAGATTGACAAGTTCGAGAGAAACACCGAGATCATCTGCAATGGTCGGCAGAGCGGGGAAGTAGATATTTGATGCGAAACCTGAAACTGTTGTGGTTGTCAGTAGGCTGGACTTTTAGTGACACAGTGATTTTCCGACTTACACGTCGCGGCAGTGGAAACAATCGCAACGAGTAGCCATTTTTGTCGTTTATCGAATATGCTGTAAGGTGCATCCGGAACTGGCGGAGACGTTGTCGCAGCAGTAGTCTGCGATTGGTCTGCCGTACTTTGAGTAGGCGTTGTGTCTTTCATATTTGGTACTCTGTCAGCAATAATCTGAATTGTTTGAACTATGGGTAAGAAACTAAGATGGTAGAATGGACGTGATTATATACATGAATCATGACCGAGTGGCAAATGGTGTTTACCCCTACCAGCGGAGCTGAGGTCGGAATTCCGAGAAGACGGCTCGGAGTTGAGATTCTCAACTCCCGTTAGGGCAAAAATCCAGGCAATTGGAGCTTTATATAGATACATTTTTACGACAACCTCTCTTGGCTCCTTGGCAATTTACTTTTCTTTCATGCTTCCCTTGGTCTATCGCTTCAATCTATTAGATCAAGATGACACAATTGACCAAAAACCCCGTGAGCTTCGGTGAACGCTACGCCATCTTGAACTTGGATTGGATGACAGTCCTAGTAGACGCTGCCAAAGATACGCCCGAAGGGCAAGCGTTTATATCGAGTTGTTCCCGCTGGAATGAAGCAGTACACCAAAAGTCTCCTCGCCCTCTTACTATATTTTCCACACTATCGTTCGAGCGTGGCCAGCCTGAGGTCGAGGACAACACACCATTCGCCAAGTTGATTGCACCATTTGGGACGTTTGAACACAATTCGGCCGAAGTAAAGATCGCTTCTCAGTTTCATACCGATGAAAATGATGTTATACTTCATAAGACTCGGTGGTCTGCTACTATGGGCAACAGTCTCGAGCAGATACTGAAGGCACAGAGGATCGACACAGTGATTATCGTAAGTAACCTTCTCCCAGTCCTTGATAAAGCTTACGAGAAGGCTATAGTCTGGGATGACTCTTTCCGGTGTTGTGATGAGCACTATCTATCGACTTTTCGATTTGGATTACAACATCTACGTGATCAAGGACAATGTGGTGGAATTGCCGGTGGAGCAGACTGCGGCATTTTCCGAGGTTATGCTGGATATGCTTTTGTCTAAGATGAACCTGAAAGTGATCTCCCTTGAAGAGGCTTTGCAAGCATTGGAACTGGCTTAGAATAGCATCTGGGCTATGAATCATATTGACGTTAACAACTGCGTGATATCACATTTGTGCTAATTGGCATGCAACTCCAACTCTACAAAGGCGAATAAAAGTTATCCACCATGTGTACAACTCATGACCGCGTAGAGCATAGTCCCAAACTCATCGAGATTCTCTAACCAACGGTCCACCCTAGCTCGCCTTCGTACAACTTGTGACTCGTCCAAATCGGCAGGCATGGGCCAGAGCTCATCAACTGTTAGAAACCCCTCCATCCACTGGGCCATATACATATTGTATTCTCTTTCCCAGTCGTATCGGCGTCTCGCCTGCCATAATAATGTATTTGCTGGCGCAGGCAACCCTTGTAATTCAGTGCCAAGGAAGGTAGGAAAGCCCTCGTGAGACGACAAGACGCTGTCGAGCAGATACATAACGTATAGTGTCCGTCGCTTGGCTTCCGCGACGATCCATTCTTCCCACCTCGGACGGACTCGTTGTCGATCGGCTGCACACGTAAGTCCGCGGCGGGACGAGGAGCAAGCAAGCTCTTGGAGGTTTGTCATCGCTCTGCGAAAGAAGTCACTGCGAGACTGGTTAAGCCGAAAGAAAAGAACCATTGTGTAGATCAGATAAGCTTGAAAAGCGGCAAATAAGGACTCGTCATTATACCTGTCTTGTGATTCGTACAGGCTAGACATTTCTCGCTGTAGAACAGTAGCGGTAGTATGCTCACTCCCTGGGAGTGGATTTGCACAAATTCGAACTAAGCTTAAGCATGTACTAAGCGGTGATCCTGTCGGCTGTGCTATCAGTTGCTTCGGATGAATGAATGGCAGAATCCCGCGACCATGTACCGCGACGCCTGCGTAGGACTTCAAAACCCGGAAGATGAAGGCTGCAATCCCAGCTGGGTATTCCTTCACCGTCTGTCCAGGAATAGGCATATAGGCATTCAACCAGCGGTTACTGATTTCATCTGCGTTGATGGGACAGACTAACTCAAGGTCTGAAAACTCAAGAGTTTCAAGTTCGTCAGACATGGCAGGGAGCTCACCCCCATCTGGATACGGTGGCCTGGGTGGAATCGCACACGGTGTTTTGATCAGGCCTTCGTCGGAACAGGCTCGGTTGACATGCTGCCTGCCGTGTCTATCATAAGAATGTCGTTCGAAGTGATGTGGCTTGCTGTCAGGTATAAGATCGGGTATACATTGCGTGGCAGTTTGAATTTCGCGCACAGCTCTCTGAGGTGAATGGCTATGACTAACAATTAAATGGTCGTTCACGGTAGCACTAGCACTTTCACTGGTGTCTGCCACTAGCAACTCGCCTTCCGAGCTCGGAAACGAAGCATCGGATAACGAGAAAGGACTGTGTAGTCGTCCTTCGCCGACAACAAAGTTCTGTCTGACGGGACTTCCAGGAGTTGTGCGTGGGTAAACGCATGGCAGACCCCGATGCCGACATCTACCACAAGGTCCGGTTTTGCGATCGCGATCGCATCTTGCTTTGGCACTTGAGCATTGCTGGCAAGCTTTTTGTCGAGAAGTAGAGTATCGTGAAGTTCTCATTTCTACAAAAGATTAGGGAGGGAATGTGGAGGACACTGGATAAGAGACCACGAATCAGTCACCAGGGCGCAGCGACGCATATTAGGATGGGAACGAACCATTCTGCCTCACCGGCGAGGCGCCTGCACAGCTAGACGTTCAATAGTTAGGCTTTAACAGGCCAATGGAATTCTGACTGAGTAAGTGAATGTTTAAAACAGTGCATAGAAGTGTGAAGGCCCGTCTACATGTGTGGACCCAGGTTTTCTCCCGCTCGTGGCAAGCGCGACCTTCGGAATTCCGCTGCCTTCGGCATCCGAGTCTGGCGGGACGGAATTTCCACTTGACCCAAATATTTATGTGAAGAGCTCATATTTTATGCGGAGGGAAAGAGTACTACTGCAGTAGCTTGTCTTATAACAACCTGACACCCTTTCGTACCATCTCGCTTCCTATCTCTTCAAAGAGTCCGTTACAGCAGAATGGAAACCACAGGACTGCGTTTGGCAAGCTCTGCTCAAGAATGCCAGAGTCTCGTATAAAACCCCTTATACCGATGTAGGCCGCGAAAAAGATCATGTTGATCCCTGTGGGATGTCTCGCTTACTGATCGTGAGTGGAACGAGCTATCAGAACCACCGTGTCAAGGGTGGTCCTATTATAGTTTTGTATATAGTTGGCAAAATTCGCACAAGGAAATGATATCCAAGCAACCCCAGAGAGATCAGCATGATCTTTTTACACCTTGTCACAGTAGCCAGACATAGCGAGTCTAACTAGCCAGTTAAAATGTTCATAAAGAATAGTAATCACGGGTACAATGTATTTCTCTTTGAAAATATTAATTTAGTCTGGAACTTTATGTACACCACCCAACAATAGCGAAAGTATATACTCCTTAGAGTTATATAATTCATCCACTGATTTTCACCTAACCTAAGCCCTAGGTCCTTCTTAATTAGAACCAACATAATTGAGCTACCAGAAGCAGATTAACCTGAATTTTTATTATTCCTTGACCGATCCACAGAGATTTCTTTCTCTCCATGATAACCTTCAGTCTCTCGGTCAGCATCATTATTATCCTCCATTGACACCCACAAGAAATGCCTACTTTAGCATTGTTTTGTAGCAAACTCCTCCAGGTACTGGGGGAACTTTGTCTCCCACAAATCTTTATTCGAAAAGAACCGGTACTGCTCCTCACACTTTGTTGTGAGGACCGACCAGAATGCTTTAGGCTGGTCGAACATAATGCCCAGTATGCTGTTCTTCACACACTGCCCAATCTTCCTTCCCTGTGCATCGTCCACGTCACAAATGTTGGTGTCGCCAAGCTGCTTAACTTCACATTTTTCCAACGCCGTGCTGTAGATGGAGTCGAGCAGTTTGATGTACTCCTCGCTTAGCTCAGGAGCGCCCATCTCATCGCACTCCTTCTTGATGACCCCCATGCCCATGACACGCGCTTTGCTCTCGTAGTCGGACATCTTGAGGTTGCACTCGGTGCTACATACTTTGTTCTTTGCGTGTTCAAAAATTCTGTCCGAGTTGAGCGCATTAATGACCTCAGGGATCATCCGGACGCAGTAGGTAGAGGGGAGTTGAATAAAGGAGGCCACACTTCCACCAACAGTGAAGGCGAGGAGACTGACGATTTCGAAACGCATTTTGGAGGAGTGTTGCTTGTGATGGCCACTTTCAATTGGAGGAAGAAATGCAGTCTGGGAATTCGAGCCGTGTGTAAATGAACAGCAACTTGATCGGTAGGAGCCTTTGTCCTGGCAAGTGGTACTCATATATATTCTCTATAGCTCACATGGGCGTCGCAGTAAATGAATATGTCGATCAAATGGCAAAACGAGCAAGGGGTGGCACCCAGAGTTCAGCATATACGATAGTCTAGAGTAGACTAGTGGATCTCAACAATAACTTGGGAAGAATCGAAAAATAACTAGTAGAATGGAGACCCCAACACACTTCATGAAGGGCTACACTCTCTACAACTAACTCACCGGGCCAAAGACTGGATGATTTACCATGGTATAACGCCGATCAAGTATAGTGTATTATTCCAAGTGGGAAATAATAACATTGGGCTCAACGGGTGGCTGGCGAGGATTAAACGCGCAGATACAGATCAGTATCCAAGGTACCGCGGCGTCCCCGAGATCCAGTATTATATCCTAATTCTAGTAAACCCCTGAATATAAGCAAGGGTATGAGCTGGCTGTCTAAATTGCTTCTCTCGAAAGATTGCTTATATCTAAATCACTGTATAAGTCCTTCTAAAATATAGACATAGTATAAAAAGATACTGTTATCTAGATTCTAGTATTTCTAGTAGATTTATTTATTCAAAAAAGACTGAAAATAATCCAGAAAAATAGAATCCTTGGGATTCTACTTTGTGCCAATATTAAGCATATATGATATCTGCCGAACAATGGTCTGGTGAAATAGAAATTATGATCTACTACTTGCTAGCTTTTACGAAGTTAATAGTGGATCTTCCCTAGCCGTGCGGTCAATCCGCTTGGGAATAAATTGTAAATTGCTAATAACAGGGGGATAGTTAATTCCCATCTTATTTGTAGATCATTGTGACAAGTAGCAATGAAAACATTAGCAGCAGGAGTGGGGAATCTTGCTTTTCCCCGCTACGTACAACCTATTGAGCGCCATGCAGCCGATAGTTCCCCTTTCAGCTGCTCCACATCACGCTTCAACCCGCAAACACTCATAGCGTAGTCTATTGCTAAGCTGGAGAAACATCCATTCCGCGTTCAATCAGTCAAGAGGGGGGGTAGATTTACGCTGAGCTCTTGAATAGGTGAAAGTCATTTACACCGCAATATAAGAACGACGGCAGTGAGTCTTACTGCTCCACTACGCCACCATTACAACAGGTTCATCAGCATCTACCTCTTCCCGATTTTGGCTCAACTATGTATAAATCATTCTTTTATGATGCTGTACCTCCAGAGGACCACTTGATCAGCTGCAGAGCGATAAGCGGCGAGATAGTCAGCCTCATCGCTTTGCAGTATGCCAATCTTCTCGTGAACTCCCATCCTCAGGTAGCTCAAGGGGTTCACCATCACAGCTACTTTCGAACCAACCCCATGACCAGAGCTTACTACAGTCTACTTTATATTCATGGCTTGTTTGGAACACCCCAAGAGAGAGATTACGTAAGCAGAATGGTCAATAACGCCCATAGTGGAGTGAGAGGGAGAAATTACAATGCCATGGATCCCAACCAGCAGCTCTGGGTTGCGAGTTGCTTTTTCGTCGCCACCTTCACTGTGCAGGAGACATTCTTCGGGTTGCTGGATGACCAATCTACAGAGGCCCTCTACCAAGATGCATCCCGATTTGGCACATCCCTCCAGGTACCTCGGGAAATGTGGCCAGAAAGCATTCACAGATTCTGGAAATATTGGAATCATGAGATTCACCATTTTGAAGCGACGCCTGCAGTGCTCCGTGTGACTCATGACGTTTTATATCCGCACAACTTACCCTTTTGGGTCATGGTGGCCTTGCCTATCCTGCGCATCTTTACGATCCATTGGCTCTCCAAGGAAAATCGAGCGAGGTACGGGCTCCGTACTACATGGGTTACAAGCATGGTTTATTGCACCTGTGTGTTTATCATTCGGTGGTTTTATCCACTGTTGCCTGAGTTCTTGCGGCATTGTCATGTTTATTATATGAAGAGAGAGTTACGAAGATATGTAAAATAGATTGTGAGCATAATTTCTGTCAACATGTGGATGAAGCCACCTTAAATACACGAGAAACTACAAGAACGGGTACTTTCACATTGAATAATCTTCTTTACGTCGTCGGGCATCTACTGGGAGTGTGGAGAGGGTGTTCGTTGTAACAACCTCACTAGGCTAAAATGCCCTAATTCAAGATCGTACTTTATGGAGCCCAATTTTCCTGAGTTATTGTACGGCTCGGGTATTGTAACGACACTTAAGTGTTTCTAAGAGCTTATCCAAGATTATACCAAGCGAGGTCTAAACGTTGAGACAGATAGAGTTGTTGTTGCATTCTCTGGGTTAGCCAGACGTATAAACAAAGCGCTGCTCACGCATCAGAGTTATAGTATCCTTGAAAAGATTATGCATAGGCTCCTTCTATGGAAGCGCCCTGGTTCCAGAACAAAGCCAATTGCATATAAAAATGGCAAACTGTGTTCCTGGTCCTGGATGGCGTATGCTGGGCGAGTAGTTTTCATGAATCATGACTACCGTGCTGTCTTTCTGCAGAAACTTTTGCGACTTCTATTTCCGGAAAAAAACTATATTGGGGCCGCCTTTTGCCCAGTAATTGATCCCGGAGTGTGGGGCAAGGTAGAAGTGTGTATACTGAGTGCTCTGTAGGGTTAAGATCTGGAGAATAGGGTGATGGGTATACAGTAACCTTCCACTCAATCCAATAGTGAATACAGGTTGGTAGGTCCTTATCATACACCTTCCCTTCGACCCAGTCTGTGTATTGGAGAAGCGGAAATATATCTGTTTAGAAAATACATATTTAATAGACAGAGTGCTTAAAGAGATAGAGAATTAGTATTAATAAGACTAAGGTTTAATAGTAAAAAGAACATATAACCAAGGTTTCCAGAAATAGATATATACTGCGGCAGTTTATTCTATTACTATAATTTATATTAATAAGTATTATTAATTCTACTATAAGTTGGAGCTTATCGTTTTTAGTAATTAAGATTTCTATATTTAGTAATATCTGGTTAACTCTTATATGCTATACTGTCACTGTAATTTTTATTATACTGTTATCGTAAGTTAGAACACAGTGGGCCCATTATTCTTCGACACTGATGAGACTGAATTCAAATCCTCTGTTGTCATCGGGATGGATTTTGAGGATGAAAGGGAAGACCCTTACAGGCGCTATACATACTGGTCGTGTGCAAAAACATGGAGAATAGGATATTATCGGAGGCTGGGCGTTAAAGAAATACAAGCACGGTTCATTTTGAAGAAGAGCAGGAAGGGCAAGCTCGTTTAAGTTCAAGAACTGTATAGCAAAGGATACGGTCCCCCACTGCTGGGCAATAGACAGAAGGGGCAGAGCTGAATATTAAACACTCTACATATTCTCATACGCGATATGCGGCCATGGCTCATTTACGACGAAACAGGAACGATCTCTCATGGCCAGGGCTGAGAGTCCAGGATAGAGTAGGCATTTACAGGTGAAGGTACACTTGAATAAGGCCGGGAGGAAATGCCATGTTTCCAGTTTTTGATCCTCATTTTTGGCTCGAGTTGTATGATTTATTGCACGACCCTAGCCTTTCTTTCTTTCTCTTGAAGAAAGATCTATATTGACTTTTATAGAAAGGTCCGTATTGTTAATATCAGATCCACTGATATCCATAGTTGCTGTTCCCTCTTATGGGCCATGCAAAATGGAGTTTGATCAACCTGCGTAGCAAAAGTGGGGCCAATGTCTTCATAAGATGAGAAAAAATAAAAAAAAAAAAAAAAAAACTAAATTCATACCCATTGCTGTCCGGTAGCATACTTCTCAAGCCGCAGGTTGGGCTTATTCGCAAAGTACGCCGTGGCTCCAGCGGGCACCCGGTCATTTTCGATATATAACACCTTCTCCGGACCCTTAAATATACTTATCACACCGAAACCTTCACTTCGAGACCAGAGAGGAAAGGTAGCAACACAGCATCCACATTCATCCGTTTGGGAAGCAAGAGTCTTTCTAGTCGCCGGACCGTTAAAAGTCTACCATATTGCTGTTAGCCTTTGTCGAAGTGAGAGGGTCGATTGGGGTAAACATTACCGTTGTGCCAAAGTTTATGCCAGCACCTGTGGCGGAAGCATTAATCCCTACGTCTGATAGCATTCGATTAGGCCGGTACTTAGATACCACGACTGTTATCTCCTCGGTATGCTGGTTTATGACCCGAATGCATGGTGGGATATTTTTGCTGGTTCGGAGGATGGCCCCGAAGATGCCCTATTGAGTGGATTAGTAGCGGTGTATGGATGATCTTTGGCGTGACTTACCTTGGGTACGGAGTCTAAAGGATAGCTCAGAGCATCTGCCCATTCTACCACCATCTCTGGCTCTGGTAGGTTAGCGGCTAGGATACACTGGTCCGCCGGTTCGTCCAGGGCATCGTAAAACACGGTTTCGCTGGAGGAATCATCGTCTAGATCAGGAACATCATCCAAATTGGCACACTTCGCGTGAAGTCGGAATGGAACGTGGACGACATCGTAAAGATGAGCTGCAGTTTTGACAAACTCGGCGGCATCACGCAGAATATCTACATCGAGGTTTACCGATTCCACCAAATAGTTGAGACTAACTGGGCGGTTAGAGACCAGAATAACAAATCTCTCCTCTACAGGATGGTCGGTTGCAACCCCGTTCGGCCAAGATATTTCGGAGCCCACAAGCTCATCAAAGGAATTACTTCCAAGTGTTATATCAAGCTCAGCAGGGAGCTCAATACCCAGGGGCCATGCTCCGGTCAATGATGAAACAGTGCCGACAACATTGATATTCAGCACGGAAACGTACAGGGTAGTACTACCAGCGTTCTCGAGACGGATATAGACGGACTCTCCCTCGGTAATGTGATCGCTGCCCGCCATTTGGAAAT